TAATGGTTAATATTTGCTTTTATACTATCTTTAAAAGGGTAAAATATAAAGTACACAAGGACTACATGTTTTTAACATATGCATGATAGCAAATGAGTATAGAACAAAAAAACAAAAAGGATGCTATTATTACCTGTAAACGATGTTTTATCCGTAACTGGAATATGCAAACACCACATATCGAAAATCCTTCATTCAATATTAGAAAATAAATAAATTCAAATTCTATTCAAACTTGAGAAAAAAGGAATAAATTCTACTGAAAAGAAGAGTAATATGTTCACTTACTTTCCAAGTTTACGATGATGTTTAATGAGTCCAAGCCCCATGCCATCTATCCCTGTGTTTGGTAAATTCCAAATATAAATTTCGTTTCCAAAAGTTGATAGCTTTGAAGTTAGTATATAAATGGTCCCATGATACATGATAATAAGGTGGTGTTTTGTTGAGTCCTAGATTATTAAAAGTTACAAAACCGAACTCCAATTATAGTGTTCCTTTGTTGAGTATCTCGATAATTAAAAATTACAAAACGATCAACTAATTATTCATACGTTCAAAACTTGTTCATTTTAAAAAAATTTGACCTAGACTCAACATATGAATATTTGAACGAGACTCGACAACAATCGGAAAATCATTATATAACTTATAATAGTTGGTAGATTCAACAAACCAGTACCCTATAGTCGGAATCATTTGTATTAATTATCCTAAAATAAATAATTAATCGAAAAAGAATTTGAATTTGAAGGTAGACACCTACATCCATCATTTTTCTAAAAGATTGAACAGAAATCGAAATCGAACCAGGCAAAAAGAGGAGGAGAGGAGAATCACTAGCGTGGGACCCGCCCTCCAAAGGAGTAAACCACCGTGGCGGCCCCGTCTTTGATTCAATCATCAAACCTTTACACACTTCCAAATAATCTATCAACGTTTCTCCCTTCTCATCGGGAATTTCGTCCGGATTGGAGTAGATATTTGACACGAACTCGTTTGTTTCCTTCCTCTTCTTCTTTTTCGAATCCAACAATCTTCCGTTCTGCGTCGTGACCCTCGCCGGCGACGAGCTCTGGTCTGCAGATACTGCCATCGGCCGGTATAATCTTACACACCGGTACCTCCCCGAACTAGCGTGCGTTGACTTCACAAACGGGGTGGAGAGGACGGGAGAAGATCCGGGTGTCGCCATGAAGACGTATTACTACTGTTAGCTCTCTGATTGAAGCAGCAGTCGAAATGTGAAATTTTATAAGGATTAAACAATGATTAATATAAAAATAAGTGTCTAAATTATATTCAAAATTAAGTTACAGTACTTAATTTTTTTTTGTTAAAATTAGGTATTTAATATTTTTTTATTATATTTTTAGGTGATTATCATTAAAAAAAATTATTAAGTGATACATGTTATTTAACGATTCTTTTAAACTGTAGGCATCTAAAAGTATAACGAAGAAAATAACAAAAACTTATTTTCAACAAAAAATTCTTTAAGGACTAAAAATTAATTTTAGATATAGTTTAAATACTTATTTTTATATTAATCCATTAAACAAAGGATTAAACAAGAGTTAAGACAAAGGAGCTATAAACTAGGTGTACGCATCTGTATGTATAAGCTGATTCTATTTGTGTTTACTACAATAATCATGTTGCCTTATATAATAAAATGTCCAAATGAAGAAAGTTAATATTTGGTATAGTGTAACTAATTATTTCTGTAATAGGTATTTTTATGTTGGCTTAATTGTACATGAGCCCCTCATTTTTTTCAAACAAACTAATGTGGCCCTTGAATTCATTTTGCATTCAATGCGGCCCTCAAACTCACGTAAAAAAATCAACATGACCTTTTGACTAACAATTTCCGTTGTTAACTGTTATGATAATGATATGACAATTCACGATACTGATATGATAATTTACAGTGATTGATGATATGACAATGAACTAAATTAATTTTATTTAGTGTGGCATGACAATTTCCCTTTAATTTTGGTGTGGAATTTTTATAAGGGTAACATACAAAAATGGTCCCCGACTATAGGGTATTATTTTATTTAGTCCATCAACTATTAAAAGATATAAAATAATCATCCGACTATAGAATGTTATTTTATTAAATTCTTCGACTATTAAAAGTTATAAAATAGTCACCCAACTGTTTATTAGGTTCCAAACTCATCATTTTCTATTAAAAAAATAACGTTTTTTTCTAAGCGGAACATTAACATAATGAATGAGCTATGATATTTATTTGAGATTCCGGGATCAGATTCTATAATATCACAATTAGTATATTAATGTTCAGCTAAGAATACCGTCAATTTCTTAACGAAAAAAGGTGAATTTAAAACATAATGAATAGTCGATGAACTCAACAAAACAACACTCTATAGTTAGATGACCATTTGGTAACTTTTAAAAATCGATGAACTTAATAAAACAATACCCTATACTCAATGGACCATCTGTGGACTTTACCGTTTTATAACTACTCTTAATACCAGTGTCAAATCTAAAATCATGATTGTTATTCGTAGGGTGACATGTTAAATGGATATGACGGTTTGACAATGAATTTTTTTTTTGATACGTCATATGTGCTTGTTAATTGTCATGTTAAGAACCTTATCGAGGGAGGATAACTGATTGTAAAGCATGAGATTCTAAAGTTATTTATCATCTGAGAGGACCCTCTTATTCTAGACTTGCTTGTAGAGAATATCCGAAGGAAGTATAACAATTAATAATCTGAGGACTTAAAATCAAAATAAACTTGATGAAAGTAGAATCGAACTTAACATCTAAAAATGATATCAAAATGATGATATCAGATAATAATGGTAAAGAGTGTATCTGTTGAGATTTACGGAAGCTCGAATAGACAACCGGAACGGTTTGCGAATAAGGGTCGAAACAATTTTTGTGTTTAGGAAGTAAGAAGATTGAAAGATAGAAAATTACACAGCGATTTATAGTGGTTCGACTTCTCAACCAAATCTACATCCACTACCTTAGCTCCTCACCAAAGATTTTTCAACAAATTCACTAATTTGTTCTTTTTTTTAAGGACAAAGAAATAACCTTTACAAACCCTAATTTTTCACGGGCTAAACTATAACTTTTCCCTAGTTTTTCAAGGATCAACTAAAACCTTTCATTTTTACAAAAGGATAAAAGAAGTAAATAAATAAACCCCTCAAAGGTAGGTGTTTACAAGAATTAAGCTCACTGGAACAATATTTACGAGAGAGAATGAAAAACTTTTTCTCTTGTGTTTGATTGCTTGGATAGTTGTTCTCATACTTCTTCAAGTGTCCTCAGCTTGTATTTATAGTTTGGAATGTGTTTGAAGTCGTATATAACCGTTTGGGGTGATTTTTCTACAAAAATAGGCTGCCCTAACAGGGGTATCGGTACTACCTTTGTTATATTCAAATTAAACTAGTTGTTACTAACCGTTGCAGCCAGGGGATATTGGTACACCCGGGTATGGATACCTGGTATCTGTACCCTTTTTGCATTCAGTGTTTGAGCAATCATAGGGTATAGATACCCCTGGAGGGGGTATCAGTACACCCGAGTATGGATACCTTTTTAAAGGGTATCGATACTCATTTACATTTTTGCTCAAATTCGAATTTAATAGACTTTGAATTATTTTTAAAACTTTTTTAAAACTTTGAATAAATTCAATTCAAATCCAAAAATATTTTATCTTAAATTTGTTATATTGAAACATAATTCAACAATATCTTTTCTCATTTGAACATTGCCTAATCATATAAATGATGATCAGAGAATAATGGTAAAGAGTGTAAATTGTGCAAAATAATGAACCATGAAAAGCTATATCATTCAATGCATGCATGTTGCCTGAAATGATCAGTTTTCTCCATCGTGAACGGCGGACGGTCTCCGTAAAACTTGTGCCGGAACCGTATAAATATACCTGAGAGACCAGTGCTAGGATTCCTTAAAGCTTTATGCAAGTACCAAAACCACAATACTAGACTGGTGCAATGCAAGCATACAGTGATTCTAATACTGCTGTCATAGCTCATCATTCAGGAATTCGGAAGAAAATTACTTCTGGAGCGAGCATGTCCATTTCAGAAACGCATCCATATCGACGATTTTTAATCAATAAACGTATCACTTAAAGAAAACCGAAAAAAGCACGTTATCTGAAATACACATCCATATCAGGAAAAGCATCAGCAAACACTAGAAACAGTACAAAACTAGGAGAGAAATCAAGCACAGGACACTTACAACCCCAGCAGTCGAATGTATATAAATGCATGTGTATGTCTGCGAAGGTAACCACAGAATCAAGAGAACAGGTACGGGGCATCAAACGGTAATGTTTAGATGTTTCGAAATAAGTAAAACAGATGGTGCTCTCATAATACGGTTTATAGATTTCATCGTAGAGAATGCGACAGAAATCAGAATTTATCAGGATTTCAAATAAGATCTCGAGAGCGTAAAGGCAAAGATGCCAGAATCACTAAATGACTATCATTATCTGCAACAAGAGTATGAGAAGATATGCAACAAGCAAAAGAACGCATAGGGTTGAAGTTTGAATTGGAGGAAGAACAAGAATAAGAACACTTTCCACATGAGATGGGCAACATACATTAAATCCAGCGGACTTCTGACACCGGCAATCAGTATCACAAAGTTTATTAGCAGGAAGCCTCCTGTAAATATTTTTTTAACAAGGTTTAGAGTGAATGTAATCATAATTTCATACTCCACCCTATAAAACTTCACTGTATCTATCTCTCTTACTGAATGAAATGAAACAAGCCTGTTCAGAATGGAAAGGGAAGTGTGTTCCCAGTAATGTAAGTCCCAATAGTTCTTATGTTATCAGACAATAGAGCACATTTTTGTCCATCACCGAAGGTCTTACAGAAAACGGACTGTGATTTCAGTGTTAAAATGCAATCTTTCTTACTATGAATACACGAGGTAGAAACTAACTAGAGATTTCTAAAGCCATGAATTCACTTTTTCAACAAGGCAATTTAGGGTTCATAGAAACAGCCTGACCAACAATGAGTCTAATTCCATTACCGCAACTGACTATTCTCAAACAATTAAACAAAAACTAGATCAAAAAAACATCTGAAAATAAGCAAATAAAACCAATTTCACATCAACTACACATCGATTATGTGAACAGATTCCTTCATGTGTAGTCCAACTTTTCAATTCAAACCGTTATTAGGAAAGAGAGAGAGAGAAACCCTAACAAAACCCACGAATCCTACCTTCCTAACTAGCCTTCCTCATGCTACTCCAAGGAAACTTAGTCTCTCCACCACCGCGGGCGGAGGCGTAAGATCCCTTTCCTTTCCTCTTCTCCTTCCCATCATCCTTCACCTTCCCGTCGAGCCAATGCTTCTTCTTCTCCCCTTCTTCAACAACGCTCTTACTCTTACTGGTCTTATTAATCCCATCCTTCTCCTCTTTGATCACCTGGATGGGGAAAAGGTTCTGGGATATGGAGAGAGGAGTCCTCAAGGTGACGTAAGCTTTCTTGTAATCGGGTCGGGCGAATAAGAAACCGCCGCGCTTCTTCTTCTTGCCCTCCATGTTGAGGGTGCGGATATTGTCGACGTCGAAGCCGTAGAGGGATTCGAGGACGCGTTTGATCTCGATCTTGGAGGCTGAGGGGACGGTCTTGAGGGCGATTTCCTTGATGTTAGTGAAGGTGTTGGGCATCAGTAGCTTGATTGGAAGATTCGCGAAGTGGACTACTCGTCTTCCTAATCTACCCGCCATCTCCCTTTCGTCTTCCGGTTTTCTGATCGCCGAGGGAAAAAAGGGTTTTTCTCTTCACAGAGCTTCCTTTACTTTGTGGTTTGCTGCTGTTGCTCCAAAGCTCTGATAGTTTTATCATGGGCTTGGGCTATAATTATGTGGGTTTAGGGTACCAAACGGTCACCAAAGTTTAAGCATCCTTTTTTCATAGCTTAATACAAAAATTGCCCACAATTATACCATTTTTCTTATTTAAGTGTCTAATTTTTTTCAATCAGTTTAGGTGTTCAATATTTTTAACGTTATATTTTTAAGTGAGTAATCCGTAACGAACTTAAATTCTACCGTTAAGTGACATGTGTTACTTTCAGGTAATTTTAAAAATTTTATCTTTAAAAAAACTTTAAAATATTATATTTAAAAAATCATAATTTCTCTAAAATTACAAAAAAATCCAAATTTCTAAAAATATTTAAAATCATCCCCAAATCCCTAACCCTAACCCTACCAGCTCACACAAACCAAGCGACCTCGGTGGTAAAGAAATTGTTGTTATTCCTTGAGGTCTCGGATTAGAGCATCAGGAATGTGAGGGGTGTGAGTGTTCGTTGTCAAATGATGAAGAGTTATATATGAACAAATATTGTCTTGTACTTACCCCATATTAACAAAAAAAAACCTACCAGCTTCCTTGTTGGTAACGACTTCCGACATCGTCTCCTCCCTTACCATCTCATTTATCAGTCGTCAGAGATGCGTGGGAGTCGTGATTTGCAAAATAAAATTTCAGTCATTGAGTCGCATGGAAGGAGTCAGGTTCTGGGTTTTAGGTGTTGCGTCGGGTTCTTCATGCGGTCGGGTAGCTATTCAGTACGATAGAGGTTTGATAAATGCAACAAATGTCATTTAATGAATAAATTTAACAGTGGTAACGATCAAGAAACCTAATAATGTAATGCTAAAAACGTTAGGTACCTAGATTAACCGGAAAAATAATTTAGACACCTAAATGCTAAAAAATGTCTAGTTTAGGCTATGGATTACAATGGATCTTGGACCCAACCTAAATTTGTAGATCCATATTTGTTTTATAAGGTCTAGATCCTAAAATTTTGGACTCGACGGATCTGGACTGGATCTAGATCATCTGATTAAAGTACGGATATGGATCCAGATATAAAAATAAAATATTAGGTCTAGACCCGTTTACCCCTTTATAGAAAAACACACCTTTGATTTTAAAATATATATAAATGACATAAAAAAATTAAAATATATATAAATATTTTATAGTGGGAGATGCTTGAGTTCTTATAAGGTTGATTTTTATACCTGCATTCTTTTTGAATTGCAATTACTTTGAGAGATTGTTATATGGAACAATTTTTTTCCAATTTAATCTTTTAATTTTACATATTTTTCTCATTTTTTCAATTCATCAAATTCAATCCTTTTAAGTCAACTTTTGACCAAATTTTAATCACATACTCCTCTATCACTCTATCATCATAGAATATCTATGTAATTTCAATTTATATTTTTAATTATTTTAAATTTAATTTCTTAATTTTATATTTTCTTTTTTTAGTATGACAATATCCACTCAGTATGCTGGTTACGAATAATCATCATGGTCCTAAAATTAACACACTTGATAAAAACATTTTATAAAAGTTGCTAAAAACGAGATACATTAAATAAAATTATCTCTCTCTTATCTTCCTCTAATCTACCTTCTCATGAAAGCAAAGTTTATAGACTTTTTAATAGTTTGGTGGATTATAAAGAATGATATTATTATCTTTTTATTATAAAGAATTGAAATGTGTCATAGATCTACTTTTTAATAGTTTGGTGGATTATAAGGGAATACTTGTTTAAAATTTTCATAACTAATTGATAATGTAAAACACTCTACAAACATAACTACTCGAATTTAAGATTATCAGGGAGAATTTATTAAAAAAAAAGATTGTTAGGGAGAATCATATTTTCTTTTATTGTTGAAACCACTTAATTAGGGATGACAGACGATTATAATTTTGTAGATTTGCAACGTACCCGCTCCAGTTGGAGCGAGAATGGACATAATTTTAATTGTAATGAGCGGGTGTGAATGCAAAAAGTGATATCCGTCTTAGGTAGTGGGTAGGTGATGGATTTAAGAACTTACCTGCCCCGCATCCACCTGCCCACTAATTACCTACCATATAATTTTTTGACCATTATGAATCCAGGTATAATTTCAGAGACTATTTTATACATCTTAAAAATTTATAGGACACGACTTGTAACTTAACCAAATGTTATGATATAAACTCAATTAATCCTTGTTTATTTATTATGCCTCTTAATGGATTTACTTGTTTTGTTACTTATGTAATATGTGAGGTTGTTGCTAGGAGGGTATTGACTAGTACAGACGGGTACACGATGGATGGTGGATATCCAATTGGATGGTGAGTGTGTGGGTGGATTTGATGATGTACCCACTTGAATGAGTATAAATTTAAAAATTTTACCCGTCGTAGATGATGGATAAGTGATGAATATAAAAATATTAGATAAATATGAAGATAAGATAAGATATATATATGTACTCGCCCCACCCACCCATTTGCAAGGATGGCAGAACGACTCGAACCCGACGGGGAAACCTGAAACCCGACTAAATTCAGGTCGGATCGGGTATCGGGATAAAATTCAGGGATTTTTTTGGGTTCAGGACAAGGTATCCTCACCCCACCCCGACCCGATTATATATATATATATATTATTTTTTTTATTTTTTATATTAATTATATATATATAATATATATAATATAATATTTTCGGGTTTGGGATCAGATTCGAGGATTTTTTCGGGTCGGGTTAAGGGACGGGGCAAAAAAAATCTCCGACGGGACGCCCCAATAAAAAATCCGACGGGAAACGATGCGGGAACGAAAATTCATTTCAAGGATGAGGACGGGAGAAGCAAAACCCGCCGCGAACCCGCCCGTTGTCATTCTTACCCATTTGTCATCCTTACACTTAGATTCATCTCATACATCTTTAAGAGAATGCTTACAAAATAAACACAAATTTTTTTTTTTTTTAAAAACATAATCATCCAATTACCAACTGCCCCAAAAGAAAAGTCATCGTTTGAAATGTGAAGAGTCGCCTTTAAAACTCAACTGCCCTCCAACACGCGTACCATATTATGATCACAGACAGCTCAGATTCACTTTATTACAATAATATGTTGTTTCTGTCATTGCGTATTTATGGCGGAAATTTCCAACAATGTTTTATTACCATAATAAAAAAATAATTTTTAATGACCTTTCTTGTACTATAAAATAAAGGGTAATGCTTTAGACATTTCCCCTCATCACTAATCGTTTTTCAGAGGTACACAAACCCCAAAAAGGAGAGTGAAAATGGCAACCCTTAGAGTTCCAGCTGATGTGCCTGCTCCTTCTGAGGACGCAGAGCAGCTTCGTAAAGCTTTGAAGGTCCTTCAATTGATCTATCTTTTTTATACTGAATCATTTGATGAATATCTTTTACACTTTCCCCCTTTTTCTTTACCGATCGCCACTTTTCATCCAATTGTAATGTTTTGCTTGTGTTTGATAATGTATTGCAGGGTGGGGTACGAATGAGCAATTGATTATAGACATATTGGCTCACAGGAACGCTGCACAGCGCGATTCGATTAGAAGAACTTACCATGAAGCCTATGGGAAAGATCTCCTCAAGTCTTTGGATGAGGAACTTTCAAGTGACTTCGAGGTCAGATTTTAACACCCCTTTCTTCTTGATCTTGTTGACGTGAGGAGAGCAATGTCATTCTTTTTCCTTTTTTCGATTCAAAACTCGACAGCGAGCCGTGGTGCTGTTTACGCTCGACCCTGCGGAGCGCGATGCATATCTGGCTAATGAATCCACCAAGAGATTCACATCAAGCAATTGGATCATCATGGAAATAGCCTGCACCAGGTCTTCACATGAACTCTTCAGTGTGCGGAAGGCGTACCACGCTCGCTATAAGAAATCGCTCGAAGAAGATGTCGCACACCATACCAAGGGCGACTACCGCAAGGTTCCGTCTCGAGTTCCTTGGCACATGCCTGCAATTCTTTCACATGTTAATTGATTACCTTGTTTGTCACAGCTTTTGGTCCCGCTCGTTAGCGCGTTCCGATACGAGGGAGAGGAGGTGAACATGAGGTTGGCGAAGTCGGAGGCGAAGATACTTCGCGATAAGATCTCGGACAAGCATTACAGTGATGAGGAGGTCATTAGGATTGTAACAACGAGGAGTAAGGCGCAGCTAAATGCGACCCTGAATCACTACAATACTGCCTTTGGGAATCCTATCAACAAGGTATTTATTTCGATAATAACGAATGTAAAACGACCGTAAAAGGGTGAATACGAGTACCCTGCATGGTATTAGTGTGAATGTCACTATGTCGTTTGGCAGAATAGACTTGTAAGTTGCAAAGTAAACTAACGCACGCTCTGTTGTAATTCAAACTGATAAATGAAGTACTGGTGGTTTGCAGGACCTGATGGCAGACTCCGACGACGAATTCCTCGAATTGCTGAGAGCTGCGATTAAATGCTTGACCGTCCCCGAGAAATATTTCGAGAAGGTTCTACGGAAAGCCATCAATAAGCTCGGAACAGATGAATGGGCACTTACAAGAGTTGTCACGACTAGGGCCGAGGTTGACATGGTACGTATTAAGGAGGAATATCAGCGAAGGAACAGCGTCACTCTCGAAAAAGCGATTGCCGGAGACACTTCCGGAGACTATGAGAAAATGCTTCTTGCCTTAATCGGAGCCGGAGACGTCTGAGCCGATATGCTCTTCTATTTTCAGTTGCCGGTATGAATATTTAGTTAATATTGCATTTTCAGGTGAGTTATGTTTGGCTTGAGTTGGGTGCGTTTATCTTTGAGTTGCACAAGACTAATATATATGAATAAATAAATTATGTATTTATTAATATATAATTTTGAAGAATGGATATTTCTATCAATAAGTATTATAAATTATATGGTACAATATTTAATGGTTAAAAAGAAAATTCTAATAATTTAAATTTTATTAACAAATTTAGCCGTTAATATTTGATATTTTTGTGAAAATATCACAAATCTTAAACAATTTTTTCAACTGTTTATTATCTTCTAATAATTTAATTAAAAAATAATTACAAGAAATCTTCCAAAAATTGAAAGCTAGTAGTTGATTCTCTAAATATTTGCCAATGTGTTCAATTTCAGATCCAAGCTTTGTTTGCTAAATTTATAAATTATTTGAATGGTCACTAAATTATAGGGTTGGTTATATTCTGAACACTAAATTATTCTTTTTAATTAAATAACTATACTATTTTTCGTATTTGACGAAAATGATTACGTGATAGTTAAATAAATTTATACAATTACACTTTTGATCTTTATTACTTATCTATTCTATCAATTTAGTAACTTTAATTTATTTTTATCAATCAAATTGTGAAATTCGTAAGGGATCAAATTTGAGTCTCGTAAGAGAGATTTAATAACTCCAACTACTGAGCTAAGATACTGACGGATCCAAAACTATTATTTAGAGTGGACATATTGTAACCCTCTATACCCAAATTATACGTTACAATCAAATCTAACGGATTACAATAAAAATTTCGGGGAAAAAAATAATTTACACACTTTAAAAATCACAACTTCTTAAAAACATGATTAATAATAATACTATCAAATCCAAATCAAGTAAAATAAAACATAAACAACAATAATAAATTAAAATACCAATAACCAGTGTTGAAATAATACATATATCAGGGATGAAAATAAAACATGACATAAAACCAATATTTCAAAATAATAGGCACATGTAACCAAATAAAGGCAGTTTGGAATATTGAAACATTACAACAAAATATACTGTATGAAATGTTCCGATCTTCCAAGTGTTGGGTCTAAGCGCCTAATCAAAATATTTGAAAAGGGAAAACGAAAGGGGAGTGAGCTAGGGAGCTTAGTGTGTTCCAATTCGTGCAGAATAAAACATGTTAATACATTTCAAAATAAGACTTCAGAAAATCATAAAGTAATGATGACAGTAAATTTTTTATTCAAAACAGATAACTACCCTCTACTCATACACCATATGAAAAACCCCAGAACAGGCATCTATAAGGACTTTCCCTAGACCACTAAGATCTAGGAGTCCATTATGGAAGATAAAGGCATCCATAAGGACTTACCCTAGACCACTAAGATCTAGGAGTCCAATATGGAAGATACATGATCCATAAGGACTTACCGTAGATCATTAAGATCTAAGAGTCCAATATGGAAGATGCAGACATCCATAAGGACTTACTGTAAACCACTAAGATCTAGGAGTCTAATATGGAAGATACATACATCCATAAGGACTTACCGTAAACCACTAAGATATAGGAGTCTAATATGAAAGATCAGAACATACATGAATTACCAGCTAGTTGAACCTAAGAGTCTCTAGACACATACCCAGACAGTACCCCAATAAAACAATTTCAAATAACACCCGTAAAATCAGGATATCATAAAAAAAATATTTTATAGAAATACAATGAACATATATAAGGCAAATCAAAATTTTCAGATCAGTAAAACAGAACTCAGGAAAATTAGTAAACAAAATCATATTCATATGGTAGTTCAGATATATACATTTTAAAACAGATGAATATAGCACACAAGGAACACACCTTGCTAAGCGGGTCGGTCAGGGCAATCTACTGAACACCAGTCTCGCTATAATCAAAAGTAGAACGTGATCCTAAATCAGATTGGAACAGAGTTACTATCGAAATAATGTACTAAACAGAGTACTTAACGGAGTTGCAAAACCATACTTGAAATCACGGCTCACGCGGCCAGATGGATCTAGAAGAGCTGGGTCGAGTAGTCACACGATCGGGAGAATCATGGGTACCTATCATAACCAAATTCATAAGTCAGTCTTTGTCATTTTCCTTATTTTATTTAACCAATTTAATTAAAATAACTATGCAATTTCAAGCTCAAGGGTTAATTCGAAGGCTTTAGGGTTAAAATTTGACGAAACGAATTGCAATCAGACTTAAGACTTCGAAAAACATAAAATAGGACTTTTTTCGGAAAAGTTAACCTTTTGGTCAAATTAAACGCATTCAAAGGTAAAGTTAAAGCCAACGGGTCAACGGTCAACGAGTTTGATTGTCTGAGTTGACTCGGCGGTCTGACGCACGAGTTGACTCGGCTGACTAGGTCAACTCAGGTTTGACTTGACTCGATTCTGGAAATTTTGATTGGAGAACAAGCCCCACGTGCGTCAGTGGCGCGTGACGATGGCGATGGGTTGAGGATGACGATCGATTAATCGAAAAACAACCATAACATGAACTAGAATTAACCCAAATAATCAGCCAACATTGGCGAAAATAAAATATAAAGTAACCAGAGCTTACGACAGGTGATGAACAACGATGAGACGAGGAATGCGCCGGTGCAGGCGGTGTGTTCACGGGGCTCGGGATCGGCGGGAATCGAGTAAAATGACATCCGGTTTTAGAACTTCTTATAAAGCTTTCGACCGTTCTTTACGACAGAAGACAACGAGGCTTTGAAAATGGTCACCGATGTAATACCCTCAATCCGTACCCAACCTGGATACAAATATGAGGTGTCACGTTGACTTTTCAAAACTTTGACTCTTTTAAAACTCATTGAAAATTTAAAACTTTATTGGTATTTAATGGTGAAACCCTTATAACAAAATTACTATTGAAAATTCATAATTCACAATGAAAATAAATACTTGAAACTTTACATAAATGTAAAATAGTATGATTACAAAACGGATTAGAGCATTACAATTGAAAACTTTGTAATACATGCCAAAAAAATTACAAAATAACAAGGAACCTACAGTTTAAATTGTTTTGATCTGATCTTCTTCAAGCGTATGTTGTCCCATCCTAGCTTTAATCTCCTGATCTCTTTGAACCTACGTGTGAAACAATCTTACGCTAAGTCATTGACTTAGTGAGGCAATAATGAGTATAACAAAACATTTAAAAACATTTTCTTATTCAATCCATATAAAACGTTTCATACTGAAATCAAGATACATTTCATGAAATTAACGTGTATTGTTACTCATTATTCAATTTATATCATTTTATTATTTTATCCCAACACATATTACTGAGAACTCAAAGTATCTGAGTACATTGAGGTTGTACACTAATTGCAATCACCACTGCTCATATAATTTGCACCGAAGTGGCACGCATAATATGCACCGAAGTGCCACATATATTTATCCCGAAGGACCGTGTATAATTTGTCCCGAAAGACCACGTAGAAATTTGTCCCGAATGACCGCGTAGAACCCTCGACTCTTGGCATGCCAACTATACCTCTAATTCTCATACATATACCTTGGGCTTTAACCATATAATTATTTAACATTTCATTATTCCAAGTGTGTTTTATCCACGTAGAGCACATTCACATAGGGTATTTCACGTAGAACATTTTCACTTAGCACATTTTCACATAAAACATTTTCATATAAAACATAATCACATACAAATAAAATCAAAACAATACTTTGAAAATACACTTTATATAAAGTATAATAAAATATTGCATAAAATAAATAAATAGTTTTCGATCAAAAACCTTCAAGGTTGGCTTATCGCAAGCCATCATCATATCTAATATAAAAATATATAAATTGCACTCACCTTTGCCTCACAAAAGTCCTAAACGAAATCCTTTTTCTTTCGTTCAATCTCATAATATGTCGATTCTTTCGGTACGCTTACGATCCCAATATACACATCAATATGTCTAAGATCAATACCAAATTCCATTAACGGATAACCAATTAGCACTTACATAAATGGAATGAAAACTCCTAATATAATTTTCAGATTGAATAATATCGGTACTCCTCCTACAATACCGATACTTCTCTTCTGTGGCACAGATACCCACTTCAGTATCGATACCATTTTGGCATTCTGGAATTCTATTTTCAATTACAATATCGATACCTTACTCCTGGTATCGATACCTCCACATCAGTATCGATACTACTTCAATCAGTATCAATATTGTTCATCCGATTCATACTATTTCTTTCAATTTAACCCTATAGTATCGATATTGTTCTTCCAGTATCGATACCCTTACCCAAATTTTACCTCTTCCGCTTCGAATTTTACCCACACTTCACCTAAATCTTATACATTAAGCTCTAATCAAACCCTTAAACTTACTAACATTTATCATCACCAACTTATATACATTAATTACCTTTTAACAACCAAATTTCTCTATGGAACACTTAAAGCTAAGAATCATACCAAATCTTCAAACATATTCTCAATCATTTTTAAGACTTCAAATACCTTAATTAGACCATTGACAAGTCAATATTTCATTGAAAATCCAATTACTAATCAATCTCACCAAATCTCTAAAAAACCCATTTCACCAATTTATCATTCATTCACCAAACTCTTAGTTATATTCATCCTTAAGCTTTCCTTAAGCTTCTATATCCATGCTTTAAAACCAACTCAAAAATTAAAGAAACAACCAACTTGAAATTAACTTACCTTAACAATGAAGGCTTACGGGGGAAAAAAGGAGAAGAGAAGATAACTAAAGTTCCAGACTATTTTTTCCTTAGTATCTAATCCCCACATGCTTAAATAACTTAAAAAGGAATGTTATATTCATTTCCTTTGAAAAGACCAGAATGCCTTTCCAATCTTCAATCTTTTATAAAAACTCCTATACATAAATTTCCAGAATCAGTCCTTGAACTTTTTTATTTATCAAATTTAACCACTAAAATTTAAATCCTTACATTTTAGTCATTGACCCGATGTTTGGGATTTTACAATTCTCACCCTTTAAGAAAAAATTTTCTCGAATTTTCATTGTACAAAGAGATGAAGAAATTGTCTTCTCATGTCATCTTCACGTTCCCATGTCGCCTCTTTCACTTTGTGATTTCTCCAAAGAACTTTAACTATTGGAATCGTCTTGTTCCTTAGTTGTTTGACTTCATATGCTAAAATCTGCACTGATCGTCGTTGCCAGGATAGTTCCCATAGCCGTCGCTCGAGCTTGTCTTGTATCCAGTCGTGCTGATCAGCCACCGTCAAGCCTAGCTAAACCAAATCTCATCAAAGATCTCAACAAAGCCTGAAAATCTAGGGCATTAAAAGAAAAATCATCACAAACAGTATTGACAGAGGAGCAAGTATTATTAGGTTCTTTTTTTATTTGAAAAAACTATGTTATTTCGGGTAAACAACCTGATGAAAAAATTGTAATTTCGGGTATTTTCAGAAAGCAGAAAAAAACTCTAAAGGTAAATTTTTCAGTTCGAATAAAAAAATATATGTATAGTTATATTCGTGAAAAAGAAGGGAAAATAGAGAGTTACCTGAGAGGGAAGATGAATCGAAGGGTCGATTCATCTTCACGGTGGTCGGAGCGAGGGAAAAATGAAATGTCAAAGGGTTCTTTTTGGTACTTATGCGTGTTGTTTGATGATTTTAACCCTAGATCTGGGTCTAGGGGAGTAGATCGGAGCGTATAAGGTAGTTTGAGGTTGGTTTAAGAACTCCGACCACCGTGTGTGGTGGTTGGAATGGCGGTCGAAAACGTTGACAACATAGTTTTGGCTCTCGGTCGAGAGAGAGATGAGAGAGTTTTCAAAAAAAAATTTGGGTTTTAAGTTGAAAATAAAAAAAATGTGTTTTATAAAGGAAGTTTGGGGTAAAATCACGCTTAGGTCCCTCTAGTTTTAGCGTATTTTTGCACTTTGGTCACATGCGATAACCAAATATGTTATTTCTTCTTTTTTTTCTCATGCTATGTATTGATTAGTATATTCACACTTAGGTCCCCCTAGTTTTAACATGTTTTTGCATTTTGGTCACTTGTAGTGATTGTTTTATTTTATTTTAATTCAGTTAGACTGATTTTGTAATTTTCACATTTTTATTTAATAGTATATTTTAGGTTTAAAAAATTGGATAATTATTTTTTGTATGTGTAGTTTTAGCGTATTTTTATATTTTGTTCACTAACTTGCTTTTTATTTTATTTTTTTTAATTTAGTTATTCAATTTAAATTTATTTTAATCTAGTCCTTGTATTACATGTTTAATTTATTTCTTTTAAATCCCTATAATTTCATGACAATGTGATCTAGTCTCTTTATATTTAATTTGTTAAGATCTTGATTAAAATTCATTGTTGTTTTTTTAGTTTGCATTTAAATTTTATTAGTGGTTTGATACTTTAAAATTCATGGTTATTTATATTTATTTAACCTTTAGAATTTGTCTATGAATTAAGATATTTAAGTGAAAATTTTGATCTAGTAATTAGAGTTTCACCGTAGATTTAATTAGAGAACAATTCAATTCTAGTTTTCGCATAAAATGCTCAATTACTCGAGTCAACTGTTTGAATCCACAAATTATTAATCATTACTTAATTTTTAAAACTTATTTATTTCAACTTTTTAAATAGTTAATTAGCACAATTGGTAGAGCTTGATTTATTGATTAATCCTTAAACTTTAGGTATTATAGAATTAGATCCTTAAACCTTAAATTTTTACGTTTAGATCTATTGATTATAGTTCTCTTATATTTTAGTCCTTAAATTTTAATTAGAACTTTAAATTAATATATTTAAATATGTTAAATAGAGCCTCTACTTTTAGTTTGATTTCAATCTAGTCTTTTTTATTTAGAGAATAATCTGAGTTCACCCTCGTCTAAATGCTCAAGGGACCATCTCGATTATTCAATTTAATAACTGATTAAAAATCAAGTAGGATTAATATTAGAGCCTACATTTTTAGGTTTATGCCTCTAGGTTCTTCAATTTTCATAATTTCACATTTTAAGATAGAGAAAGCCTTAATCTACTTTTAGTTTAATTAAGATTAATAATAAATTGTTTGTTTGCATCTTATTTTAAAACCTAAGGCAATGTTCACTTATTAGGGAGTCAACAATATATCTCTCGTAAATATGCTCAGGGGGCGACTACTGGTGATACCTGATATAGGTCGACATCCTTTTCAATACCGCATCATAATTTCTAAAATATCGAGGCAATGTTTGGTTATTGGACACAATAGATGATCTCCGGCATTCATGCTAGGGGCGAATGCTATTGACTTTAATAAACGAATACTCTTTTCAATTTTGCATCTGTAATGATTTTTTTAAATTAGATAAAGTTTGAAAACAAAATTTTCAATTCTAAATATAGGGTAATCAACTAGGTACCAATATTTGGGCGCTATGGGGGTACTAATCACTCCCCACGCGTAACTGACTCCCGAACCTATTTTATGGTTTTTATAGACCCTAAACTTGATATTTTAAAAGAAATAAAATATTTTATTAAAATCATATGGTTTTTATGGTGTCTCAATCATACTTTAAAATGATTGGTGGCGACTCCTCACATTTCAAAACATTTTCAAAGAAAAACCCCCAAGTTGTACTAAGTTTTTTCCCACCCGGATGAAAAACTGTGTCGACAACCATGTTAGATGGAAACTGTTAGTTGACTAACCTTTAACACATGTTGTTGACGTGAAATTTTCACATAGGCTCTTTTGTTGACATGACATATGTCACACAACTATTTTTGGTGACATGACACATGTCGCTTCATCAATTAATCACATGTAAAAATGTCATGTCAGTAATATGTATTGATTGTTAATAAATTAATTATTTTCATCCAACATAGTATGTTTTGATAAAAAAATTGAAACGTTTGGGACGCAATATGATCAAAAAAATAAGGGGCAAATTGATCATTTGTGAAAATATTAGGGGGCAATTGTATCATTATATTAAAAGAAATAAAAACGAAAATGACTACTAAAATAAACGTTGATGGACTAATTTTGACATTATTCCATATTTGCTGATCTCATTTTTGCTTATGTTGGGGATCAGAAAACTGCCCAAAGTCAAAGTAAATTCTACTGTAATGACCGTGACCCACCACCACACACATTCCCCCATTTTCATAAGAATCCAAAATTAATGCTGTGGTTTTGCACCTCTTAATGAACCCCCCCCCCCCAGTTCACCTTCGGACCTTCCCTTTACACCATCTAACAGTTTGGTGCAGTAAATGAGAATATAAATGAGAAAACTCTAGTCCTTTCGTCAAAACCTTGAGAAAACTAAAAAGGTCAAGAATCATGAACGGGAGAAGTAGAAGAAGAGCAAGAGAAAGCAGCCCAGACAGGGCCAAAGTCTGTATGCAACAGCAGCAAACAAAGGCAGTGAAACCCATCAGAAAAGTTCAAGTCGTTTACTACTTAACCAGAAATGGCCAGCTTGAGCATCCTCATTACATGGAAGTGACCCATTTGGTCAATCAACCACTTCGTTTGAGAGGTGAAACCCAAACCCATTTGCGTCAATTCACCGTATTTTGCTTGTTTATGTTTTGTTTTTGTTTTTGTTTTTGTTTTTTTCACAGATGTAATGGAAAGACTCACAGCTCTTAGAGGCAAAGGAATGCCCTCTCTTTACTCTTGGTCCTGTAAAAGGTTCCCCATTTTTGTTCTTGAACCCATCAAAGTTGCTTCCTTTTTCAGTTTTGTGTTTTTTTAGCTGATATTGATGTTTTGATCCCACTAGGACTTACAAGAATGGTTATGTATGGAATGATTTAGCAGACAATGATGTAATCCCTCCATCTGATGGAGCTGAATATGTTCTCAAAGGCTCAGAATTGGTTGATGGTTGCTCTGGTCTGCCACTTTTTTAGCTTCAAAGTTTCCATTTTTAACCACAACCCAAGACTCACCAAGTGTTTGTTTGTTTGTTGCAGAGAGATTACAGCAAATTCAAATCAGCAAAATGGACCCCAAACTAAAGCCCTCAGCTTTTGCTTTGACTCGGCAAAGAGAACCCCAAGCATCAACATATGAAGAAGAGCAAGAATTTGATGATGATGAAGAAGAAGAATATGAACTAGATGAGGAGAAAACTTGCTACACAAGCTCAACAACAACTCCCCACTCTCGCTGCTCAAGAGGGGTTTCCACTGATGAACTTGAATACCAAGAAACCAATACCCAAAAACCCATCATTGAGAAGCAAGACCAGACCAAAAACACTGCATCCAAGCGGTTTGAAGATGGCGACTCGGTTGCCAACGGCCGTAACTCGTCGGTGCTGCTTCAACTCATCGCATGTGGGAACTTAGCCGTTAACAAAGCCAAGAACATACCGAATAATGTGGTGAAGAAGAGTGAAGATCTGCATAGAGGGTCGTTTGTAAATCTGCAGTAAAGGTTAATGAAGATGATCAGATGATAAGCTGCATGTCTGAGAATCCGAGGTTCGGGAATTTGCAGGCAGAAGAGAAGGAGTACTTCAGTGGCAGCATTGTTGAGTCAATCAAGTCCGAGAACCGAGTTGTGGGTGATGAGCCATCGCTCAAAAGATCCAATTCATATGATGAAGAAAGGTGGTTCGTTTGGTTCCCTACTTAAAACCCTGCAAATTTTTCACTTGAATCAACTTAATGATTCATTTGGTTTTGATTTTGAATCAGCAGGAGCTGCAAGGCTGCACTGAGTGGAACATTGGGAGAGGAGAAAAAGGACAAGGTGGTGAAAGGGAACTGTATTCCCAGGAAGAAATTACCAAAGCAAACCAGAAAAAGTTAGGGTTGACTAGATTCATACACTTTGTTGATGCAGTAATTAGTAGTATTAACAGTTAGGGGATGTTATCATTATTAAGAACAATGTTCTTCACTTTTCAATGTGGTATATGTTCCATTTCAATATGTTCTTTTAAAGAGAATTTACTTGTTTTGAAAATTTAAATGTTAATCTTTTAAATATGGGGCTTACACCATTATGACATTCTATATGATACTTCAAAATAAGGATTAGATTGAATTAAATTTAAAAATATATATATTATATTTTTGAATAATCCAAAATGATTAGAACCAATTCAAAAAAAAAAATCATTATTCAAATCAAATAAGCTTGTGCAATAACATAGAGGTTAATTTCAAGGAGATAGTCTAAAATACAACTTGTTAATCTAAGGTTAGAAAACAACATAAATCAGTTAATTGAAAATCTTATACTCTCTCGGTTAGGGATGGATATGAGATCTGATCGGGTCGGGATTTTTTTTAATCGGGTTTGAGTCAGGTTTGGGTTTTTTTAAAGATGATGTTCGGATCGGGTCGAATTTGGGTTTAGGCTGAAAAATATACGACCTGAAAAAATATAATTTTATCTTATATATTTAGGAATAATTACAATAATACCCTTCTATATATTATTTTTTTCAATTAAATCATTGTTTTTATTGAATAAAAATAATATTTTTATGATTTCGGGTCAGGTCGGATCGGGTTCAGATTTTATCTCAAAAAGTTGGGTCGGGTGGAGGGTATGTATTTTTCGGGTCGGATTGGTTGAATGATGTAAAATTTTCGGGTCGGGTTGGCCGAAACTCAACCCATGCCCATCCCTACTCTCTATCACATTAAATCTGTTCAATGTTGACTTTTTTAGTCAATTTTTTAACTTTGACTTATTATTATTTAAAATGTATTAATAATAAAATATCAAAATATATATTAAAAACCTTAAATCAATTAGTTTTCAAATATGTATTTTATAAAATTTTAATTATTTAAAATAATTAAAATAATCATGTTCAAAATTTAAAAAATTTAACTTTTCAAAAATTAACAATGAACACATCTAGTGAGACGAAGAGAGTAAAAAAATGTAACTTTTTAAGTTGAACAGAATAATATTTTAACTTGAAAGCAAAAACCATTACCTTATTCATAATATTTTTTATTATAACCGAAATTATTTCAAAACGTATAATTTTTTCGGTTATAATTTTTTTTCTTTCATTAAAAAAATGGAATGATTGCACCATGCGGTTATAAACTTTAAATTCACAGCAATGTAACTTTTTAATTAATTTCTAAAAAAGAATGTATTAAGTCAAATAAAATTAACATTTTAAGTCAAAAAATTATTTTAAAATATCTTAAATTATACTGTACACAACAACTTTCTAAGTTGTTAATTAATGTGAGAAGTCATTCATGACTTTAACGTATGGGTTTAGGTTTTTTTTTAAATTATATTCGAGTTGGATTCAGATTTAGGATGAAAAATACTCGATCTGATCTGACTTCGACCCTTAAAAATATAATTTTACCTTATATATTTAGAAATAATTACAATAATACCCTTTTATATATATTTTTCAATTAAATCATTGTTTTTATTGAATAAAAAAATATTTTTTATTACTTCGGGTCGAGCTGGATCGAGTACGGATTTTATCTTAAAAAATTGGGTCATATTCTTGTCGGGTGGAGGATATATATTTTTCGAGTCGAGTCGGGTGAAAAATATAAAATTTTTAGATCGAATCTAATTATCTGAAACCCAACTCATTCCTATCCCTACTTTGACGTGACCGCCTTCCAAGAAAAGATTCATTATCTGCCCACTTTTTCTTTATAGGAGCTCCCTTTATTCACTATGATATTGTTTATAGTAACTGATTTAAGGATAATTTTTAGTGATCCTCTCCTTTATATTATTCATCCATGTCTCACGTATGTACAAAAAAAAATTCATCTTCAATGTGGATTCTGAAAAAAAAAACTGCCTTGATAAAATGGGTGATATACGGTGACAAATTTATTAATTTTATATCGATTTATGGCAAAAACAAAATAATATTTGTTCAAAGATAACGTTCAACCTCTTGATAATGAACGCTCACTCTCCTGATATTCTCAGTGGTTGAACCCAGATTCTCAAGGAATAACATTTCTTTTACCACGAAAATCATTTGCTTCGTGCTAACTTAATTAAAATTTTAAAAAAATAGAGTAATTAAAATATATAAATTATTATAATATTATAATATTTTAAATATAATGTCATAAATTTTTATTTCAATTGTATCACTTTTATTTCAACTGGCAAGAAATATTATGCTTCATACACCAAGCATTTATCATTTAATTTCAAGCTTACAACATCCGACATTCGAGCTATCAAGTCCAAACCCAGAGTTTATAGAAAATTCAAATCCCAAATAAAAAGTACAATCAACAGTTACATGGTAACTGATGGTAATTCATGTGTTAAACAGCAACAGCAGGCCTGAGGGAGACGAGTGCTTTCTTAATTCTCTCGAAAGCAGCTTGTATGGTGGTGAGGGACGCTGCATACGATATCCGAATGCAGCTGTCGTCCCCGAATGCATCTCCGGGGACTAGTGCAACCTGTCAATCATTACAAGCAGTCTTCAATGTTCAACATAGTGTTCAATCACTTCCGTAAATATCGATTGAAAGAGATCGAGATCTTTAAATCCACATTCGATGTAGCATACCTGAGCATTGTCCAGGAAGTATCGACAAAGTGACTCCGAATTTTCAATTTTACCAAAACCTTCAGCTTCTATTCCGTAGTAAGAACTGAAATCAATGAAGAGGTAGAAAGCCCCCTGCAAACCAAATGCAGTGCAAGCAACTTGAAGAGCTAAAATACTGAACCGTTGAAGAAAACAGGATGTGCATGCATGGTTTGCAGAATAAGAGTTGTACCTGAGGTTCTGATATCTTGACACCTTCCAGTTCCCCAAAGCTTTTAACCAAGAAATCCCGCCGTTCCCTGAATGCTTTCACCATGGTGGAAATTGCTTCCCCACCGGCATATCCCAAGCCTAATGCAGCAACTCCTGCTTTTTGTGCTATACTGCTGGATCCTGAAGTGGACTGAATATATGAACCAAATATAGGTTTAGATTTTTGCATAATGATTAAACTGCCAAAACTACACATTTAACTAACACATTAATGTTTTGATATGCATAATCTACATAAGTACACTAATAGATATATCAACCTATTGGAACTATTTTTTTTTTGATAAAGAGAAGAGGTCTCATTAAAAAACCCCTTCATAACCATCGTAAAACTAAATTTTACGAGAACTAATTGACATATTGGTATTCCATTGCCATGTACTGAAATCCCAGGATATTTCTAACCCCATTTCCCACCCTAATTTGGATCAAATGTTCTCTTCATCCATTGCTTTACGGCCGCTCAATTATATATTCAAAACGTGATAATACTTTGCTAACATTTGGTAAACAGATGGTTTAGTATTTTATTGAATCCAACAATCACAATTACATGCAAGTTCATTCAACTACAGCATCAACCCTCGAGCAAATTACAGTGCATCGAACTTGTCAAGTATTAATAAATATGCACAATGTTCTCACTGTTATCACGGGTCTCACTAGCAAATCCACAATATCCTATGTTGTCCATGTTAAAGAACCACACTAATTGCTACATAGCTTCAACTTTAACTTCAAAGAGAACGAAACAAGCTAAAGGGTGTGTAATCGGTTCAAAACGCTTTGGCAGCTTGGAGTAATATCAAAAGTATGAACATGGAATAACTTGAACAAGTATTGGAGCTAGGAGGTTCAAAGACTAACTTGAGATGATTAAACCTATATAATTGGGCACATGCCTTGTTCTAAAATATACAGGGAGGCTTACCAACAAGAATGGAAGTTAGCACAATATTTAACCTTCAGAATGATGCAGCAAAAAAATTAGAACTGATTTAGATACGAATTTAGATTAAATCTCTCCAGAGCAGTTGAAATACCAAAAGTACTAATATGTTGGCTAGCTTGCCTAAAAATAGGGGTTTCAAATAAGTATGCTGCAAAACGACAAAAAAATCTGAAACAAGGTATAATGCCCGATAAAGAATAGTGCAACAGAAAATGGTGGTGACCAAGGTAGTTAGTACCATACCAATGGACATACCGTTTTTCCTCCGGTTCTGGTACATATAAGAACCAGTGTACCGTTTTGAGTATATCGATATTTTTAAATATCGTTCATATATAATATTTACATGCAAATATACCTCAATTAGACATATATTTATATGAAAATACAAATTTTAAATTATTAATTAAAAAATAGTCAAGAGAAAAAGATTAAAAATTGGATTAAATCTTGTACTAGACGGTATGGGCTGGTACGCACCATTGCAGTCTGGTATTGACCAAAATAGGCCAATATACACTAAAATTTAGACAAAAATGGAACTTAAACCGGTTTAAGACCGGTATGGTACCGACTACCACGGTAGTGGCCGGCTGGTCGCATCTGCAGTCCCCAATATACCACACAGCAAGAAAAAGTGTCAAGTCTTCTGATCATTCTCTATGTCAGACTAGCAACAAAATCTACTTGAGCTCCAATGAAGTTGTTCAAAGAGTTAATAATAGGCAAAGGCGCATTGCCTCCCGCATGCAGGATACAGTTTTCTCTGAAAAAATGAAAATCATGCACATAATGGAACATACCTGACTCTGGATTTTATTACATGCCGCAACAAAGTGCTTAGGTCCGGCAATGTATCCAAGCCGCCAACCAGTCATTGCAAAAGCCTACAAATGTCATCTTCAAAATGTCAATCCTCAAAAATGACCACTAAAGGAACCACGCCAAAGTTAAGCATGGAAAATAATCAATTAAGTAGAGGGGACTACTTAAACCAAGGTTTAAATGCAATTGAGTTACCTTGGAAAAGCCATTGACAGTTAGAGTCCGCTCCCACATGCCTGGTAATGATGCAAAGCTTGTGTGAGTTGCTGGAGCGTAAATTATATGTTCGTATATTTCATCAGATAGCACCTGGATAAGTCGATAACAAAAAGATCAGTGTTAGTATCAGCATAGCATATTTCTGAGATTTCAGGTTATGCAATAATACCAGAAGCCTAGGATGCTTTGCTACAATTTCTGCAATTTTTTCAAGCAGTTCCTTAGGGTAAACAGATCCAGTTGGATTTGATGGAGAGCATAGAATCAGCAGTCTCGACTTTTCAGTGATTTTAGACTCAAGGAGCTCTGGATCCAATAGAAAATTGTCAGACATGAGTGTCGGGAGAATAACAGGTGTTGCATCAGCCAGCCTTGCCATTTCCGGGTAACTCACCCAATATGGAGCTGGAATTATTACCTGAAATAAATTATGCACTCATAATCAAGCCACCTCTCATAACTCTACTTTCTGGAAGCATGATTTTGAGTACCTAATTAAGGCTATTAGCAGACATTACATTTGGAAAAAAGATCTAACACCATGAACAGGAAATAACCATTTTACCATGCATCATTACATTTGTCAAGCGTTTCAAATCCATACTTTATTTCTTATTGCCTAAATTTGTACCTTGGGAACTTGGAAGTTAAATACATATGGTGTAATTTAACCTTTGATAAAACAATCAATGAAGAAATTTGGTCAATAGCTATCACTATAAAGTGGTATATCTATGAGACTGGATACTGTAATCAACTTAACAGATAATCAAACACAATTGAACATTCTTGTTAAAGAAACTGTAGTTTTCACAAAGGTTGAGTTTGGAAACATGAGCTTAATGGGGGTATTTGAATTTGACAAATTCTGCAAATTGCCGATGGATTCATTCAATATACGAAAAAAGTAAAAAAGTTCTAAAGGAGAAGGTGGCCCCTCTGATATTCTTAGAAGGAATATAGTTTTCAAACTCACCTCAATATGAAATCAGAAACAATGGTATTTGAATGCAACCTTTTCTTACATTTTAAAATATCATTCATGGGATTTGGTGTCCACATTTTATTATTGTTTTGATAGAACAATTAATCAATGGAAAGGATTACATATTCCAAAGAATATTCACTCAATTCAAAGGTAAAGATTGTCAAATTTAAAAATTATACCTCATCACCCGGAGAACAAACTGCGAGAACTGCTTGAAGGATACTCTGCTTAGCACCATTACTAACCACAACTTGATCAGGCGTATACGTGATTCCATTCTCCTCTGAAACAAATTAAAGGAAATGTTTAAAAAAAAGAGCTCGAAAAAACATGAGAAACCAAGCCTCATCCTACTCCAAAGGTAAACACACATCAAATTTACACTTTTTAAATCAGAAAAGAACTTGCATAAATATACATTTACCTTTAAGCTTATGACAAATGGCCGTACGAAGTTCCATAGTACCAGCATTGGGAGTGTACCTTGTGTAACCTTCACGAATAGCATTTATCCCAGCCTAACTTTCCAGAAACAACAAAATTACAATAAATCAAATTCCTAATTATGGGGAGAACAGTGTTTAAACTAAAAGATGTCACAACTTAAACAGAGAAAACAACAAGGGAACAAAATGGATTAGAAAAAGAAAAGTAAGCACCTCTGCTATAACGGCTGGTGTATCAAAGTCAGGCTCTCCAGCAGCCAACCGAATAACAGGGACACCAGCTTGAGCAAGAGCAGTTGCATGATCAGTTATAGCCACGGTCTTTGAAGGCTTTACAGAGTTAACTCTGGGGCTCAAAGAGATATCAACTTTCACTTGGTCGGAGCTGCTACTCTCTTCCTTCGACATTGCCTTTATTCTAGATAACTGTTGTATCGAAGTCTCAACCGATCTGCCAAGAAATACATACAACTAGACAATGAAATTCTCCAACATATCTGGCCCTTTCTCTCCTTGGGGGAGAATCAGACTTTTGAGACTACTTCGCAATTTTCACACAAATGAAAAACTGTTTTCCCAATATATTTTCTTCTTTTAATCTTTAAGTTGATAGATATGATTGCTTGTGATAGAGTGTAACAAAGGTAAGTTTCTTAAATTAAAATAGCTCTACAACTTCAATGAATCAGCTGAAGGAATGAAATAAAAAAGAATACTACTACATAAAATCACATCCACAGCAATACGTTTTTAACTCTGCAAAGATCTAAACTAGCATCTCGCAGAGAATCCCATATTCATTATCAGATGCAAAGAATTGACCCATATTTGACTTATAAAGGATTTTGACAAAGCAAATGCATTTGAAAAAGAAGAAGAAAAATCCCCAAGAATATCCAAGTGGAAAATAGACATTGCAACTTCTCAAACCTAAGGCTATCTACTTTGCAGATACTTTATCTTTATGGTAAAGGAAGCAAAAATAAAATAAAAAAGTTGAATGCCAATTGCCAAGTTCTACTTGGAAAGCTAACACTTTATCAAGAAATAAATTTACTGTCCTTATTCAAATGAACTGAATATACAGAATACATAATTCATCAAATGCAATCAGAACCCAAAGTTTCTTCCCCGAGAATGAAACAAAAAAACAAGTGGCACAAATAATTAGAAGGCTGAAAGAGGAACTTACTTGAGGGAGAGATAAGCAACAGAAGAAGGGAAAGAAACGGAAATTGCCTTGGAGGAGGAATTTGATCCCAGAAATTGGGAAGCGAAGCCAACACGGGAAATGCTTGTTGAATTATGAAGAGAAATTGCCATTTTGAATGAAGAAAATCAAAATAAAATCTTAGACAATAGGTGGAAGCTTTTGCTTCTGAGCCAAATAAACAAACAAAAGCCAAGTCAAAATATGAAAAGAGAAGGGTTGTTTGAGCAAAGAGAAGAATAAAACGAAGAGGGGGTTGTTGGAGAAAATGGGGTTGGTGCGAGAAAGAGTATATTATACAATAAACGAATAACTCCGAACTCTGAATTTATTATGTCAATATCCTAAGCCTAATATTTGAAAATTAAACGAGGCGCGTAACAGATGCTTTACTTTCCGCCGCCGCCGCTCTTTACTTTTTATCGACGATCGGCTTCTCTCGCTTCTAATGCCCGAGCGAGGATTTATTTATTTATTCAGAGCGCCGACGCTCCGTCGCACGGCGGATTTACTTTTTATGAAAAAGAAATAGAGATAAAATATACTAATAATCTCGACTATAAATATTGTTTTTAATCTTTTAAAAATAAAATATATATTTAATAATTAATAATTTAATTTAATATTAAATTTATTTCTCTATTTTTATAATTGATTTTTTAAAAAAATAATTTTCTTCAACAATAATAAAAATGAATTAAAAATTAAAAGAATTATGAATTTTTATAAATTTTTCAGTTAAAAGTTTAAATTAAAAACTTTTGTATGTTCAATCGCATTCAAACTTATAATATTTACGAAATAAACGATTTTAATGATTATAAAATTATTTTTGTCCTTTGAGATTTTAGGTTTTAACACGACATATACATATATGTACGAACGTTTAATACTAAATTGTTTACAGTTAAAAAAATTTTAAGTTGATGAATATTATTTATATCTCAAACTTTATTTAAATTTTTTAGTCCATTTTAATTGAGTTTTTCGGGTTTTTATTTAAATATAATTGTAAATTCTTATAATATTATGACACTATTTAATTCAAATTTAAACGATTTTCTGTAACTATATATGACATACATATATATTTGTTCATTTCGAACTTTAAAAACAATTCATTAATTATTAAAAAGTTATGAATTATTCGAATTTTATTTTATAACTCGACTCAAATTTAAATTATTTTTGTAATCGAGTTTATAAATTACGAGTCGAATCAAATTCTTAAAATTACAAATTGAAATGAAGTTTTGTTGTCGTCTTTTTTTTATTATTATTGATGAGAGAAACTTTACCTAATTTAGTTGTAGGTGGCTGCTCTGCTCATCAACTCATCTCTCCTACGCTACACCACCTACCCCTCTGTAAGGTAAATTGGGATTTTCTTAATTTAAAAATATCTAATTTGAATTAATTCCAATAAATGGCAACTGCAAATCTTCTAAGTAAAGAAATAAAAAACACACACACGAGATTTTCGGAGGGGATATTTGCTTTTATATTTTTAGACAAATGATCGTGTTAATTGTTAAATAGTTAAAAATCTTTATAATATATGATATTATTGAATCGAAGGATTTTGACTTAACCCGAATTTATAATATATATTATCACATAGGGATGGGTATGAGACTTGAACTCGATGGGTTCTGACCCGACCCAATCGAGTAGGGTTATTTAAAAAAATCAGGTTCAGGTTGGGATTTTAAAGGTGTGTTCGGGTCAAATTAGAATCGGGTTTAAGGTAAAAATATCTGATTCGACTTGAAAAATATATAATTTATCTTATATATTTAATTATATATTTAGAAATTATTATAATAATACCATTCTATATATTATTTTTTCAATAAATCACTATTTTTATTAAATAAACATAATATTTTTATTATTTCGGGTCGGATCGAGAGAGTTTGGATTTTATCTCAAAAATTGGGTGGGGTTTAGGTCGAATGGAGGTATATATTTTTCAGGTCGAGTAAAATCTAATGATGGATGTAAACTTTTCTGGTCGAATTGAGTTGGATGAAAATCAACTTAAACTCGACTAATACCCATCCCTACTATTACTTGTATTTACCATAAAAAGAATTAACAAAATATTATGACATAACGTATTCACCAAAATTTTGAAACCCGCGCTTTGGGTTCTTATTTTCTTTTCATTGGTCTTTTCTTTTTCTTTCATGACTCGACTCGAGGCCTTAACTAGTTAAATTAAGTTATTTTTTATATAATCTTTTACTATTTATGTTAAAAAATATATTTCATTAAAAAATTAATAATTTACTAATATATGATAAATGACTAATTTGTTAATAAAAATATTCAATTATTAATTAATAATTGCTATTTTACTACACCAAAAAATTAAGCCCTAATTATTATTTTAATGTATTTATAGATTTTTATTTTGAAGTTTAGACTTTGAATTTGTTTTATACACTATTTTGATAATTTTTTTAGTTAAATTTATCAATTTACTTTTATATTGCGCTATTTATAGTATTAATAAATTTTACTTATAGTTAAAAAAATAAGATAAAAGTTTTGGTAAGTTTAACGAATAACAAGATAATTAATGAGTTTAACGAGCAACGAGTCGAGTCGAGCAATAACATTTTTTAACAAGCACGAGTCGAGCAATGTCAAACTCGCGATCCACTCGCTCGATAAACACTCCTACCACTAACCTTAGTGTCGTCGTCAATATTTTCTTTTTATCTCGCATCTTTGGTTTTTTGTTTTTAATAACTCTATCTATATGCTTTCATAGCACACTTTTTCTCTTCCTTTTGGCACGCTTTTTATTTTCATTTTCGATCATTTATTATTATTTTCTCTCATTGTTGGATTTGACGTTACCGCGATTGATTAAGATGGCTTCCATTTGTTATCTCGTTGATCTTTCATACTTTGGACTCTCGAATTGGATTTGGAGGCAACTTGGGATCATAGATAATTATCTCTTGATGCTTAGCTCTGATTTACATTTTGTTAGTTGTCTTTCAGTAATTTAAATCTCTATTGTGATTTGTTTGTTGTAACAGTCAGATTTACTCATATTTATCCATTGTTCGAGTTTTTCCAAATGAAATTTATGTTGAGTGGCTAATTTTTTAATGTTTTTAGGAGAATATCACATTTATGTATATAATTTACGATTTTTTTTTCGTAAAATTTATTGTAATTTTGGACTTTTTTATTTATCAATAAAATTAGATGCTTCAAAAAAGAATGCTAAGGCAAATTATGCATTTAGTACATAAATTATTAGTTTTAGTATCTAAACTTTCAATATTTTTAAAATCATACCTAACATTTAGTTTTTATTTCATTTTAGAACATCATCAAAATTTAACGGCACTGCATTTTTTATGAGTGAATTACATCGTTCATCACTCAACTATCTTCTCACTCTTATTTTGGTACTAAAGTTTAAAAAAATTTCGATTTAACTATCAACTTTCAAATTGCTCCTATTTTAATCCCTATAATCTATTTTATTAATAATCTTTGTGACATGAAACTTTTATTATTATTTTATTAATATATAATTAAAATAAAAAAATTAAATTTGAAAGTTAGAGTGATTAAATTAAGAGTAATTTAAAAGTTAAGTGATTAATTAAAAAAATTAAGCTTTAGTAACTAAAATAGAAATAAAAAAATAGTTGAGTAATGAATGATATACGGGATAAGAGTGCATGCTACAGGGTGCCGCCGGGGCAATGCTGGTTTACGATATAACGAAACGCCAGACCTTCGATCACATCCCACGTTGGCTGGAAGAGTTGCGCAGCCATGCCGACAAGAACGTCGTTATTATTCTGATCGGGAACAAATGCGACCTTGAGAACCAGCGGTTTCCTGGAGACCTCAGCCCTTGAGGCAACCAATGTGGAGACTGCCTTCATGACTGTGCTCACCGAGATCTTCAACATCGTGAACAAGAAGAACCTGGTTGCCGACGAGAATCAGGGAAACGGCAACACTGCGTCTCTAGCAGGCAAGAAGATCATCATTCCAGGTCCAGCACAAGAAATTCCGGCGAATAGCAACGTGTGCTGTAGATCATGAGTTACAGATTGCTTCAATTTTGTTTCTTAAAGTTATCGATTCTATCCAATTATCCTGCTAAAGTTGCTTAGTGTTTGAAAGTATGGCTACTGATTTAGCATAGTATTTGTATGAACAAGAGAAATTGGGAACCAGGTCCAATAATTGCAGCACCTTGTATTTGTATCAACTAGGGCTGTAAACGAGTCGAGTATTGCTGAGCTCGACTCAACTCGAAATATTGCGAGCTTAAAATTGTCAAATCCGACTCCAACTCGAAATAAAAAAATTAAAGTTTGATTCGACTCGGAAGCTCGAGCTTAGAATTTTCAAATTCCACTTATAAAAAATTGAAACTTGACTTTATCTCAAAACCAAAAATACATAACATATAAATGTTAATATTATTAATTATTTAAAAAATCTAAAATTTTAACATATTTTTTAATAGCTCACAAGTTTTTCAGGTATCAAATACTCGCATTGGTTCGTTGAGAATTTGAGTCGAATCAATACTTAAATCGAATCCATTCGATTTAAATATTGAATAAGCTTTAAACAAGTTGATCTCGAGTAATCGTACTGTCTTATTGAATAAGACATCGAATGTCAGAAAGTTCATCAAGTAAATAGAAGAATAGGCAAACACAACCAAAGGAAACAACAGAACTTGGGGTACAATCAAGCTGCAATGGATGGCTTAGAAGCAGCAGAAAGCCTGGATCTCTTCTTGGCCAAGCTCTCGCTCCTTCGCTCGCGCTGTTCCTTCAACCTTTGGGCAAGGAGCTTCTGATATTCGGCAGCATCAGCCTTGGCCTTCGCAACTCTCTTCTTCTTCTCCGAAATTCTCGCACGCTTCCTTTGCAAGGTCAACGGAGTCACCAACCTCTGAATTTTGGGAGCCTTGCTCACTTTCTTACCTGCATTCCATTAAAGGGTTACTTTACCTTTTTTATTGGGGAGCACCTCCTGTCACTTGATGATGCGCAAATAAATACTTTGCACTCACCGGATTTGGTTGTGAAGGTTCGACGATATGTGTTGACGTACTTCCTAACATCGTCCTCCTTAGCGAGGTTGAACAGCTTGCGGATTTTTGAAGCTCTCTTAGGACCCCTCATTCTTGGCTTCTCGGTGTCGGTCAATCCAGGAAGATCATTTTCACCCTTCTTCACAATAACCAAGTTCAGAACCGAAAGATCTTGACTAACGATGCATCCGCGGACCGACTTCCTCCTGCGCTCTCCATTTCTTCTACCGTATCCGCGGAAGCAGGGAGTACCTGTTTAGAGAAAATTGGTCATTAGGTCAACCGGAAACCCATACAAGAAAAAACATTTAGGAAAGTAATCTGCAGTCTACAGACCTCTGTGAAGCAAAAGACGAACACGGCCTGGAGTAAGGACTCCTTGCTTCATCGGAAAACCTTGCTTGTCACAGCCTCCCATGATCTTGAACACGTATTCCTTAAACTCCTGTCAAATAATAATTGCAAGACAGCAAACAGCAATCAAAACGGCAAGATTCAACAGCATAAATTCGAAAGGGAAGCTACAAGCAACTAAGAAACATACTTCACCGAGGGCATCACCACTGACTTCTTGGGAGATCCTCTTGTCAAAAAAGGCTCGACTGTTATACGAAAGTTCGAGTTCAGTATTCATCCAAATTTCATGAACATATGATCTAAAATTTGAACTAGCTTCCACCCAGTTATTGCAAATCTCTAAATGCTCTAAATTCAATCTCACTCAATTCAAAATAGCCAAAACGAAGCCATAATTTTCATCTGGATGTTTTCATTGGTTAAGGTAAGTAGCTAACAAGCATTAGCTTTAACACTAACATCGAATTTAGAGCAGCAAAATTAAATCAAACCCAATATTCTTCTTGGATAAGGGAAGTGGGAAAGGAGAAGAAAGATTACAGTTTCTGGTCATCATCAATTTCCAGCTTCTTCTGGCAACCGGTGGTTGGATTTGCAATATTGAACTGAAACAAACAAATGAAGTGAATTAACAGAACCCAAAAGGAATTGAAATATATATTTTTCTTATTAATAAAGAGCGAAAGAGGGGAAAGACCTTCATTTTTCTCTGATGGTTCTTTAGAATACAAGAGCTCGGGGAGAAATGCCGCCGCCGCCGCCGCTCTTGCTGGCTTAAGGTTTCCTCCCACGAGAGGATTAGGGTTTATATATAAAAGGATAATAATATGATTGGCCCGAAGTATATTTTTCACTTGTTTGGATTTATGTTTAGTCATAAAACAGGCCCATGATAATTTAAATTTCAGAAAATTTTGTAGAGTATTATGCTCAAGAATATAGTTGTATTTTTTTTTGTCCTCCCGATTTTAAGACTTAAACCACACGCTTAGTTTTGGTGGATGAATCTCCCGACAGAAATTTTACACATGTTATAATTACTTATCCTATTTGTTATATTAAAAAATAAAACATTTGCATAGTATTTTGATACGATAGGTTTCATTTTGACTTATGAGTAGGATTGTGCAAAAAGATTCGAACAATGCGATCCGTTGATTTGATGATTTGATACTAAAATTTGGATATCTGATCATTTTTTTATTTTTGGGTAATTAGGATCGAATATCTTAAAAAAAATTGAATAATCGGATCGGATAAATTTTAATTTCGGACTATCCAAAAATCTGAAAAAATGGACTTTTAGATTTTAGGTACTCTTTAGCCCAATAAATGAGTAACTCATTAATCCAATAAAACTCTAACCCTGATAAAAATTAGTATATTTAATTATTTATTGAGTCAGTAATTAAATATATATATATATATATATATATATATATAATATATAGTAAAAGTATTGAATAAGTTACATTAAATCACAAAATTTAAAATTAATTTTTGTCAAATTAAATTTAAAATTTGGATTCGAATATCCGATCTAAATTTTGAATATCTGAAAATTTATATACTCATTTTTAGATCAAATACAAATCACTATTTTAAATATCTGAACTTTTAGATTAGATTGATTCCAATATCTAAATTTACACATACGTACTTATAAGAGAGAAAGAATGTGAAAATTTACACATCTGAAAATTTATATACTCATTTTTAGATCAAATGCAAATTCGCGTTGCGATAGTTGAAAATCGCGTTGCGATAGTTGAAAACCACGACCACGACCTCGACCTCGAGACGAGACGAGACGGACGGCGGCGGCGGCGGTGCGCGAGAGTCCCCCTTGTTCTCTATCACTCAACAAGAAAGTGGGAAAGCCAAGCCTTAAATACCATTCCCAATAGTGTTTCCAATACAATGTGGGATTGAGCATTACCAACACTTGTTTCCAATACAATGTGATTATTCAGGAAACAATTAACAATCATGCACCTTAAAACAACTGAATCAGCAACCAATTGCATTAGTATTATACGATTAAATATGTCATAATTAAAAGTCAATCTACAATCAATCGCGATTATTGCAATTTTAAGCAAAACATTCAAAAATAATATCACTATTTAAGGCTCAATCCCACATAGTATTGGGAACAAGTGTTGGTAATGCTCAAATCTCACATAGTATTGGAAACACTATTGGGAATGGTATTTAAGGCTTGGCTTTCCCACTTCCTTGTTGAGTGATAGAGAACAAGAGAGACTCTCGCGCGCCGCCGCCGTCGTCCGTCTCGTCTCGTCTCGTCTCGAGTCGTGGTCGTGGTCGTGGTAATGGTAATGGTAATGGTAATACGTGTCTTCGACACGTCCGCGCGGATACTATCTTTTTAGAGAAAATTCTTAAGAAACAAAATCTTTTTTTTAACTATCACAACGAATTTGGAAAATCGCAACGAATTTGGAAAATCGCAACGAATTTGGAAAATCGCAACGACAACTGTAGACTATCGCAACGCGAAATGGAAAATCGCAACGCGATTTTCAACTATCGCAACGCGAAATGGAAAATCGCAACGCGATTTTCAACTATCGCAACGCGAAATGGAAAATCGCAACGACAACTGTAGACTATCGCAACGAATTTGGAAAATCGCAACGAATTTGGAAAATCGCAACTAATTTGGAAAATCGCAACGACAACTGTAGACTATCGCAACGCGAAATGGAAAATCGCAACGCGATTTTCAACTATCGCAACGCGAAATGGAAAATCGCAACGCGAATTTGCGATAGTGGAGATCGCAATGCGAATTAGAGATCGCATTGCGATTTTGTTGGTCATTTTCGCAAATCCAAAAAAAGTTGGTCAAAATCGTATACTATCTGAGATTTTTAGTCACTGAGGTTATTTTCTCTGTTTATACAATTCATATGCCATCTGCTGACACGTGTTGGACATTTACAATATTCAACAATTACTTATTGCATCACTTTTTTAAGTATTTCCCTAATGACCACTAGGGCGGTAAAATGGTTAAGATAATGTAAGAGAGATTTTTTAATTCTTAATATAATTTATTCTGGGGATTAATTCTTCATCTAAGGTGAATTGAACAATATCAACCTAAAGACGTTAGGTGTTCATGCGTCTTCAAGCTAAATATGAATACTTCACGACTGCATGACGTATTCAGGCCAATGAAGAAGACCCCACGACTGTATGGCATCTTCAGACAAATGGAGAAGACCTCAAGAGTGCACAACGTCTTCAGGCCAATAAGAAGTCATAGTTCGGGAAATAATATGGTTGATGCCTTATATGGGAAAATTATTTTCCCACAACCCTATATGGGCGAGGAAGTCTCACTAGGACTGCTTATCGATTGATTCGATCACGAGTTGTACAGTGCTCGTCTCATACTAGTTAAAAAATTTGTAACTCGACTCGTTTCTCGTTAAGATCATCGAATTTTTTACCTTATTTTCTTAACAATATGTAAAATCTACTAATATTATATAGAGCTTAATATAAGCATAAATTAATAAATTTAACCAAAAAATTATCAATATAGTGTATGATGTAATTTCAAAGTTTAAACTTCATAGTAACAATCAACAAATACATTAAAAATAATAAATAGAGTTTTATTTTTAGGTGTAGTAAAATATTAATTAATAATTTTTACTTTTTATTGTTTATTAGAAAATTAATAGATTAATAATTTATCATCTTTTTTTATTATATATTAGTAATTTAGTAATTTTTTGAAGGAATAATTTTTTAAAATAACTACTAAAAAATTATAATAAAAAATTAACGACCTACTCGCAAACTTATCTAGTCGAGTTCGACTTCGCTCAGTTCAACTCGTTCAGGTCTCGATTCGAGCTCGAATTCGAGACGAGTCAACTCGAGTCAAACTTTTACCGAATTTTAACCGAATCGGATTCAAACTGTTCACTAAATTACTAAAGACAAGAATATCTCTCTGATATAGTTCTATTACGTAATTCTAAAAGTTAAGACTTATTATATATTTATAAAATCAAATATTTGATAATCAAGAAACATTTAATTCTATAACATTTCTCGTCCAAAATAAATATTTACTTATTAAATAAACTCGATTAGATTTAAGTATATATATATAACAAATTGCTTCCATTTTTATTATTAAATTTTCAGTAAGGTTGGTTTAGAAAAGGTTATGATTCAGACTTGCAAAGCACATACAAAATCACCACTGGTATCTACATCTGCATCATCAATGTCATCAAGATCCATACTACCACCAAGCAATTGAGCACCAACTTTAAGACCCTCACCAGGCTCCCTAGCCTCATCTATTACAGACAACACTTGTTCAATACTCTGAGACTGATCATCTTCTTCCTCAATTCTCAGTTTCCCATCCTCTCCTTCCATGATCTCCATTGGCAAGTTCTTTAAAAACCATGGGTGCTGCTTGATTTCTGGTATGGTTATTCTCTATGAACACGAATGTAATTCAATGTCACCTTACATATATGAAGAAATCTGTTAAAAAAGCTCGTAAACATGTCGATAAATCGTATGGACCTTTACGGGGTCTGCTACGAAAATCCTGGATAGTAGATGCTTGCAGTCCTTGGAGAGTCGAACGTAATCGGGGACGGAATAGTGGACACTCAGAATCCGCTGCCGGAATCCGATTCGGATTAGATTCTTCCCGGAAAAATTAAACCATCATATGCACAAGTTTGTGGAAAAGGACAGCTACCAACTAACCTGGATTGTTTTCCTAAAGTTTCTTGGATCTTCAGGGTCTTCAAAAGGATAAGCTCCAACCAGCATGACATACAAAGTAACCCCACAAGACCACACATCTGCATTCTACAATTTTCTTTTTCAATGATTAAGCTCTAATAATCGGTTTTCGAGCCGAAAAACGATGACCTTAACAAGAGTTTTTACCTTGCCATCATATTCTTTTTTAGATAAGACCTCTGGGGCAATGTAAGCTGGTGTTCCTACAGTTGATTTGGGCTGGGAATGAAGTACACTTGACTGTAACATACATGTAATGAAAAATTAATAATTGAGTTCATATACAGCATGCAGAGTAGAACTGCAGAAGCATATGGTGAATGATTCAGTAGGATCACTGCCTTGGAGTAGCCGAAGTCGCATATTTTGAGTCGCGGCGTCGGACTTCCGTCTAATAGAGTGTTTTCCAGCTTCAGATCTCTATGACAAATTTGCTGTGTAAAAAAGGATAAACATAAAATGGAAAACAATTTTCAGAATTAAGGGGGTCCAGTAGGCAAGTTTGGGCATAGATGTACCATTGCATGGCAATAGCTCACTCCTGATACCAGTTGTTGAAAGAAAAACCTTGCCTGATGCAGTAAATACAATAAGAGTTGTTGAAAGAAAATGTGAAGAATTATAAAAAAAAAAGGTTTATGAAAAAGTATACCTCATCTTCACTAAATCTACCAGCATTGCATATTCTTTCGAAAAGTTCTCCTCCAGCTGCATACTCCATAACTATGGCAAGATGTGTTGGTGTTAACAGGACCTGCAAGGGGGAAAAAGAAGACACGTACTCTTACTTTAATGGACGGATATAAGATTTTATGTCGAGGAAATGAACTTGAGGCGAAGCTTAAACATTACCTCTTTGAATTTTATTATATTTGGATGCCTCAAAGACCTATGGTTCATAATCTCCCTTTGCACATGCTCATCAATCTGCAGACCCCAAGAAATCTAATGAAATCAATCCACCATAAAAAAAGGAAGAAAAAACAACCCAAATTAGCCTGTAGGGCGGTCACCTCTCTAAAATTTTATAAGATTATCATAGCCAAAAATTTTATAAATTCGATCCTAACATAAAATCATGGCTCCGGTTGGAGAGAAAACAGTGAAAGTAAGTACCTTGGGGCCTCTTTCAATAAACTTGACAGCAAAAAGCTCAGCGGTACGTTTATCCCTAACGAGCTTAGCAACACCAAAGTTGCCTGATCCAATATCTTTGAGTATCTCATAACGCTCCATTTCCCAGCAAGCAATTGTTGAAGAAAATGTATAAAAATATAAGCTTTTAATTAACAATTGTGCTTTGATTTTCGGTGTGAAATCAAAGGGCAAAGGAGCTATGAGGGTCGACTGCAGAGAGACAAGAAACAGACATTAAACGTGGAAGATGATAAGAGGCCATAAATCGAAGCAGATAGCTTGCTTTTGGGTTCTGTCTCTATATCTATCTATCCCCACCAACTGCCTTTCTTCTCTATTATGATTTGTCCCAAAGTATACTCACCCATTTTTGTTGGTCAAATTATAGAAAAACTTTAGGGTAAATTATATATTTAGTACTTAAATTATTAATTTTGATTCATTTTAGTAATTAAAGTTTCAATTTTTTCAAAATCATACCTAATGTTTATTTTTGTTTCATTTTAGTACCACGCCGTTAAAAACTTTATGGACGGGCTGACGAGGCATAGCTCCAGTTCACAGACAACTAATCTGAATGGTGGATAATGAGAGAATGACGAGTCGACCGGTTTCAGGCTCATCAGACAGTTGACGATAAAGATCAGAGGATGAAGAAGTCAAAGAGTACATTGTCGATTTGGGGAGATTGAGGCATTTTCCCGAGAAACGAAGGCTGAAATCACGTTCAGGGGGTCAAAAAGGTGCAGGCTGAAAAATTTGGGTTTAATCGACCGACAAATGCAAAGACCAACGATTGTAGATGCGACGTCCGATGAGCCCATCCATTAAGTTTTTAACGGATGGGTACTAAAATGAAATAAAAATTAAACTTTAGGTATGATTTTGAAAAAAAAAAAAATTTTAGATATTAAAACTGACCAAAACTTATAGTTTAGATACTAAACACGTATTTCATCCAAAAATTTAATAAGCTTGAATTATGTATATACTTTTTGTTTTTTTTTTTGGTTAAGAAATATCCAACCTTTATTATGTAATATACTCATAGGATTTTTAAGAAAGTTAATGACGTTAATAATGGTTGGGTAGTTTATCATGATCCGTTGCTTGTCAGCGCATAAATATAAAAAAATTACATAAATTTTAACAAATATAATCGTAATTAAAGGCTTAAACAAAGAATTATGATCTTTTAAAAATTTAAATTATATTTATAGTTTAAACACACAAAAAATAATTATTTAAATTTATTATTTTACTTAAAAAATCATTTCTAAAGCTCATATTTTAATATATTTTTTTATTTCTTTACAATTTAATATTATATTTATAATAAAATAAATAATTTTGAAAATCTTCATATGAGCTTAATAGTACAAATAAATATTATTCTCTCTAAAAATTTTGAATTAAAAATTAATTAATTAAAATATTATAAATAAATATTACATTTTAACCATTTTAATTTAATAAAAATAAAATAAATTAATTTCATGCTCCATTGTCCATAACTTAATAGGAAAATTATATGACGCTCGACCAGTACAAGGGTGTTAAAAAAATATCCGACCCAGTTGACCCAGTCCGTTGACCCGTCGACTTGAACTAAAAAAAAGGTAATTATCTAAAAAAAATTACCCAAGCGGTCGGGTAATCGACCCGACATTTCTCGGGTTGGGCCCGGGTCACAAAATTACATTTTTTCAGATACCCAATTACATTTATTTTTATATAATAATATTACATATTTAATTATTAATAATTTCATATATTAAATTAAACTAATAAAATTAAAAAATCACCCACCCAGCAGTTGTATATTTATTCATTAATATAATATTTTTTTAATAATATAAGATGTATTTTTTAAAATTAATAATTTAAAAATGATAAAAAAAAGGTACCAATTACTCGAATTAAGGGTACCGATTATCGGGTACCCGTAACATTCGGGTCGAGACATGAGCCAACCAATCAACTACCTGAAGACTCAAGTACCCAGATTTGAACACCCCTAACGAACACCACTAACGATGAGCACATCTGAGCACTATTAAATTAATTTATAAAAAAATAAAATTCTAAAGGACTCAACGCATAATTATAAATTAGTTAAAAATTAAATGTAAATTATTTAAAATGCAATATTAATTATATTTTTTCCATAATTTTTTAACTTATAATTTACCTTTAAAAAAGTATTAAAAATTTTGTTAAAAATTATGAAAAAATAATGTAATTAATATTTTATTTTAAATAATTTATCTTTAAGTTTATAACTAATTTATAATTATGCTTTGAGTCCTTTAAAATTTTATTTTTTTTATAAATTAAATAAATGGTGTTCAACGGTGCTCTTCTTAGTGATGTTCAACGGTGCTCTTCGTTAGTGATATTCAACGATGCTCGTCGAACGTGACTCATTCTATCGAATATTTGTAAATCATCTTATTGTCTAATTATTTTTATACCAATTTTCCAAATTTAACATAGGATATCAATTTAGAGAGAGAAAATGAAAAAATGAGGTGGACGGTGGAGGATGGATGGCATAGGGAAATGGAATTCTGATTCCTAAATTTATGTTAAGTCTCGTTTTCATCATTGGAAAATGAAAAGAAATTGAAAAAGATAGCTAAGGGAAGACGTTGACGTCTTGGGCGAAAACATTGTATCTGCCTCCCATCACTCATCATTCATTGCCACGTATTAATGTATAGGATGAACCAAAACTATTATATATTTGAGTAAATTACGATTTTAGTATATAAACTATCAGTTTGATCAATTTTAATACATAATTTTTTAATTTTTTAAAACCATACCTAAATTTTAGTTTTTGTTTTAATATCCTATGCAAAATTTAAAGGAAAGTTTTGAAAAAATAATGAAAGTTTAGGTACTAAAACGGGCCAAAACAAATAATTTAGGTATTAAACGTGTATATTTTTAACTGTAATGTATTAAAATGAAACAAAAAGTAAATGTTATATATAATTTTAAAAAAAATTGAAAATTTAAGTACTAAAACGAACTAAAATTGATAATTTAGATACTAAATGCGTAACTCACCCTATATATGTTTTTTCATATACTTGATTAAAATTTTCAATTCGGTCTGAATTTAGAACAAATCAATAGTTTCTTAATAAAACAGGATCCGTTAATATTTGCAGGTCCAACCAGTCATTTTTTAATATTAAATCAGAAAATTAATTTTGCAGTGCGATTATTTATTTAAGATTAATTTAATTTAAAATGTTATAATATTTCAATTTTAAAATGATATAATATTCAATTTTAAAAGTTATAAAAAATTATAATATTTACTGTTATAATTTAAAAAGTTACATTTCGGTGGTTTCAGAATTTATAATAAAAAATATAAATTTATAACATTTTTGGTTATAACAAAAAAATGTTAAGGAGAAAAGTAATATTTTCGATTTAATTTAAAAAATTATTATATCCAACCTAAAAAGTTACACTCTTAATGATATTTTTATGGGTAAATTATACGTTTAGTACCTGAATTATCAGTTTTGGTTAATTTTAGTACATAAACTTTTATTTTTCAAAATCATACCCAACGTTTAGTTTTTGTTTCATTTTAGTACATCGCCGTTAAAAACCTAGCGGAAATGTTACAACTTAGAACTTTTTTATGGGTAAATTGCATTCAAGTATCTTCTCACTCCTATTTTTTTGTCATTGAAGTTTAATTTTAGTAATTTAATTCCTTAACTTTTAAATTACTCACAATTTAATCACTATAACTTTCAAATTTATTTTTTTATTTTAATAAAATAAAAAATATCATGTCACAAAATATTAGTAATACAATGAATTAGAGTGATTTAAAACATGAGCAATTTGAAAGTTAAGTACTTAAATTTTATCGTTATATGTCTTACTTTTTTACCCCTATTAAAACAAACACGTCAAATCTATCAATAATCTTTTAGGGATAATTTTGTCATTTCCCTTAGTCAAATATGTCTCCTAAAACTATATGTATAGTCAATATAAGATATAAATTATGTCACGGAGGGAGTATATTTAATTGTGGAATTCATGTTATATGTTTATTTAAGTTTGAAACAAGTTAAACACTTTATCTATTTTTAAGGGTCATTTGTGAGACTAATGTGATCTCCGCGATTTGGTCGTAACTCTTAGATTGAATGGTGGGGTTACGACCAATGATTTACACATCTCATGTGGTGGTGGTGATGAATATGGCGACGACCCAATCTTGTTGCTTGCACCGCGACAATGACTCCCAACTTAACGGTTGAGTGATGGTTCAAGTGTTTTTCTTTTCTCTAGTTTCTAATTTACAAAACAAACTGTCTTTATGTCTTTTTTTTTTGTATAATCATCGATATTCGATCTATTGATCGAATAATCTGGATCAAGTACTGCAGAGGCGAGGACAATCCTTTCAATTCAGTTTGTTCCATTTGCAAATATCAAAATTCAAAGCCCTAACCTTAGGGATTGACCGAGGGGACGGGTGGGGTAGTCGTCCCCTTGAAAATTTAAAATTACCATATATTTTAATTTTTTTCTATGTATTTCCTATTGAAAATATGTTTTGCCTCCTCGAATTTTAGTTCGCTCCCCTAGAATTTTAGCTCGCTCCCCTAGAATTTTAGCTCATCCCCTTTAAGTGACATTGCTTATGGGATCAAGTGTCTCATTCCACTAGACCAATACATTGTTGGTTGCTTCTACTTCTTCTTTTTTACTATGAAAATAAGACAACAAACAACCCCTAATTCATTCATTATTTGTTCCTTATTTTTAACTGGTATTAAAAGCCTCTAATACATTGTTGGTTGCTTCTACTTCTTTTTTACGATGAAAATAAGACAACAAACAACCCCTAATTCATTCATTATTTGTTCCTTATTTTTAACTAGTATTAAAAGCCTCTATTAAATCAACTTTATTCCAAACTTAATTCCCTAGCATAACGGCAAAATTAAAAAGTTTTAAACCATGTTTTTTTGTTACACTATTAAACCATGTTTAATTCTCCTTTAGTCTCTCTCTCTTTCTCTCTCTTTCTTTAGGGTTTGTGTCATTTTTTATAGCTTAGATCAATTTTTTTGGCTTTATTTAACCGGCAACAACATCTATTTAGATATTGGTTGTTGACTGCCATTTCTCTTTTTTATTTATTTTTTTAAAAATTTTTTCATAAGAATAATTATGTTTTTAGGATACTTTTTTCTCGACTTTTTTGGCACGCTTTATGTCTTTTTTCTAGGTTGTTTGGCCATTTTTTTTATGTTTTCTCAAGTTTGTACTTGATGACGCCACGACTGATTAATATGGAGTTGATTGTAATCACACTACAGTAAAACATGTTTTAGCAGCGTTTTTTATCATATAACAGTGTTTATAAGTGCCGCTATAATTATTCCCAAAATGCCCTAAATGTTTTGACATATAGTGACGTTTGTGAATGTAAAACGCTACTATAGACTTCATATATAGTGGCATTTTCTATATAAACGCCGCAAAAGATCTTGAACTTTAGTGTCATTTTGTTTTACAAACACCTTTTTTGATTATGTATTTAGTGGCGTTTTATTATACAAGCGCTGCTAATTAAAACTGATTTTTCAAATATTATTTTCTGCTCTTTTATTAGCCAAATTTAAGATTTTAACCTGTAGCATTATCCAATAAACTTGAAATCTATAATAATAATTCAAAGTTTACATTAAAGTGAAATATAATTACGACACAAATTATGTAAAAAAATACGTACTTAACAATAAAATAAATTAAAGTTTACATTAAAATTACATGTACTTTAGTTTAATAGTGTTCACTAGAATTTAACCTAGTTCTTTCTCTTTCAATTAAAAAACATTATTCACTAAAATAAATAAAAAGAAAAACATTCTTCTGACTTGCATGCACAAGTTTGAGTGATTTAACCTCCTCTTCTGACTTGCATGCAGTGATTCTAGCCTTGTAGTTGATACATCCATGATCAAACAGGCCAGTCGTGATCAACTGATTCATCCCCTGCTTCGTCCCTGTCAATATACACTTATTAGTGCCGCGATGCGATAGTAGATAATGAGAAAAAATGATCAGATTTTTTATTCCATGATACTCATATGTGTAAAGATCTATCAGAAGAACATGAAATAAAACAAAGACGTGTCTCTCATTCTTACACAATTTCACAACAGCTCAAACCAACAACGAATCAAAAGATTGCTTAAGAAAGAATGAGAAAAACTGGAATGAATAAACATGGATCACATCAGGCCACTTTAGTATCAATTTGAGAGTTTGACTATAGTTAGGGTTCCCAATCAGCAATTACTTAAACAAATTATACATTCACCAAAAAGATGCTGGAAAATATACCTTGGAGCGTGTGAACTCTTGAACAAGAAAATCATCACATGGAAGCATGTCCTCTCCACTCATCTAATGCTTGCTGGTTTTAGCATCATTCTTTCCCACAAGATCTCTTATTCTAAATATGTGAGTGAGCTGTATGATATAATATTTAAACACCCAAAGGAGCAACTCAAGTTGAATTCATCGAAGCAGAGAAGGATCTATACAATTTAAATGCAGAGAAGGAGCTATACAATTTAAATGCAGAGAAGGAGCTATACAATTTAAATGCCTAGATACTACAATGATATGTGCCAAGAATTGCAGAAAACTCAAACTACAAAGCACAACTAATATTTAAACACCAAACAATTCATTACTTTATTTGCACCAAACAATTCATTACTTTATTTTTTTCTGCCATTGTTAACGCTATAATTTTTTATTCATATGATATAATATTTAAACACCCAAAGATTCTAAAGTAATTAGGCTCAAAATCAAAGCAAGTGTTTCTCAACAACCGTTCCCATACCATACCTGATCTTCTTGGTGCAGGCCACAGTTTTACAAATTGCTCATATTCTTGTTAAGATCTGCCCAAATACTTGGTCTCAAAAGCATGGCCTCCTTCATTCATAACCCGCATCATTTTTCTTGAAGGAACAAAAGAAGGGGAGAAAACCCAAAAAGAAGGTGAAATCTTTGAGGCCAGTGCTGCATAAGCCAGCTGATGAGCCGCCGGAAACAGTCGCTCGATCTCCGTCTATTCCCTGTTCCTTCTCTAACAGTTAACTCAACAGGCGATGACCACTCTCTCTTTAAAAATGGGAAACCCCACAGGCGATGATCACTCGGGGTCCGAGATTTTCAGCAAACAAGAAAATGAAACAAAAAAACATAATATGTTAAAACTCAAAATGGAACCCATAAAAAATTCAAAATTTTGGGCGCTAATACAAACTTAAAACTAAATAAAGGAAATTAAAAAGCATCATCCAAGCTCTAGCAAACAATAAAAATAAGGAATACCGATAGAATTCAAGGCATCTAAGAACTTACCATATCGGAATAGCAAGAGAAGGTGAAGATGTTGAGCATGAAAGTGAGAGAAGGTTAAGGAGATTAAAAAGCATTAACCCAAGCAAATGACAAAACCTCTCTGGTAATGAAAGTGAGACTGTGAGAGAAGAACGAAAGAATTGAGGATTTGTTGTTTCAAAGATATGTTTTTTATTGCGCCGAAAGATGTTAGGGTTTTATTAAAGGTTGCGGCATTTGTAGACACAAACGCCATTATTTATCATTTTATAGTGGTATTTTCTAAAAAACGCCACTAAGGTATAATTATGTTGCGGCATTTGTTTAAAAATGTCACTATATATGAAAACTTTTGCAGCGATTTCTAAAAAAACCACTAAGGTACAAGTCTGTAGCGGCGTTTGTTCAAAAATGTCACTATATATTAAACCTATTATGGCGTTTGTGTAAAAAAAGCCATTACAATACCAATTTGTTGCGGCGGTTGTCTAAAAACACCACGATATATGTACTCTATTGCGGCATTTGTTTTAAAACGCCACTAAAGAACAATTCTATGGCGGCGTTTGTTTAAAAACACCACTAAAGAAAGATTATGTGGCGACGTTTGTTTAAAAACGCCACTAAAGTACTTATATGTAGCGGTGTTATTCAAATAAATGCCATAAAGTACGAGTTCTAGCGGCGTTTGTTGAAAAACGCCGTTTATGTTACCATTTAGTGGCGTTTTGGATATAAACGTCGCGATATACATAAATTTAGCGGCGTTTGCTTTGAAAACGCTGCGACAAATGCCGCTATATACCTGTTTTATTGTAGTGTCATATTGATTTTCCCTGCTATGAACTCTCGAATTGAATTTTGATATTAGATTTGCACTCGTGGATAGTTTCTCGTGACGCTCGACTCTAATTTATGATTCTCGATGGTTTTTCAGTAGCTTAAAACGAGAGTCGTGATTTGAAGATATTTGACACAAATAACTCTTAAATTAATAATAAAAAAAAGGAATTAATCTTTATTTGGTAAGTAATGAAAGAATTAAAGAGAATTTGGAAATCTCCTGCAATTCTCTTATATGGTAATAATAATATGGAAACAATCTTCATGTAAAAAAGGTAACAAATTAAAAAGAATTGGAGTATTCAAAGACAAATTCTCCACAACTTATCATCTCACCCACTTATAAATTCAAGAGAATTTGCATGTTGAGGTACCATATTTACAAAAGGCCAAATATAAAAGAAAAGGATGAAGAGTTTCTCAGTCTATGCTATTTTCATGCTCATTATTCTTTTTTCTGCAGGTGCAAAAATAATCAATTTATTTTATTTTATTATTAGCTTATACCTACATATAACTTACCCTCTTTTTTAAAATATATATATATATATATATTATTGATATACATTACAGTGACGGATCTAAAAATTTAAGAATAGAGTCCAAAATTTTAATATTATTTTAAAAAATAATGAGGATACAATTTTTTCATTTTTCTTTAATATATTAAACTAAATTTCACATTTTATCCTAAATAATAAGGATGCACTTACCCATAAAGGCTTAGCATTCCTGCATGAATGAACCGAGGGAGTATTGAGATCGATCGTATCTTTTGAAAATTTAAATTTTTATATATTTTAGATATATTTTATATTTTTTTATTAATTTTTTTAATTTCGGAAATTACAATAACTTTGTTTTCTATAATTTTTCTGTATATCTTTTTAAAAAATTATGTCTCTAACATAAAATTTTGTATTTGTTGCGGTATTAATTTATTTTTATTGTTGATAAAACGAATAATACATGCAAGACTGATGAGATTTGAATTCATACAGGAAAAGAAGCCACTGGGAAATCATGTGATGTAGATATAGGTTCGAGTGGGACACATTGCTATGGCGACCTTTGCATGCATGCTTGTATCAATAAGTTTGGGGATGAAGCTACAGGGACCGCCGACTGCATTTGTACTTACCCTTGTTAATTTATGCAAAAATGGTGCAACCTGTCACCATATATTATTAATAATAACGCTAAAATCAATTGATTATATAAAAATATGTCAACTCTCAATACAGTACACAGCCCACAACTATTTATTTTGGTGCAAAAATCATTTTCCAGCATAATTTATTTTACGAAAATCATTTTCCAGATTCATGCTGTTTATTTAAGATGCCAATGTTAAAGGTAGTTTGGCTTCCTTGAGCATATCTTTTAGTAACCTGTAGGGCTTAAGCATGGCACATGCAATCAGGAGCCGGATATGTATATATGGACTGCTTTGGTTTCCTTAACCTGAGTTGCCCGTGTCTGTTTTGATGCCCTTCCACCACCGCCTGACGGAATTCCGGCCAACTGATGTTTTTGTCAAGGAAGAGTGGCCCCAACAGTCCCATATTTGGCCTTATGGTCTTCGTGTTCTCGAAAGTTCGATGTCCCACCTGTTTGCATCATTGCAACTCTCATCTATTACCGGCCTCGTATGCATATAATTAACTATCCAGAAGGTAGACAAACACCGTAAAGGACTAAAAGCACCGAGACTGCAACTCTCATCTAGTAGCAGCCTCGTACGCATACTTCTCTCGTAAAACTGCGGTGCTTTTAGACTTTACGGTGTCTATTTCTGTTGGCGTACGCGTGTGTTCCACCAATTTATATTCACCAAAGCATGTTGCATATTCTATGACTACTGTATTAATCAGAAACACTCACCAAAGCATTATGCATATTCCCGGGAGAAGCAGAGATAAAAATGTCACTATGCATACCAACATAGTAATCGACGGCAGCTAACAACGACGCCTTTCCTTTTATACTGACCCTTTCCTCCGAAGAGGCGAGGCTCTTTTTGTCTTCCATCAATGGAAACAGCTCTTGTAGTGTGGAGATCCTAGCTTCCCCTCCATATACCTGCAATACATTGCCATTCGATTAATAAATTGTTGAAAAACCAAAGTAGCAGACAGTATATTTTGAACAAGTTGAGATGGAAAGCCGAATTTCATAAAAACAACCTACCTTGTGGGAGGCAAGATAAAGACGGGTATTATTGCCGAAACCTAAAGCTCCTAGAAGCAATCCGATTTCTTCAGGAGTCAACGGGCAGCGTCCCTGACTTCTCAACTCTTTATCGGTAAACCGCGAATTGAGAACCCTTCCTTGCCAAATCGTTTGCCGATACTTGGCCAGAGCCAATTTTTCAGCTTTACCCCCACCAAAATCACATGCCGAATGTGCAGCCATATCCTGCACATACTAAAGGTAAGTGACAAAACAAGTGACAGTCCAAAAAAGAGAGAGCCATTCGTGAAAAATTCGCAGACCACCAATGTCTAGTATACAAAGGGTGTTACTAATGTGAATGTAAACCACAATACTTTCACATCATGGCTATCTCATTTTTTCCATGGATACTTCAGTAAACATTAATGGTTTTTATATCAGAATATGCTCGATAATATTTCGAATTAACGCCTATATATATAAATTTCAGCCACCAGGTTACAACAAGGAACTTAATGTACAGTATAATGGGGTTATACCTTGTCAAATCGAAGGTGTAATACAACAAACTTTTGTGGCTTTTGTTCATCATTTAGATGAGAGGTCTCCCGGAGATGGTCAGTGCTAATTGCTTGACTTTGAGCCTTGGGATACCTTAGGCGATGGACAAGGGCATCTCCAAGTGCTCTAATGTGCGGAACAAAAACGAGCGCTTTAAAATTGACTTTACAACGTAGTTGCTGGATCTCACTCGGCAGGTTGTCAAATGTCAAACGGTGAGAGAACGGAGAAATTGCAGCGATCCCATAACTGTACAGAATAGGACATGTTTACTAGATCACTCAAATTGGAAAATGTACTAAACCGGAGATGGGGAGAACAAATCAGACAGGGCATGTGTATATATTATATAATGTTCCATGACGAGCAGACATTTAACGGGTTCTTAGGACCAAAACTTTTAAAGCAACTAAATCGCGTATTAGAAATCAAACAGTTTGAGCTGCGACCAACCTCTGCAGTACGGGCAAGACATTCTCAAGATACCAGTTTGCAGATGCATGAACGGGTGCTCTTTTAACTCTGGTGGCTCGAATAGCAGTGGCATAATACTCCCTTGTGCTCCACGAGAGTTCTTCAGGCAGCTCTTTGACTATTGGTATGTCATCCTTCAATACATTAATAAAGTGCTCCACATCAAATATATCCATGAATGAGCTGCAGAGAAAATAAGTACTTCAGAAAAATGCCTCCTTAAAACGTAGGCAAAAACTAGACATATCCCATCGGCACGAGCAATGTGAAAGATAACTTCCTTCCCCACAAGGTACCTTGAATCTTGCCAGACAGGATTCACTTCGAGATGCGGGATCACAAGAGTTGCATTCAGTATTTTAGCAACGGCGACAGCATCGCATATCTACAGAAACAGGAACCATTATATCTTACTTCCTAAACTATAGAATCGAGAGAACTTGAACAATTCGAATGTTTCGTAATTCTAGTCTCCTCTAAGCATGTAAAACGAAAACCTACCCCCATTCTTTGTTGGTTGAGTCCCCCATCAAGAAATACCTGGAGATATCCTTCTGATTTCTGTGACACTGCTGCACAAAGCAAACAAAGTGTAACACAATCACTAACAATATGAAGAAACGAACTCAAAAAAATCTCGATGCTAATCACTCACGAGGGGCATTTACGGATGCAAGACATGGTCTCCACCCTTGGTCAGCCAAGGGTGCCCACAGATCAGATTCCTCTCCATTAAACTGAATGCAGAAACAAATGAAACAGTAAAATTACAAGTCAGAAAAAGGGGAAATCACAACATATGCACGTGCAAGCACAAACAGGCGCGGATGCCGGCGCCGGTTGACTTACACTTTCACGCTGTAAGGCACTCCGGAGTAAAGGTAAATGTCGAGGTTTAAGAACATTCCACTCCTGCAACGAAGCTCAAAGGACATAGTTAATCAATTTCCTTTCCTAACCAATGAAAAATATAACAACCAGCTAGTTTAAGTTCATTTCCTTCCCCCAAGGAGCAAATTATGATCATTTCATTTGTCAACACTCATAATCAATGAAAAACTCCATTACCATTTGACTGAAGGAGCAAAATAAGATCAGATTTCTTGTGAATTAGTGTGCTGGTATATTTTATTGATCAAAAGAATTGGAAAACTGGAAAAACTAAATGAAAATTACATAAACTGAAGAAAACTTGAATAATTCATTAGCATAATTAAAAATTTTCCAGTAAAAGCAAATTAACTAAATATTGCCACCGAGAGAATAATGCCAGGATTGGCATAATTTTAGATGCATAAGCTTGCCACTTAGCCACAAACCTCTGTCGGCAAAAGAAACTCAAACTAATCCAAACTTTCCATTTTTAGTAATTTGCAAAATTTTCATGAACAACTTCAAACTTCTCAGTTTTTTCCCCATGAATTCTACAGGAACCCATAACTCATTTTGATTTTCTTTATTTTTAAAGAAAAATGAGAAAAATTCAGCAAAAAAAACATAGATATAGAAACATACCGAGAATGTAGAAGGGGAAGCATGGTTGAAAAAAAAAAAGAAAAATAAGTTGGGAAAGCAACATAGATAGCCTAAACATTGCTCTTACAAGAGGCTCACAACAATTCTTCTGGTAATTTAATCTCATCAACTTTCTCTTGAAGCTGAAAAACAAAACCCAGATCTCCAAAATGAACCCTTTCCTAGTTTCTTTTTTTTTAAACCTTCTTTGTTGGATTTTACTCAAACAAGCAACGTTAAAACAAAAATGCAATCAACCTCCGAAAAGAAGAAGAAGCTCAACTCAAGCACACAACATTACACGAATCACTCAAATCATTGCTTCTCTTATGTTCTGGCCTTATTTGAGGGCGTCTCACTTGGACACCTTGGACACCTGTAAAGCTTTGATTATGAGAAAGTGTACCCCTTTTTTCTCGATGTCCCGTGAAAACAAATATGCTCCTGGGAAAACACAGTGGAAAGTGTATTTATATATTTTCACACGTCTTTGTTTTAAAGGATTGAGACAAAAATTAGACCGTTAGGTGCGGTGGGGGATTTTGTGAAACTTTTGATTAAAGTTTTCATCTTTATCGGTGGATTGTGATGATAATGCGATTAGATGGCAGCACCGATGCTAGCATTTAAAGTATTCGGAAAAAAGGATCTTACGTAGGTAGGGATGATTCGATTCGGGTCAGGTCAGATTTTCGGTTTAACCATATAATCCGAAAATTGATTCAAAAAAGATACATTTTACCCGATATGATTTTTTGAGATAAAATCTAAATTTGACCTGATTTTACCCCAAATAATATATTTATTAAAAAAATATTATTTTTATTCAATAAAATTAAAATTTAATTGAAAGAAAATAATATATAGAGGGATGTACTGTAATTATCCGTAAATATATAAGATAAAATTATTATTTTTGGTCGGATTGGGTAATTTTCACTCTAAAATCAAACTCGACTCGACCCGAACATAACCTTTAAAAAATCAGACCCAAACCCAAATTCGTAAAAAAATCAAACTGATCGGGATGGAAGCCATTGGTTTCGGGTATCATGCAGGGATGGACTGAGGGGGCGGGTGGGGGCAGTCGCCCCTTCTGAAAATTTAAAATTACCATATATTTTAAAATGTTCCTATGTATTTACTATTAAAAATTTGTTTCGCCCCTAAAATTTTAGTTCACCCCCTTAAGTTTAAATTTTCTATCCATTTTCTCATATTCTCATACCTATCCCTATATGTTGGTGTAAATATTTAAGAATTTATATTAAAAAATACAATACTATAAATGTTTAATATAAAAATAATTATCTAAATTATATTTAAAATTAATTATGTGTGTTTAAAGAATTTTCATTAAAAATAGATATATAATATTTTTTTGTTACAGTTTTAGTTATCTATAGTTAAAAAAACTGTTGAGCGACATTTGGCATGTTCAGATTATTTTAAAAATATATTTTAAATAATATTTTGTTTTATAGAAAAATAAAAAAATAAACATGACACAATTTTCTTAACGATACGTACTTAAAAGTGTAAGGAATAAAATATTACACATGTTTTAAAAAAAATCTTTACATACCAAAAATCAATTTTAAACATAATCTAAACAGTTTTTATTAAGTCTAATATAAAAAAATTTAATATAAAAATAGAAAAGTATTTAAATTTATGTAAAAATTTAAAATTCAAAAATACGATCGTTCTCCAACATTTTTATCAATCCATCTTTGTTTAGATTCATGTACTAATACGAGGCCTACACTATTTCTTATCGATCCAAATTACCTCAGTAGTTAAAAAAATTGTTGTTGTTCTTAGAGGAGTTCGAGCACCGGCAGCTGCAACATGTTGATTGAACGTTCATTGTCAAATAGTTGAGAGTATTTAGAACTGATACTACTTTGTAATCACCTTAACTTAATCACATGTCCAAGAAGATAATTGAAGTATCTCTTATACGATCGTTTGATCGATTCATATTCGTTCTCGTAAAAATATTATATAAAATTTTAAAATTTAAAAGTGTTTATTCCTAATATCTCATGAATCCATCTTTATTCAAATTCATGTATATGAAAGTTATGATATATATATTATAATTTGATCTCTGTATTCTTTTAATTTTGTCAGAAATCGAAGTTAAAAGTTCATATATTTAGGTTAAAGTCACGATAAAATTTAGTTTGATATTATATTAATGACTAAACTACACTACATACTACTGAATTTTAGGTGTTATATCTTTATATCTTTGAACTACCAATATTACTAATTATACACTAAGCTTTGATTTTGGTTTCAATTATATCACTGGAATATTAAATCATTAACAGTCGAATCAAAATGACATCATTTTGGTGAGGTGTCTACGTCAATGGCCATCAACCACGTTATTTTGTCACTAATGATTTAACGATTTAGTGGTACAACTGAATCAAAAATAAAAGTTCGATGTTATAATTGACAAAATTTAAAGTATTGTGGTATAAATAATATAACGCCTAAAGTTTATAATATCTTATGTAATCTGCCTTCTATTAATTGAATTATTAATCTATGTTAATTTGATGATATGATAAAATTGATTTTTAAATTATATTCTAAACTTTAAATATAATATTAATTTAACTATAAACTTTAGATGGAATATCACTTTGATCACTAAATTTTAGACAAAATATTAATTCGATTTCTGAATTCAATGAAAGTCTCTCATTATCAACTGTCTCTAATCACTATCATCATCGATCAATGCCAATCACTATCGATCATTTTATCAATGACTATTTGACCCTAAAATTTAAAATTTATTCATGTTTGACCTTCTAAATACAATTTGATATTCGTTTCATAAAAAAATACTATTTGACCCTAAAGTGGTAAGGTTTATAGTGTTATGCATCTAAATGAGTCAAAAAAAAAAGTTTAGATACCTATTTGAGAATAAGCATATAGTTTAGAAACTTTTTTTTTTGGTTATTTGAGAACCATTTTTTTGTATTAAAAAGAAATGAAACAATTTTTAAAAAAATTATCATTAAAATAAATAAATAATGCTGAAAAAAGGGTTAATACAATAATTTAAAGGAAATAAATAAGCAAAAAAGGATTAAATTGAATTAAATCAAAATTCAGGGGCAAAATTACCAGCAATGACTGAAATAAATTATGCTTCAAATGAGAGGGACTGAATAAATAATTTAAAAATATTGTAATTACTCACAAGTCCTCCCCATAAATTGCCCCCATTTTCTATTTTCCCCTCATTTTCTCTTCATTCTCACAAGAAACAAATTCCCAAAGCTCTTTAAACACACTTCTTCTCCGGCTGAATAGTCCCTTGGCCACCTCATCACCACCACTCTGGCTACCACCCGTGGTGGTAGAAAACCTAAAACTACCACCCAAATCACTCCTCTCATGACCCTGAAGCCAAAATAAAACCTCAAAAATCACGAGAAAACCCCCAACGCCGTAGATCTGAAGAAAATCCCTTCGGCACTTACCATTTTTCGATGACTTTTAGACTTCTCCAAAGCCCTTTCGTTGCTTCGATGGTCTTCACTTCTCTCTCGGTAAGCTAAGTAACCTTCCCACTCTTCTTTTTTTTTTGGTGTTTTCTTTGTTTCGAAAACTTATCCCCTTTGTTTTTACAGGTCGTTTATGTAGTGTTCGGATGCTTGTTCCCTAAATCAAAATGATTATATTTTCCTTTCTTAGTCCCGTGGTCACGGGGATCCGTTGGTGACTTGTTTCTTTTTTGATTCGATTATTGTTTGAGTTGTGACGATGGTTGCTATGCATGCTCGTGTTTCCTTTTATTTTAGGTTGACTCGTGATTATGACTTGATTCGAGGACGAGGGATTATTCTCCCTTGATTCTTGCTATTTCTTGTTTTGGTTGCCATTTTTTGACCCATCGCTTATTTTGGTGCAATTTAATTCAATGTGAAATCACTAGGAGGATGATTCTTTCCCTTTTCTCCGACACATGGTTTTTCACGCGCCTTCTGGTGACCCTCGAGGAACCTTTAATGTTTTCTGGAATGTTCTGACGGAGTATGGGTCGCAGGATCATTTTGCCAAATCCAATGGTTCATGGTTGGCCGTGCTATGTGACTTAAAATCTAGGGTTTTGTAACCATAGCTATTTGGGATCTCGGCTGTCTATTCGTGCCCTGATCCAAGGGTTCATTGTTGTGTGGCGCTATTGTTGTCTTTAAAAACCCTAAAATACTAGGTCAGGCACCTTGGGCTTATTGGCAGTCCTAGCTGGTTTATTTTCTGTTGGACCGCCTGGATTGTCATCTAACCCGATTTTCTGGGGCAGGCTCATCGGGTGTGGGCCTTATTCTTGGACTTGGACCATTACCTCTGTTGGACTGGACGTTTCAGACTTGAACTCTTTGGCCATGGACTTTTATTTGATCGAACCTGAAATTAAAAATAGAAAAGAAAAAATTTAATAATAAAAAATAAAACATGATAATAATAATAATAATATATGTATTATATAATATATTTTTAAAAACTATATATATATATATATATATATTATTCTCAAAATTATTTGTTTTCAAAAACTAATATATATATATATATATATATATATATTTAAAAATATTATACTATAATATACACAAATGTGATAATAAACATCGGACAAAAATGAATATCTATAACTATCCCTCTTTGTACATTGTTATGTAACGAGAATATGACAAAGATAAAATGACACAAATTTTTATCCGGTTCTTAAAATAGAGGGATTCCAAAAGCGAGCTTGCTCTTCTGATGTTGAGACGTATAATTTTTCCTCAGGAAAATGAACTTCTATTGAAGTGAGATTTCTTCGAACTCGATATACTTTGTCACGAAGTTGAAATCTAAGTCGAAGTTGTAGATGATTGTTCTTTAGGTCGGATATCATCTGTTGTGGAGTTGAAATCTGACTTTGGAAGATGGCTCCTCGTTACTGAGTTAAGCCAAATTATAATCGATTTTTGGATGTGTTTTGTGGTCAAGAATCCTTAGTCGTGAAGTTGAAACTTGGCCTGAAAATTTCAATTGGAAATTAGCTCATCGCTGCTGAGTTAAGCTAGACTGCAGTAGAGTCTCAATTGACTTTCAAACCTAATATCCTCTGTTGTGGAGTTAAACTGACTTCGAAAAGATTTGACGGGAAGATGACTCCTCGCCGCTGAGTTAAACCAAAATGCAGTCGATTCTAGATGCATTTCTTTGTTAAGAATCTTACGTCGTGAAGTTGAGACTTGGCCTAAAAAATTTGACTATAAACTAGCTCCTTTTCCCTGAGTTAAGCTAGAATGCAGTCGATTCTGGGTTGGTTTTCGAACTAAATATCCTCTATCGTGGAGTTGAGATTGACTTCAAAAAGATTTGATTAAAAGATGGCTCTTTACTGCTCTTTACTGCCAAAACACATTCGATTTTAGAGCATTTTTGGGTCAAGAATCCCCCGTCGTGAAGTTGAGACTTGGCCTAAAAACTTTGACTGGAAACTAACTCTTCGTTGGTGAGTTAAGCTAGATTACAATCGATTATGAATTAGTTTTCGAACCCAATATCCTCTGTTGTGGAGTTGATATTGACTTCAAAAAAAATTGATTGAAAGATGGCTTCTCGCCGTTGAGTTAAGCCAACATACAACTGGTTCTAGATGTGTTTATGGGGCAAGAATTCATCGTTGTGAAGTTGAGAATTGGCCTAAAAACTTTGACTGGAAACTAGCTCATCGCCACTAAGTTAAGCTAGAGCGCAATCAATTTTGAATTGGTTTTCGAACCTAATATCCTTCGTCGTGAAGTTCAGACTAAATTTGAAAATATTTTACTGGAAAATGGTTCATCACCGCTGAGTTAAGGCAAAATATAGTCGGTTTTGGATGACTCCCCTTGGCAAAAAAGTCAAGTGAGATGACTTTTTTGCAGCTCGTTTATATAGTGCTCGGATGCTTGTTTCCTAAACCAAAATGATTCTGTTTTCTCTTCTTAGTCACGTGGTCAGCAGGATCCGTTCGTGGCTTGATTCTTTTTTGATTTGATTCTTGTTTGATTGTGACGATAGTTGCCATGCATGCTCGTGTTTCCCTTTATTTTGGGTTGATTCATGATTATGACTTGATTCGAGGATAAGGGATTATTCTCCCTTGATTATTTCTATTTGCTATTTTGGTTGCCATTTTTGGTCCGATTCGCTTATCTTGATGCGATTTAGTTAGATGTAAAATCACCGAGAGGATGATTCTTTCCTTTTTCGCCGGCGCGAGATTTTTCACTCGCGTTCTGGTGACCCTCAAGGAACCCTTAATGTTTTTTGGAATATTATGACAGAGTATGGGTCGTTGGATCATTTGGCCAAATCCAACGGTTCATGGTTGGGGTAGTTCTACTGTACGACAATTTCAATATATATCGGAAATGTTAATATTTTTTAACATTTTCGGTAAAACGCTACCTGAAACATTATTTTTTTTACCGAAAATGTTAATTTCGCTAACTAATTTTCGATATAACCTAATATTAATATTTATGGTAGAAAAATAATAATATTTTAGGTAGTATTTTACCGGAAATGTTAAATATTTTGGGTAGCGCCCAATATTAACATTTCCAATATAAAAATAATGTTTTAGGTAGCGTTTTACCGGAATGTTTAAAAAATATTAACAATTTTTGTAGCGTTTTTTCTTAGTTGTATATTCAGGTTGCCGCACCTAAGACATCCCTTCATGATTAGCTTAAAATCTAGGGTTTTGTAACCCTAGCTATTTAGGATCTTAACCGTATATTCGTGCCCTGATCTAAGGGTTCCTTGTTGTGCGATGTTGTTGCTATCTTTGGAAACCCTAAAGTGTTGGGTTAGACATTTTGGGCTTTTTGGCAGTCTTGACTGGCTTGTTTTCTGTTGGATTGCCTGGCTTGTCATCTAACCCGATTTGCGGGGTCAGGATCATCAGGTGTGGGCCTGCTTCTTAGACTTGGACCATTACCTCTGTTGGATTGGACGTTTCGGACTTGAACTCTTTGACCTGAACTTTTATTTGATTGAACCTGAAATTAAAAATAGAAAATAAAAAATATATAATAAAAATAAAACATAATAATAATAATAATATAATATGTTTTCAAAAACTATATATTGAAACTATATATTATATATTTTAAAAAATTGTATAATATATTTTAAAATATATTATATATATATTCAAAAATTATATATATATATATTATATTCTCAAAATAATTTATTTTCAAAAACTATATAATATATATTTTAAAAAATATTATACTATAATGTGATAATAAATCCCAGACGAAAATGGTGTAGTGTCTACACGTTTAGTTAGGTCTCCAGTGTCGTCAACTCTGCCACAAATAGGATAGATTGTATTTAACTTGGGTAATTTTATGGAGTTTTCCTGAGGTAACAAAAAGAAAATATAAATTTACCGTCTGTATGTTTTTTTATCTTAATTTTCAGTTGAAGTTAGAGGATTCTCGTGATTTGCAGATTCGAACAAACGTTCTTGTTACTTCACTGGTCATCAGCTGGGCCATTAGAGGTAAAATTAACTGAATTAAGCTGTTTTCCTTCAAATTTATGGTTAATATTAAGAAGCTGTAATTGGGGATAATCTAGAGTTGAAACTGGTGAATATATCACTCTGCATTTGTTGATCATGCTTTTATTTTGTTTGAGATCCTTTTCTTAGTATTCAAAGTATAATAATGCGGAAGGGTTTTACCATTTGCGATCTTCTTTTGTTTTCATTATCTGGAGCATATTGTTTGGTCAAGTTGATTACTTAGACTGTTATTTCTAATTGGGATTGAGAGCTTGCTTCTGATCGTCTGATTTTACTTTCGCTGAAGCAAGAAACCTAATAATTTGTGTCTATCTCGTGTTTAAAGCTCTCGCCCCTCATTTTCCCTTGAAGTACACATATATCCAACATTTATACTCGAGTTCGAATAACATAGTTTGAAACTTAGCATTGATGCATGTTATCGTTTTTCGTATCATGCCATCATTTCATCAGAGCTAATGTTTCTCTCTACATTGATGATGCCAAAGGGCATTTCTTTTATAGACATGGATGTCACACGCAAATTACTTTCCATAAATTCCTTGTAATTGCAGATTATTCGCTATTCATTCTTTGGCCTGAAGGAAGCCTTTGGTTCTGCACCTTCTTGGCATTTGTGGCTTAGGTAAATAATACATGTGTTCTGTTTTAGTTAAGTGGATTTGTTGGATCCTTGGCGTTCATTTTGCTGATATTTGATTTCTCCGAACAGGTATAGCACGTTCTTGGTTTTGTATCCAACTGGCATCAGCAGTGAAGTTGGTCTGATCTATTTTGCCTTGCCATATATCAAGGTAATGTATCACTGCTTATGTTTTGTACGCGAATACTTCCAATCAGCCGTGTTATAATTCAGCACATTCTTGTTGATAGCTGCCATGTGGTTTTTTGTTGTTGTATGACCAAATACACTTAGAAATGTTTTAAAGAGTAGAGGATGGATGTTCAGATACAATACGTCATTTCTTGAATTCCCCTCACCTCGGGTTTTTTGGCATTTGAATAACGTAAAACCGGTGTATCTGCAGGCTTCCGAGAAGTATTGCATAAGAATGCCGAACAAGTGGAATCTCTCCTTCGATTACTTCTATGCCGCGGTTATTGCCCTTGGAATCTATGTCCAGGTATGAACTAAGCATTCCTCATTTAGCATTTCATCTCAGCTTGATTGATTACCTGCTTAGTTCTTCATGCTTATTCAAAGGGACCATTGTTGTTGTTGTTGCAGGTAGTCCTCACCTGTACCGTTATATGCTCGGTCAGAGGAAGAGAGCTCTGTGCAAATCGAAAAAGGAGTGAAAACACTGGTGAGATTTGCAGAGCTTGTGTTCATTATATCAGAACTTTGTGCATGTATCATTCTATTCTTTTAAGTGTTGCTTTTTGGCTAAACTGGTGGTGTATAGGTGCTGAATTTACCAAATTGTAGGTAATTTTGATAGTCTGTTCCCAAGTTTTTTTTAATAATCCGAGATAAATACAAGGTAGAATATGTTCAAAGATAACTCTCAACCATTTGACATTGAATGCTTACATCCTTGACGTTCTTGGTTCTTAAACCCGAAACATCAAGGAATAACAATAATTTATTTAACACGGAGATTGCTTGGTTCGTGCTTTAGAAGGAAGGAAAAACATTACGACAAAGGATCATCACTCCAAAATTATCACATGTTAGAAAATCATCATTATTCATTCAATTATTAGCCACCATTTCACATTCATGATTCGTACACATTTAAAGCTACAATTCACCAACAATCAATTGGTCTAGTGAAATGAGACACTAGGTCCTTGAAGCAAGGTTAGGGGTTTGAATCATGACGTTTGCGAATAGAGCAAACTGAGTTGGGAGGGTCGCCCTCGCCTCTGTAGTGCCCGATCTGGATTAGTCGATCAACAGATCAAATATCAGTGATTAATTAAAAAAAAGCTACAATTCAAACATTGGGTCAAGCTTAAATACTACTCTATGAATTATGTAAAGTGTATGATTTTTTGTGTTATTATTATGCTTTACATACTTGTAAATATATACTTCATGTAATATGGTAGGGTAGTTATATATAACTGAGGTTAATCTCCCAAAATTTTAAACAAAATAAGGTAAAAAAAAATAAGTGGATCTCAATGTTTTCAAAATCAGACCGAACATTGAACCGGTGAAGGTACTGGTTCATTGGTTCAACCGGGTTCAACCGCGGTTGAACCGGATTTTATATAAAATAATATTTTTTTTTAATTTTACATAATATTCAAAGCAATATTAATATATATGTAACACTTTTTTTAAGTTTACAATATTAAAAGGTATAAAAATATCACAAGTCATAACATGTATAAATGAAAAACCATAAAATCAAGTGAAACAAAAAGATTCAAATCAACTACAACATAATATTTAAGGTAAAACATATTAAATAATAAATATAATTATATAACTATAATAATAAAAAATTGGGGTTTAAAAAAATCATAACAAATGATGTCATTTGGTTTAATTGTTTTAAAAAAATAATCCCACATGGCTAAGAAACATAGAAGAGCATCCCAACTTACTTCTATAAATAATAGAGGTAATTTGACATTCAAAATCATGGAGCCTTTTGGTGAGCACAAAGCGAACTATTCTTTCGCTTCAATTGAGCTCAAATTTTAGGCTTCAATTGAGCTCAAATTTTAGGCTTTAATTGAACTTTTAATTTTTTTTTTTGAGTTCGAGCCTTTTCGATTTCAAGTTTTAATATTATATTTCGAGTTGATAATTTTTAGCTCGTGAGTTTTTGAGTCGAGTTGAGCTTACTTTTAAAGTTTTCGAGTTCGAGTCGAGCTCAGCAATACTCGAATTTGACTCGGCTCGTTGAATAAACGACGTTGTTTGGTTTAATTTTTTTTTTTAAAAAAGTGAATCGGCGGTTCAAACCGGTTTGTCGGTTTTTAGCCGATTCACCCCGGTTTTCCCGATTTTCAGCCAATTCTTCCGGTTCTTTACCGGTTCTGTGCTAATCCGGTTTTGGGAGTTAATCGGACCGGACAGGCCACTGGTTCACGGTTCAACCGGTCGAACCGGCCGGTCCAATCCGATTTTAATAACATTGGTGGATCTACACTCAAAACATTCATCATCATTTCGAACATGGCTTATTGTTTACTTTTGATAGAAAGGGTAGATAAGACTGTTTGAAACGGTGAGGCGGGCACCAATCTTTTTCCCTTTAAAGTAGAGCTTATTATATAAAAATATAGTGCTTACCTTAAACTATAACGTTTTTCATATTTAGATGTAATTTTTTCGGTTAATTCATGTATCTAACGTTCAGGGACAGAGTTAAAATTAAATATTGACAGGGGTTAAAATATTAAATCATTTAAGAAAAATATAAAGACATATTAGGTATTTAAACTCGAAACACAGCATGAATAAGCGACCTTAGTGATTAAGGGGGTTGTTGTTATCCTTCCCGAGTTCAAGCATTGCATATGTAGGGGTATGAGCGTTCATTGTCAAATAGTTGAAAGTCTTTATACATATACTACCATGTATTCACCTTAAATTTATAATAAAAAAACTCAAAATTCACAAGATAAATTCTAATTTGTCTAATACTTAAACTTACAATGACCTAAATTATAATTAGACTAAAAATTGAGAACACATACTTATCATTCTTTAGTTCGACCACTACTTGATTAAATATTTAATATTTTTTTTATATTTTTTAAATTTAAATATTTATTTTTACATGAATCAAAATATTATTAAATCAAAATTATATTGAAAATACAAATTTTAATAGGGGTCGGGGCCCCTTGGACCCTAAGGGAGCTCCGTCCTTGCTAACGTTTCTAATTTTATACTTTTAGGTCTTGGCCTAATGGATGTTATGTATCACATTTAGGTAATTTTGAAAATTTTATTTTCTAAAAAATATAAAATTTTATAAATACGATACGTGTCATTTTACGATAGAATTTAATAGCAGTAAAGGTCCAAACATCTAAAAATATAACATTAAAAATATTAAATATCTGAATTGACAAAAAATAGTTTAAGCACCTAAATGAAAAAAGTGTATATTTTGGGTACTTGTTTTTATATTAAGCCTAAAAGTAATAATAATAAAAAGAGAAAATAACATCAGTGACCAAAAATCCCAGATAATATACGATTTTGATCAATTTTTTTTGGATTTGCGAAAATGACCAACAAAATCGCAATGCGATCTCTAATTCGCATTGCGATCTCCACTATCGCAAATTCGCGTTGCGATAATTGAAAATCGCAACGAATTTGGAAAATCGCAACGACATTACAGACTGTAGACTATCGCAACGCGAAATGGAAAATCGCAACGCGATTTTCAACTATAGCAACGCGAAATGGAAAATCGCAACGCGATTTTCAACTATCGCAACACGAAATGCAACGCGAATTTGCGATAGTGGAGATCGCATTGTGATTTTGTTGGTCATTTTCGCAAATCCCAAAAAAATTGGCCAAAATCGTATATTATCTGAGATTTTTGGTCACTGAAATTATTTTCTCTAATAAAAAGCATGTTTTTGGCTACAAACAGAGTTAATGCTCAACAAAACTACTACATTTCTACGTCGGTACAAAACAATATTATATCTTTAATTTTAGGCTTAATATAAAAATAAATCCTAAACTATACTTAAAATTAATTTTGGTATTTAAAGAATTTTTCGATAAAAATAAGTATTTAAAGTTTTTTCCGTTACACTTTTAGGTGTCCACCGTTAAAACAAAAGTTAAGTGACACGTGTCATGTCAAGATTTAAAAAAAATATTTTTAAATAATATTTATTTTAAAAAAATCTGGATGTGACATGTGTTGCTTAACAATTTTTTTAACGGTATGTACCTATAAGTGTAACAGAAAAAACTTTAAACACATATTTTTAACGAAAAATTCTTTAAGCATTAAAACGTTTTTCGAGATATTATTTAAACAATTATTTTTGTATTAAGCATTAATTTTAAACAATGCTTAAATAGTATCATTTCGGCGAATCTCCTTTAAAGCAAAATTCTTTGATGGGTTTTATTTTCATCGGTTAGCATTTCAAAATTTAAGGTATAATGGTAGAATATAATTTTTAATATATGATTAAATAATTATTCTTATTTTTATTTTTTTTAAAATATTTTGGTCTAAACACTTTATTTTATGGATGATGATCCTTCTAGGGTTGAAAATCATTAGCTAGGAATATAAATGAGACAAGATAGATCAGTTGCGAGATGAGTTTGACTCGGTCAAAATTCGATCAACACTCGAATATAATAAACTCAACTTGAGTTATTAACGAGCCGAAGCGAGCTACTTGATATTTGACTCGAAAAGCTCGTAAACAATTCAATTTTTTTTCTCAAAATTAAGATATTAATAATATTAACATTTATATGTTGTTGTTGTTTTTAAATATAGTATAAAACTTTAAAATACTTATGATTTAGGTTCGAATTCGAGCTCAGTTTTTTTTATTTCAAGTTCGAATTGAGTTTGATAATTTTAAGATTTCTAATTTTCTAGTCGAGTTGAGTTAAGCTCAACAATACTCAAACTCGATCGACTTATTATAGTCCCGTCATTAGCCAATAAACTGTGAATACTCCAAAATAAATATTTTTGTGTTCTAAATATAAAATATTAGATCTATGATGTTCCAATACAATAATAAAGACTAAAATGACTATTTAATAAAACCTTTCAAAAAAAGTTAAAATTTAAATTCTAAATAATAAAAATAAAAATTATTATTTAATCATACATCTCAAAATTTAAATATTAAAAGGGCTAACTACATGATTGATCACTTATATTTGTATTTTGTCAACTTTTCCTCATTAGTTTCAAAAAAATATAGATGATCACTTTCGTTTTTATTTACTTAAAATATGGTCACTACGAATTAACTGTTGTTAAATATTTTGGTATATTCACACATCCGTCTATGTTATTTATATATTCTCTCAATTTAGTCTTATGTTTAATAAATTAAAATAAATTTAGTCCTTCAATTGAATGATGCCATGTGTCACTAGTACCGTGTGTCATGCCATGTGTTATCTTTTGGTTGGAGAATTAACTTTATTTTAATTTAATATATTTATTTTAAGTTAATATATTTATTATTAACTTAATTTAAAAATATTATTATTTTATTTAATATGTACATTTTAAGTTAAAATATTTTGAAATTAAGACTAAATTTATTTTAATTAATTAAGAGTATGAGTAAATTGAGAGAATATGTAAGTAACATGGAGTAAATGTTTGATTATGCTAAAATACCACATCACCTAATCTGTTAAAGACAGTTAGCCTGTGATGACCCCATCTTAGTTAAATAAAAACGAAAGTGACCATATCTTATTAAATAAAAATGAGTGACTATATATTATGGTTTCTTGAAATCAGTGAGGAAAATGGATAAAACACATATATAGGTGATCAATCATGTAATTAATCCATATTAATATTGTTGGTTCGCTCAAAAGTTGACACGCTCCAAGCGTTTGAGGAGAAAGGACAATCCCTCGTGAGAGCGAGTCCTAAACCATTTCCAAACGCACATTTCTGTGGGCACATAACGTACTAAGTCGATTGATAACATCCCCCCCCCCCTGCGGGACACACCTCATTAACCCTCATCCCCAACCCATTACTCCCACTCCCCATATTTCTCTCTTTTATTCTCTTTCTATTTCGAGGGGGTAATGGGGGAGCACAAGACTCACAACAACCGCTGGAACTGGGAGGTGAGTGGCTTCGAGCCGCGCCGTTCGTCGCCCTCCTCGCCGGAGGAGCTACCTTCGCCCACTCGTGCACCGTTGATGCGACGCTATTCGATCTCCGCCGCCGCGTCTTCCACGGTGTCCTCGGAGTTCTCTAAGCAGGCCCTGGCTTCTAAGTTGCTGCGATTGAAGGATAAACTTAAGGTAATGGCGCAAATCGGCTTCGGATTCTGAAATTTTCGCCTGATTACTGTCGTAGCTGTCGATGGGGTTGAAGATGTGATTTTAGCTAAGCTCCCATCTTTACGAATTAACATGCAGTATCTTATGTAATTTGTTTTAATCTATCAATTTTAACGAATAAAAAGTAGGATGTGCTTTTTCATGTCATTTTCTGGAAGATTAGGTGTGTCCGGAAATTGATCCAAACTTAGGAGCTCAAAACAGTATAAAGTTTTAACAGCGAATTAGATTTTTGATTCTGATGAACCATAACTTAAGTCATCAGCTTGTATTGTGAAAATTTGATTAAGTTGACGGGAATATAAATTGCCGTTCATGTAGAAAACTCTGTCAGTTGAGAATGTTTAATAATAGTAACATTCTTGTTACACAAGCTGCTGGTCTTACTTGATGATCCAAATTGAGTTGATTTGAAATGTTGTTAGATTGTACATTGTGTCAAATGTCGATTAATATGCCTACCTTTAAGATATTTGAATGGACTTTGATGACCTATGTGGCAGTTCTATAATAGTTGAAATACTGTTGAAAACATGTAATATTGAATGAATTTTGACATAATATATGTGCTGATCTAGAGGGACAACAATAGGATTCATTAGTCATTACCAAACAAATGAAATAGCTGGCTGACAATTCAAAAGTTGGTTAATCTAATGTTAATATCTACTCCTAGGCATGGCATATTTTTATTTGGAAACCATTAATGGATCTGGTTATGGTTTTCTGATGTGATACTTGTTCTTAACTCTATTAATAAAAAAGCTTCTATATTATTATGCAAGTTTTGTTGTCTCGCCTGGATCTGAATTATAACTTACAGATTAGGTGATTGTCAGGGTGAAGTTGGCCATGAAATTTATATTGAATAAAGCTTTTGGCCCTTGTCATATGCATTCAAGCTTAATAAAAGAACCTTTTTGGAGATTTGGAACTTATCTGATCATCTCAGATGTTTAAAATAATGATTGGTAACATGTGATGTCTTCAATGTGAGAAGCTCTTTTGGGGCTAAAGAAGAATTATTTTGAGTCACTTGTGGGCTTTAATATGTAGTGATTTAGTATGCATTCTGAGTTTTGTCGTTGCAGTATCTTTTGTTTGATCCAGTTTTTCTTTCTTACATTAATTTGGCAGCTAGCAAAAGAAGACTACTTGGAGTTGCGACAAGATGTTAGTGATCTACAGGAATATTCAAATGCCAAACTTGATCGGGTTACACGTTACTTAGGTGTTCTTGCAGAGAAAACTCGTAAGCTAGGTAAGATATTAGGTTTAGTGGCAGTTTGATTGGGTTACATTGATGACTTACTTATGCTTCAGCTATTTTAGTGCTTGGTCTAATGGTATATTGTAAAGATGCTTCTCTGGAGTTTGGTTTATTTGTGCTCTACAGACAATCACCTTGTAATTTTTAGAAGTACTGTGCTACCCTGTCCATTGCCTGTGTTTTTGTTCTCACGAGAGACATTTTGGGATAAAGTTTTTAAGAAATTAGTTAAAGGTGCATTATGTATCCCTTGTCCAAAAATAACAAAGGGAATGGAAATATGCTATTAAAAGAAGCACTAAGAAAAAATAAGCAGAACTGCAGAGCAAGAGAAAAGAGTTGTTTTGTTAAAAACAGTAAAAGAAAAAGAAGAAGTATTTTCAATATTTCCTGCTTGCATATTGCAGGAGTTGTGTCACCCTTGTTTTAATACCTTTTGGGAGCTTCTTGCCAAAGCATGAAAATATAGCCACAAGGGGAGTTAGAATCTGATAACATAATAAATGGTTGGTAATATGGATATGATAATCAACCAAAGCGTAATGAGTGTCTTCGGTTTGCCCACAGGTCTATGCATTTGGTGTTAATTGGTGTAGGTTTGTTTTGTTAGGGTTTTCCTCAATATTTTTTAGTTTGATAGGATCATTTAAGGAGTTGTATTCTGTTCGATAATAAAAAGGAAAAAGAAAGGGAAAAAGCAAAACAAAAAAGAATTATATGTTAAAAATATAGATTACCACAACTTGATAAAATATCTTTATACTCCAAATGGTTATACTGTTGCCCCTTCTTTGTCTCAAGATTCTATTGTTGTTGGGTTCTATTACTTCTATTGATGGTTACAAACTCTCTAAATATAAATGCCAGATCAGTTTGCTGTTGAAAGTGAGGCTAGAATATCTCCGTTGGTCAATGAGAAGAAAAGGTTGTTTAATGACTTATTGACAGCCAAAGGTACATTTTTACTTTGTGCTTTCTGAATAATTTCTCCTTTCTTTCCTTCAGATTTTCTGATATTTACTAGAATATGTTATTTCTATATGTTTTTCATGTTTATGCTGAGTTAAAAAACTATGATGGTACTTTTCTTTGAGAAACAATTTTTTTTTTCAGGAAACGTAAAGTTATTTTGTCGGATAAGGCCACTTTTTGAAGATGAGGGTCCTTCGATTGTTGAATTTCTTGATGAGTGTACTATTCGTGTAAATACCGGTGATGATGCAATCTCCAACCCTAAAAAAGATTTCGAATTTGACAGAGTTTATGGACCTCATGTTGGACAAGGTTAGGACTGTCTTGTTTATTAATTTAAGAAAGAAGGAATTTACCAGAATCACTTTTTTTGTTGCTGGTAGTGTTTGTACATGTTGGTTAAGACAAGTATATATTGACCTACATTTCTCTGCAGTGGAGCTGTTCAATGATGTTCAACCATTTGTGCAATCAGCTTTGGATGGATATAATGTTTCCGTATTTGCTTATGGACAAACTCGGTCAGGAAAGACATACACCATGGTTGTTTTCCTCTAGCTTTCTCTATATTTATGTGTCATGTGTGCATGCGCTCTTGCACTATGTTTTTTTTTTGATAAGAATTACAGGCCTCATTAAAAACCCCCTTCTTGACTAATGGAACTTTTGAGAAAGTTCCTTAATCAGAGAAGGGAGGAAAAGAGTGCCTTAGGATTTTATTGCTCAAGAAAACATAGTACATAAAAAACACCCAACAGACTGACTAAACACCATAAAAATTACAGAACATTTAACACGACCAGTCCGCCCCTATACAATAGCGAAACTACCACATCCCCTACAACCACAATAACCCAAAACCCCACTGAATGACCTCTAAAGCTATATTATGTGGTCAGCCAATCCCCTGTTTAGCTAAGGTATCAGCCTCACAATTACAACTCCTCGGAATATGTCTAATAATCATCGCCCTCTCCGAGATTAAGGAAGCAATTTTTTGAACCAGTAACCTAAGGAAAGGAGGAGAAGAAGTCGGTTGTAAGATCCAATCCACCACAGTCTTACAATCACTCTCAATAATTAACCTTCCTTGAGTCGCCCATTCCGACGATAGAAAAAATTCAATGTCTTTCTCTATTGCTTTCGTCTCAGCGAGTGGAGGAGGACCTGGACCAACAGCAAGTGAGAAAGACCCTAGGATTTTGCTTTCCGAGTCCCTTAAAATACCCCCCATTCCCCCCAACAGCCCGTCCCCACTAACTGCCCCATCAACATTAACTTTAAAAAAATGAAGGGGAGGAAGCCATTCCTGAACCTTCATCCTTTTAGGGTGCCTTGTCTGGTGCTTGTCTGCAAGCGACGGGTCTCCAACAAGAGAATCAACCTGAATGAAATCGTTCGGGTATTTAGCAAGGAACCACTTAACCAACCTAAATCTGCAAATGAAGAAAAGATTAGGTTTGTCCAGTTTCCCATCATCAAAAACCACCGAATTTCTAGCCTTCCATAGTGACCAAATAACTACCCCCGGTATAAAGCCCCATATTACTGACTTTGGCCTTAAATCCGACCAGGAGCACAACAAAGAAGCTGGATCATTAGGTAAAACTGACGAGACTCCCCATAACCTCCAGAAACTGCTCCATAACTCCCATGCAACCTGACACGAGATAAACAAATGCTGAACTGTTTCCTCCTGCTTAGCACATAACGAACAAGAAACCTCCTCCAACGTAACACCCCTTTTTATCAGCTCCGATCTGACTGCCAGTCTTTGATGAGAAACCTGCCAGAGAAAAGTTTCGACTCTAGGTGGGGCCAAACCTGACCAAACGAATTTCTTCCAAGTGAGACTGCCCCCTGAGTTGGCAGAAAGGGTCAACCTGCAGGCTTTAGCAGTAAACAATCCATCACCCTTTCCCGACCATGCCAAAAAATCATCCACCGACTCAGATAACCCAACATTCTCCAATAGTGTCATCAGTCGAATCCAGTGCTCCATCTCCCAGTCACAGAGATTCCTTCTCGTATGAATGTTCCAAATCCACTTATTGCTTATTATGCTTCCAAACTCTGAAACTTTTCCCCACTTATTGTTGGATAGAGCATATATTCTCGGAAATTGATTTTTTAAGGATTCCTCATTTAGCCACACATCATGCCAGAATACAATCGACTTTCCATTACCTACTTGTATCTTCGAGTGAGATCTTAAACCATTTCCAATTGCGTCCTCTGCCAAGTAATTTCTTGTAATACCCTTCCATATCCAGGAATCCGAAGGAGAGATTACCTTGTTAAGGTCTAAAGACATAGAACTCGCATTATGTTTACTGCAAATCATGTTCTTCCAGAGTGAGTCTTTTTCATTTGCGAATTTCCACACCCATTTACCTAGTAGTACTCTGTTAGCGAAATTCAAATCCCTCCTCTACGGGAAGACAAACCCTTTTCCAATTCACCCAGTGAATTCTGCTTTTTGAAGAACCCTCCCCCCACAGAAAGTTTGCCATAATAGAATTTAGTTTCCTATAGACCTTACTCGGAATTCTGAAAATAGAGAGGAAAAAAATTGGCAGGGAGGATAAAACTGATTTGATCAACACTAATCTCCCCGCCATAGAAAGTGAGGAGGCTTTCCATCCGGATAATTTTTTGTTGAAGCTTTGCATGACTGGCTCCCAAAGAGCCTCTGAGTTCCTTTTTGCACCTAATGGTAACCCTAAATACACTGTTGGAAGAACCCCAACAGCACAACCAATCTCCTTAGCCCATTCATTTAATACCTCGCCCTCCACATTGATTCCATACAGATTACTCTTCGACATATTCAAATGGAGGCCAATCATTATGCTAAAAGTTCTCAGGACTCTTTTAATATTGAGGATGTAGGTAGATGAGTCTCGGCAAAACACAATCAGGTCATCCGCAAACTGTAGATGAGTTAGACTTAGGGCATCCGATCTTCCAAAAGTAAATCCCTGAAACAATCCCACATCCGCCGCTTTCATCAACATACGATTTAACAGTTCCCCCACTAAGTTAAACAATAGAGGAGACAAACTACATCCTTGTCTCAATCCTTTGCCCATCGAGAACTCCTCTGTAGGTGAACCGTTCACTAATACCGATATCGACGCCGTAGAGAGGCAACATTTTATCCTGGAAACCCATCTCTCCCCGAAGCCCATGACTCTCAGTAATCTAAAAATAATTGGCCATTCAACCGAGTCATACGCCCTCTGAAAATCAGCTTTGAAAACCACCCCTTTCAGCCCTCGCTTCCTCCAACTATCTATACCTTCGTTTGCAATAAAAGCGCAGTCTAGTAATTGTCTCCCCGGAATGAATGCAAACTGTGAAGGGCTCACAATATCTTGGATCACCGAAACTAGTCTCCTTGCTAAAACTTTGGAGACGATTTTATAGAGACTGCCAACTAGACTGATAGGTCTGTAATCTTCAATACATTCCGGATTGCCTTTCTTTGGAATCAGAGAAATGAACGCATGATTGACTCCATGATCCCATTTTCTGCCATAGTAAAAATCCTCCATAAACTTCATAAGATTCACCTTTATAATTGGCCAAACTTTCTTATAAAACCCCATTGTAAAACCATCGGGGCCTGGAGCTTTAGAGCTGTCCGAAGAAAAAATGGCCTCCCTTACTTCCTCTTCTGAAAACATAACCTCGAGGCCAGTCCTTTGCTCTTCTCTCAATATATCAAAATTCAGGTTCAAGTTCTCTACCTCTAGAAAATCTCTGGAATTATATGCTTTCTTGAAGAACTGAGAGACAACAACTTTAATCAACTCTGGGTCTGTCAACACCTCCCCATCCACTTTCAATTCCGAAATAGAGTTGAATCTGTTTCTGTTAACAGCACATAGGTGGAAGAACCTAGTATTTCTGTCTCCGTCTTTAATCCATTTCTCTCTCGACAGTTGGAACCAAATACTTTCCTCGATTCTGTACAATTTCCATAACTCATTTCTGGAAGATAGGAGCTGTTCCCAGTCCAAGGATGAAAGTCCACTGCTTTGTGCCTTAATTTCCAGATCATAAATTTTACTCTCCAACCCAGTAATAGCCTCCGATATCCCCTGTTTACTCCTGATTGGCCATTCCTTGATACGTTTTTTGGTTCCTTTTAAAAAATTGAGCATTCTGCTTCCCCCTCTATCGTTGGCCCGATCTAACACTACATTTTGAACTATATCTACAAAACCATCCTCCTCCATCAAATAGTTGAAAAACCGAAAAGGTTTCGGTCCCCAATTCTTCCCATCTTCCGCCATTAGAATCGGGTTGTGATCAGAAAGAGATCTAGGGAGTAGTTTCTGAACCACCTTGGGGAAGCACCTTAAGAAGCTGCTGCTCAATAAGAAACGATCCAGCCTTACCCATGTGGTAACCTCTCTATTACTACCCCATGTGAAGGTGCCACCTACCAAAGGGAGGTCAATTAGATTTGACTGTTGCAGGAAATTCCTTAGCAGACCCATTGAATGCCAGTTTTGAGAGGCACCAATCTTCTCCTCTTGTTCGAGATAAGCATTGAAATCTCCCCCAATGCAGAGAGGCAGATCAACCGAATGCACAAAACTCAACAGCTGACTAAAAAACTCCTCCTTTTCTTCCTCAACCGATGGGCCATATACATTAATAAAAACACACTCCAACTTAGACACCTTGAACCTTCCTTTTTAACATCTGAAATCTACTATGATTGCCCACCTCGTTTGCCTCAAAAACATTATCATTCCACAAACACATCAATCCACCAGCAGACCCATCCGCTGGCTGAAAACTTGCTCCCTTCAATAGCTTTCCTCCTAACTTCCTCTTCAATCCCTTCTGACTTTTATTTAGTTTTGTCTCCTGTAAAAACAATATAACCGGTTTAATCTTATTTACAAGTCTCGACACCCCTCTAATTTTTTCCTTTCTACCTAATCCCCTAACATTCCACGAAATAAAATTGCACTCCATCATATGCACTTCCTACCGAAACCTTCAGGACACAGAAAACTGGCTCACTGACCTGCTTCATTGACCCCCCCTGCTCCTTCCTCCATCATTCTAATTTTATCCATGAAAGCCTCCCTCCCTTCCTTAAAAGAAATGCCTAAACTCTGACAAACTTCCCAAGTATTCAATGCTTCCTCCAAAACTTTAGAGAAGGACCGAGAATAGACTGTAGACACTTGTGCACTTGCCAAAGCATCTGTGATTAAGCCTCTTCTCTTCTTTCTGTACAATCTTCGACTCTTTGAAATAATAGACGGGTCTGCCCCCCCTGGTTGGAGAAAAACTGCTCTTCATATGCCCCGTAGAAGTATTCTGAATTTGACCAGAACCTGTTAACTCCTTGACTTGGCCCCTATCCCTTGAAGCTGAAGAAAATTGCTTAAAATTATGAAGAACCAGCCTGTTCTGACTGTGCTTATGGCTATTTTCTGAACATAGCCATACTCTTCTTGTTTTCGACCTTCTGTACACCCTAACAAAACGTCCACAACCCCTCACACCTTCAGAAGTATTGCTAATTGACAATCCTTTCGAAACCTGATATCCCACTCTCCATCTCCTACACCTCTTCCCCATTGGATTGCTAATAGCCTTTTTAGATTTACATTCTTTATCGCCCTTATCCCACTCTTCCAATTCCTTGCTGTTTTCCTTCACCTCCTCCCCCATGAAACTACTATTATCCACATATGTTTGAAAAAGAGTTTGGTCCTGGAAATTACTTTCATTAACCACAGGACAACACTGGGCTGGAGAAATATACCCAATCTACTCAGGCCCAATCTCCACATATCTGCCCGTTTTAGGGTTAATCCCACAGTCATTGACACCTTTATCTTGCCCCGAGGATTCACCTCCCAAACTGCACATCCTTTTTCTCTCTGCGGAAAGGGTTTCTGACACTTTCTTCTTACTTTTAACCTTACCTAGTACTGTCCCCTGATCACTCTGGACAGTCCCTATAATATCATTGACTTCCACGTTTAAATTCAAATTACCCTCAAACAGCGTGTCAACCCCATGACAGGCGCCTGACATCGACTGAAAATTCAACTGTCCTTGCAGCTCTTCTCTATCGTCTCCTTTGTTCCCTTCCGAATGAGTTTCTTCCCTCGGGCCGACTCGTCCTTCCACAGAACCGGCTTCCTCCACTCCATCATCCAGCTCCGGAAAGAACTCATCGCAGCCTTCCACTTTGGTTTTAATAATAAAGGATCTACCATATGTATTAATGACTACCTGGGACGGAATATCAAACGGACTTTCCACTCTTATCAGCAATTGAGCCACCCTGCAATCCACTCTTTGAGCAGTTTGATCCTGAATCTTTACTAACTTGCCCCATCTCTCTGCCAAGCTAGAAAAGAAAGAAACTGACCAGCAATTCAGAGGGACACCCATCAAGGAAACTGCACAGAAAGATAAAGGAACACCCTCCTCCTCCATAACAGGCTCAAGCCTATCGAACCAAAAAGACAATGCCTCCCATTTATCCTTCACCGCTTCGGTTTTCTCTTCCACCGACTGAAAGACAATCAGACAAGCATTTTTCGCAAAACCCCACCTTACCACCTTGACATTGAAGCCCTCAGTCCTTAAACTTCTTTGCACAAGCTCCACCTCGAAAATATGCTTACATATACCAGTTAGAGATGATCTTAACCAAGTTCTTTCTTCCAATGGAATATGCACGTCCAAAGTCTTCTTACCCCCCTTCACATCGCAACCACTATTCCACTGCTGGCTCTCCATAAAATCCCTTCCCACTACCGACTCCTTGTAAGATCTTCCATCATGAAATTTACTAAGCAACTCCCTCTTCCTAGTCTCAACAAGGCTTATTGATCTCTTCCCACGCGACTCCTTTTCTCTTTCCACTCCTGACCCCACTCCAGGAACTTGCTCACGGCCTCTCAGAAAGCCTCTCTTCTGATATTTTGCAATCGACACTGATATTTTCCTACCATCTACCACAACGTTATTCATCCTATCCTTTGCATTGAACAGATCCTCCTTACTTGCAAAATGCACAAAGGCGAATGTATAGTCCTTGTACTTTGGTCTTCTATTGACAAACGGAATGAAAACTTTAATCACCTTGCCGAAATAACTAAAACGCTCCCATAAAACACTTCTATGAACTCTCCTACTAAGATTATCAATGAAAGCAACCCATACTCCTTCGCCAGGCAGTGCTCCGCCTCTGTCTGAAGAACCAATACCATGCGCCACGCTCACTCTCTCACTAACTTTCTCACTCATCCCACTAGAATTGCTATGCGTTTCCTTTAGATGGATTGGTGACTTACCATTTTTTGATAAGAATAGGAGGCCTTGTTAAAAACCCCCTTCTTAACTGTCCGTTCCCCCAAAAAGGTGTACAATCAACAGAAGGAGGAAAAGAGTGCCTCAAATTTTATTAAAATATGGGTTCGAAAACCCAACGTTACAACCAACATATTACAATAATCCCAATACAACGACAAAAACCATCTCTCAACTATCCCTATCCTCACCTCACCCAACCCCTTTTTTTGCCAATTCGTCAGCTTCCCAATTAGCACTTCTTAGGATCAAACGACACATAACATCTTTTGACAAAACCAAGGAACTAATCTCCCTAACAATAGATTCATAACAAGAGGGACAAAAGGAGGGTTTTTTGATCCAATCTAAAGCTTCCAAGCAGTCACACTCCATAATTAGACGACCTAACAAACCCCATTATGACTTGAAGAAGAATATCAAACCCGCTCTGATCTCCTTCAATTCAGCTAGGATTGGCGACTTACCATCTTATTAGATCTTTTTTTTCTCTCTATAATTTCATAATATGCTTGATACATTAGTTTGATGGTCAAGATATTCATGTTTGCCAGTATTGGTAATGGTTGTATCACTAATTGTGCCTTTTTAGTCTTCTCAAATATATCTATTGCTTCTACATCTTTCAAATTTTCTTATATTAAGAGTTTGGTGCATTTGGCTTGTCTGTCTGTATAACTAGAATTAGCCATTACTTTTAACGACTTGATGATTCATCTTGTTTATATGATAACCTCTTCAAAATTTCCCCCCATAGATTGCTATTTTGTTTCTTTCAACCTTAATGACCAGGCTATTAAATTTCTGATTAGAGTTATTCACTTTGATTAGAGAAGCACCTTAATGGGAATTTTATGTCTATTCATGGCCTTTCATATACTAATATTGACCTATCTTTTGGCTTTGGTTATCTCAGGAAGGATCCAACCATGATCGCGGCTTATATGCTCGTTGTTTTGAGGAACTGTTTGATTTAGCCAACTCAGATTTAACTTCAACTTCTAAATTCAATTTCTCTGTCACAGCCTTTGATCTCTATAATGAACAGGTTTCTTAACTGTTTTCACATTTTATTGGCTGTTTCAGTATCTCGCTTTTGGTTTTGATGTTGAATTTTTATTCCAATGTGGCAATACGGAAGTATACTAATGATGATCCCTTAAATGAACATAGATAAGGGATTTACTCTCAGAATCAGGGAGCACTTTACCTAGGATACAGTTGAAGTTACCAGAATCTTCAGTAGAACTTGTGCCGAACAAAGTTGATAACCCAATGGACTTCTCTAAAGTTCTGAAAGCAGCATTTCAAAGCCGACAAAGTGACACATCAAAGTTCACTGTTTCTCATTTGTACGGCTTAAATCCTGTACTTTCTACCTCTTTTTTATTATTAAATGCATGGCATGCCATTAAATAAAGTTAAATCTAAGAAAATTGTATTTGTTCGTTGTTTCTGAGCTGCCTAATTGTGTATAAGTAGTACTTAAATATGTGTATTTTATATTCAGTTGATCCGCAATATCTAATTATTTGCACAAGATGTCTATTTGAGGCAATAAATATTTGAGGCAATAAATTTTATGTCAGACCTATAACTAGGGTTTTCAAATTTATTAGTTTGCTAGTATTTTGGTTGAGATACTGAAGTACAATTTGATTATTATATTTGTTTCTCAATTTACTCTAGTCCCTTATGGTGTTCATACTGTGTGTCCTGTAGTTTATTTGTTGGGATTTCTTTTGTTCTTTTTTTTTCAGGATCATCACAGTGCACATATACTATAACAATCTGATCAGTGGAGAAAACTCGTACAGCAAGCTCTCTCTAATTGACTTGGCTGGAAGTGATGGTCAAATTTTAGAAGAAGACAGCGGGGAGCGTGTTACAGACTTACTTCATGTCATGAAATCACTTTCGGCGTATGTTATCTTTACTATTAATTTTCTTTTATTGTTGTATTGAAGTTTCCTCAGTGCACTTCTACCTTCTATTTGAGAAGCTCCTGAACTTGGACAGTATATGAAATTCGTTCACTCTAATTACTACTGAAACCTTTACCCTGAAAAAATTGGCCGGCTTTTTCCTTCAATGCCCTCAGTTGACGAAGTCTTATTAACAAAGGGTGTTGTTGGAAACATAGAAATAATTGGCTTTTACTTTTATGTATGAATTTTTTTAAACATTCTATAGAACTGCTACTTAGGGATGTTGAAAGTGCTTTTATACATTTTCCTCCCTTTTTCTTTTGAAAAGATTTGCTCTCTCTTTCATGTGGACTTGTGGCGCTTTTGCTCAAGGCTAGTGTTCTTATCATATAATTATGTATTCAATAACTATCTTAGTTTTTGACTTGACTACCCATATTTCTGATTTCACTCTTACCATTTTGGCCTGTTGTGTTTTGTGTTGCATGTGTAGGTTGGGAGATGTTTTGTATTCTTTGACCTCAAAGAAAGATGATATTCCTTATGAAAATTCAATGCTTACCAATATACTTGCAGACTCGCTAGGTATCATTCTGCTTCTTATAATGTGAAATTTATTAACACTGATTGCATGTAATGCTTTTGTATTTGACTTTGCTTTTCATGTATAGTTGTTTATTTGAAAATAATGTTGGTGGAAAAATTTGCCTGCTATGATAGCTGGCCTGCTTAAAGGAGAATTTGCTTCTTGAATGCTAATTTAAAAAAAAAAGTGAAATTTAAAAGATAAGAATTAAGGGAAGGTATTACTAATGCATAGAGAATCTCATTACTAGGGAAAAAATATATACTATGAGATTTGCTCTTACTAACAAGAGCTGCGTTTTTACCTTTATATTATATGATAGTTATTGATTAAGTTCATTAGTATGATTTCAGATAGGGGCCAGTATTCAAACTAGTTGATTTGAATTGAATGAAAATATTCAAGTTAATCAAGCTAACGAGTCATGTTATCATCCTAAGTCAATTTGAATTTTTTAATCAAGTTGAGAGAAATGAAATTTGAGTCTAATAAATTTGTTCGAGTTATATTAAAAAATAAATCAAATAAAATTATTGTCAATACTATGATTAAATTTCTGGTTAGAGCACATAGATTTAAGGCCATATGTATTTGAAAGCCCTTTAAAGCAAAATAAGATACTTTGGGTTTAATAATTTATTTGTTTAAGGCCTCAAATTTATTATTTTGGAACGATTTTACAATTTTTATGAAATTTAGCATTTTTATACCCTTTACTAATGATTCTTAAATAATTTTTAGGAACTATGCATATTCTAAATTTTTATAAGATATTTTATTTATAGAATATTTTTGAATTTTTGAAGATTTTTTCCTAGTAATTTCTGTTAAGAGACCAATGTGCATATTTTTGAAGTTCTCAGGAACCCAAATGGTAATTACAGAAATTTGTAACTTGGTTTATTTGAATTGAAAAATTCAACTTGACTCAAAATTGAAAAATTAAATAACTTGATTGAAAAAAATTGAATAACTCAAAATTCGATTTTTCTTTTTTCAAGTCGATTCGAGTTTTGCTTGCCCCTAATTTCATAATCCTTGGCTTTTTTTTTTCTTTCTAAACCTACTGCATGGCTTTTCAAATACCATCTGCAAACTTTATTAAAACGTCTTAATACTGCAAGATCTTTTTTCATGTTATAGTCAATTTCTCTTTAAGTTCATTAATGGGAAATATCTTTCTAGTGTGCAGATTCTATACTAGTTAACCCTGTAATTGTATTATCTTGCAATGAGTGCTACTGTGGTGTGTATTTGTTGATAATCTGAGTCGAAGAGTGTCGAGGATTGCCTTATGGGAGCGGTTTAAGCACCATGGCAAGATTAATAGAGTGTTTATTCCTGTTATTAATAGAAGGCCAAAGTACAAAGATGCGGCGTTTTCTTTCGTCCATTTCGAAACCAAGGTGGATGTGCTAAAAGGCCATTGAGAAGCTTAATAACGCTACGATTGATGGGAAAAGGATAACTGTTGCGGTGGCGAAGTATCAGAAAAGCGAAGTGCAACAGGAAATAGATAAATCGACATCTTTTAACAATTTTGTGATGATAGATCTTACAAAGAGTCATTGATGGGAATTAAGAAGGATCAAACAGGTGGAGGAAGGAAGAAGAATGGTGATAGGGAGGTAAAAAGTCCTCTGAACATGTTCATACCTGTGGAAGAAAGGAAGTGGATTAAGCTGTCGTATACATGTATTCTCAAATCCATTGTTGAATTGGAGTTTATCCAAAAGGTATTTCAGAGTGACAACTTCAATGTAAAAGTGGCATCCTGGGACTATGCAAAGAACGCGTGCATTATCACCTTTCCATCGGAGGAGGAGGAGAAGAAGAAAGCGATGGAGAACAGAGTGAAGGATTTAGAATTCTGGTTTGAAAAGTTGGTCCCTGTTTATCAAGAGGGAGGAGTGCCTATTGCTTTTTGCTCAGTCACATTAATAGGTGTGCCTCTGAATTGCTGGTGTGAGGGCTTCTTTTCGAAACTGGCGTCGAGATGGGGATCGCTAGTAAAGGTTCAAGATGAGACTCTTCGAAAAGTTGAATTCCGTGTAGCAAAGTTGGTGTTAAGGGTGGCGAGTCCGTTTGATATTCCTGAATACATAATAATAAACACGAGTAGGAGGCCGTATAAAGTCAAGATTAAGGTTGATTTGATGGAGGATAACTTCACAGATGTTATTTGGAATGAATCAGAAGTAGATTCATCAGAGGGGCGGGAAGATGATTCGTCGGGGAGCTTTTCAAAAGATGAACAGAATCTGCAAGAGGGTGTGTTTTAGGAGAACATGGAAGACCATCAGTCAGACCAAATCTCGCATGAAAGGGTGGAAACATGGTTGTAGGAGAGTCAGAACGACGGTCTCCTTGGAAATAGAGAGGTTCTTAATACTCCAGTTGTTTTGGGTCAAGATACATTAATGATTGGCTCAGGTGATGAACCTAATGGCATGTTGGACCCGTCGAATGTAGGGAGAGTGGAGGGAGTCGACGTGGAATGTCAGGAAGGTCCTTTGATTAATAATTTTGGTGGAGTGGAATTAGAAAATGGGGCGAGAAGGTTGGACTCTATCCCTGTAACTTTTGAAAACACCTTAATTGGGTCTAATGAGAGACCCAATCTAAGGGATACGAACCCAATTGAAGGGAGAGGTGATCTTAAGCTGTCAAGGGAGAATGTTGAGAGAGAGAGGTTATCATTGGGATATCTAAATCGATCTAAATTTAAGTCTCTCTCTCTAGTTCGAAAGAGATCGTTAAACCGTTAAGTGGGCAGGCATGCTTCGGTGGGAAGAGAAGATAGTAGATTCTTCAATAGGGTTTATAGTAGAACAATAAGAAATGGGGTATCAATGGCCTCGGATCAGGGAAGTTCTTGCCCTTCTGTATCTTTAAGAAGGTCAGTCGACGTGGAAGAGGTGGAAGCTACTTGGTAAATCAACAATATGATGGGCATAACCTTTCGGGATAAGGTGTTTGTGGATAAAGTGGCCAAGTTGAACAAGGAGAGGATTAAGAGGAATAGGAGTTAATCTCTCATTTCGCTTGAAGGTAATTTTGTTTTTCGTTTAAGGTTGAAGTTGTCAATAATTTCATAGAATGTGAGGGGGTTGGGTAGAAAGGAGAAGGGTAGAGCAGTGAGGAGTTTGATTGTGGAGAAGAAGATGTCTTTTGTGTTCATCTAGGAATCGAAAATGGAGTTAGTGAGTCCTATGTTGTTGAGAAGGATTGAGGGGAAATATTTACTGGGAGCTGCTGTGTCGCCTTCGATTGGACCAGCGGGGGTATGGTAAGATTGTGGGACGAGAATGTTTTTGTTTTAAAGCAACAACAAATTTACAGAAGGTTTATTGCGATTTGGGGAAATTTTAAGGAAGGCGGTGTACAGTGTAGTGTTATAAATGTTTATGGGTCGTCTGTGGATTCGGAAAAAAAAAGATTTTTTTCATGGAACTTATGTCTTTCATTGATCAGTTGGATGATCCTTTTTGCATAGGGGGTGATTTTAATGTTTATCTGAATCGAGAGGAGAAAATTGGTGTCATAGAATTTGCATTCGATGAAGTTGTTTAACAACTTTGTGATGCAGGCGAATCTGGTTGATTTACTTTTGTTGGGTGCAGAGTTTCAAATAGCGGCCGAATAGCGGTGTCGCGGCCGTTATATCGAGTTGCGTTGGTATCCGAAACCGCTATCGCGGAAAATAACGGTGTGAAGCTTGATCACACCAATAGCGGCGGATCGCAATCGCAATTTAACGGATCACGGAATAGTTGACCGCTATTTCGCTATTATTCCATTATTTTAATTTAAAAAAAAACAGGTTTTTTTATTAAAAAAATCAGATCCTTCGAAAAAAATTCACGATCGCGATATCCGCAATGATCGCAATAGCATCCGTTATATCCGCAACCGTGATAAACACGACGTGACCGAAAACGTGACCGCGAACGCTACTTAAAACCCTGGTCGGGTGGCGTGTTATGTGGAGTAATAATCGAGAAGCATTAGCGGAAATAAGATTGGATCGATTTCTGTTAGATTGTTGCTTTGCATCGCTTTTCCAAAACTATCGCAACATCTACTGCCGAAATCATTGTCCGACCATAATGCTATTATGCTTGAAAACAGGGGACATAATTGGGGTCCGAAGCCGTTTAGATTTTTCAATTATTTTCTAGAAGAAGAGGGTTTTCAAGAAATGACGGAAAGGGAGAGAGAGAATTCACATAAGGGGATGAGGAGAAGAGATGTTATGAGTACTCTAAAAAATCTAAAGAAGTCAATAAAGGGGTGGTCAAACAATAATTATTTAAAGCTGTCAGGTTTGATTATGGATTTGGAAAAGAAGATTCATGAGATGGAGTTGGCATTACAACAAGGGTCTTTGGCATTTTCAAGGGAAGAATTGGCGAAAGCAAGAAGGAAGTTGTGGGACTTGTACAGAAAGAATAAGTAAATTTGGTTTCAAAAATCTCTGGATAAGTGGATTAAAGATGGCGACAAAAACTCGAGATTTTTCCATCAAAGTGCTGCGAATATTGGCAGAATTAACTCAATCAAGTATCTAAGAATAAGACAGGTTGGTTTCGGACTCGAAGTAGATAAAGAACACTGTACGAGACTTTTTCAAAGCTGCCTATAATTAGAAGAACACCCTAGATGTGGTTTCTATGGATCTAAATTTTGCTAGGCTATTGGAAGAACAAAGTTCACTCTTGGAAAGCCCCTTCTCGAAGGAGGAGGTATGGGAGGTTATTGCTTCGACGGATAGTAATAAAGTGTCGGGTCCTGACGGTTTAAGTATGGGCTTCTTCAAGAAATTTTGGTTCAAATTAAAGCCCAAGATAATTAGATTCTTCAACGACTTTTTTATGGGGAAGGATTGGGAGAATGGAATAAATCATTCCTTCATTAAGCTTATTCCTAAGTAGTCGAGCCCAAAATGCTTGGACGATTATAGGCTGATCAGCCTTGTGGGTGCCCTTTATAAAATTTTATCAAAGATTCTCGCTAGGAGATTGAGAGGGTGTATTGATGATTTAATAGGGCCATCACAGTTCGCTTTCATCCCGGGTAGGCAGATTATGGTTGTTCTTTCCTTGCAAATGAAGGTATAGATTACTAGAGGAAAAAAGGATTAAAAGGGGTGGCTTTTAAAGTGGATTTTAGGAGGGCATATGACTCTATCGATTGGGGGATTTTGTTGAAAATTATGGAGATGGGATTCAGAATGAGGTGGTGTTCCTGGATATTCAAGTGCATTTCGTCTGACTCCATTTCTATTTTAGTCAACGGGTCATCAACAGAAGAGTTTAGGATCGCTAGAGGGCTTCGGCAAGGGTGTTCTTTGTCACCTTTGTTATTCAATCTGGTCGGGGAATTATTAAACTTGATGCTGTCCAAGGCGGTAAATTTGGGGTTTTTCTACGGGTTTGAAATCGGGAAGGTAGGGAATTCTTTCATGTTATCACATCTATAGTACGCGGATGATTTGCTAATTTTCTGCAATGCTTCTATGGGCCAACTGAAGAATGTTAGTAGAGTGCTACGTATTTTTGAGTTAATGTCGAGTCTGCAGTTGAATTTGGAGAAGAGCAGAATTGTTGGAATTAATATGGAGGAGATCGCTATTAAGGAATGGGCGGACGAACTTGGATGTTCTGTGGGGGAGTTTTGATTGAGTACCTTGGATTTCCTCTGGTGCGAAAAAGAATTCAACAACACTTTGGGAGTCGGTTGTCCAAAGATTCTACAAAAAAAATTAACCTGGTGGAAAGCGACATCTCTGTCTTTAGCTGGGAGAGTAGTTTTAAACAAATCATTGCTCAGTTCTTTGCCCATATATTTCCTGTCCATTTTCAGAATACCAACCCATGTTTTGAAGTAGCTAAATTCTATTATGGCCAAGTTTCTGTGGGGAGGTTCGGAAGATAAGAAGAAGATCCATTGGGTTAATTGGTCAACCGTGTGGCAACCTAAATTTTTAAGAGGTCTTGGTATTTTAGATTTAAATCTTCTGAATAGAGCACTCATTGGGAAATGGTCTTGGAAATTTGTGACAGAAAGAGACACTTGGTGGAAAAGATTGGTGTGCAACAAGTATAATGTAGATCCGAGAACTATTCAGATTGAATTTACAACAACTAAAAGGGCATCCTGGATTTGGAAAGGAATACTGAATAATTGTGAGGAGGATGAGTTTGGGCAGTGTTTTCAAAATCATTTAAAATTTCAGATTGGAAATGGTGAATCTTTAAGGTTCTGGCTTGATAATTGGTTGGGTGGTTACCCTCTTAAGGTGCAATTCCCGAGAATGTTTGTTTTATCAGTCAATAAGGAGGGAACAATTGCTGAGTTTATATGTCAGAATCATTCGGGTTGATGTTGGAACATTCCTTTGAGAAGGAACTTTGCTGATTGGGAGGTGGAGCAATGGGTAAACCTAAATTCTTTGTTTCAGAATCTTCCTTGCAGTGAGAAGAATAATGATGGATGCATATGGTCGGGTAATAGGGAGGGTATTTATTCAGTAAGGTCTTGTGTTAGGCTAATGTATGAACGGTAGCCTATAAATTCTGTTTGGACGAAGTAAGTTTGGCTCGGGGTGGCACCCCCAAGAGTGGAAACCTTTGTATGGCAAGTAATTCATCAAAAGTTGGCTGTTAAATTGGAGCTTGCTAAACGAGGTGTTGAAGGCTTGGAAAATGTTTTGTGCCCTCTTTGTTGACTCGAACTTGAAACTGTTTCACATCTTATGATATCATGTAAGTTTGTGTGAGATATTTGGTGTACTTTTCTGCGTTATTGGAAAATTACAGCGGTGTTGCCATGTAATCCTGTTGATCTAGTAGTGGCTTGGATGGAGTTAGTTTGTTACTCTCACATTTGGAAGTTAATACCAAGCGCGATTATGTGGTCGGTGTGGAAGTGTAGGAATGAAATAGTTTTCAAGAAGGGTTAGTTTGATTCAATTCAACTGTCATTCCTCTTTAGATTTAGATTGGTTTCATGGTTTGTTGCAAAATTTCCTAGTGCTAATATGCAATTTGATGGCTTAGTGAGTGACCCCCATCTTTGTCAGATATTCATTGGAAAGCCAAGAAAGTGATTCTATTCACTTGCTTGGTCCCCTCCTCCCTCAGGTTTTTTGAAGATTAATGTTGATAGAGCAGTTGAGAAGGAGTGGCTTAGAGGTGGTATTGGTGGTCTTATTCATGATTCGAATGGTAAGTTGTTGGGTTCTTTCTCAGAAAAGGTGGGGCATGGCCCTCCTATTTTGGCTAAACTGCTTGCAATTAAAACAAGATTAAGTTTTTTTGAGGAGTGGGGATCTAAAGGAAGATTGATTTTTGGAATCAGACTGTTTGAAGGCTTTGGAGTGGATCAAAAATCCTGGTTTTTGCCCAGCTTTGTTTGAATCTTTGGTCAATGAAATTTGTGCAGTGGTGGTGAATAAAAATGTAATTGTAAGGCATATTCAGAGATGTTGCAATTGGAAGGCTGACAAGCTTGCAAAGTCAGGAATTGGGTAACTGCTTGTAGTTCAACCTACTGTTTTGCTGTGTATAGGATATATGGGTTGTTTTGTAAGGTGAGGCAAGTCTTGCTAAGTTAGGGATATGGTTCTTGATGAGATGTCTGCAAATTGTTGGTCATTTTTGAGGTTGTATTTTGGTTTTGATGGCTGTAATGAACTCTTGATGTACTTGGTATTTAAGGAATAAAATTTTGAGGTACTCTTTTCCTCCTTCCAATGCCCATTAAACTATATTCGTAGCTTGATGGGTATGAAGGGGGTTTTTATCGAGGCCTCCCATTTTTATAAAAAAAAAGGTTTTTTTGTCGCCCAAAAAAGAAGCATCCTTTTTTTTAATTGGAGGTCTCATTGATGTACTAACACTCTTATGTTTTCTTATTCACAATAAAGTCTGGGTCGCTGACCAAATTATCAGCTGTTAAAAGTTTTTTCACATTTATGAAAATGAAAATCTAGAGTGGTCTACAATAATTCAGTGGTCTTATTGATGCAACTATCCTGTGTCATATGCCCTCCCTTATGTTTTTTTTTCTCCTGAAAATTTTGATGTTACTGTTTCTTTTGTAATGCGCAAAACTTTTGTTTGTCTATAACTTATTTAACATTTTGAACCTAGGTATTGTTTTTTTTTTCTGAAAAGTGAACCTAGGTATTGTTGTAAATCCATTATTCTTCTTTTTTGCAGGGGGGAACTCAAAAAGTTTAATGATTGTTAACATCTGTCCAAATGCTGCGAATCTGTCTGAGACATTATCATCTCTTAATTTTGCTGCACGAGCTCGAAATTCTGTGCTAAGTCTTGGAAACAGGGATACTATTAAGAAATGGAGAGATGTTGTAAGTTCCTGTTATTGATTTCTGAATTCACAGTTAGATATTAACATCAAACTTCTGTTTGTATTTTTATTTAAGAAACTGGTTCCTTCTACAAAAATAATGAAGTCAGTAAATTTATTTAAAGGAAGAAGCTTTTTTTTTTCTACTAGCAGTGATTATGCATGTTTAAAGGTCTGGCAAAGGGAGTGCTGATTATTAATACAGAAGCAACTTTAGGGGAATGAGAGAAAAAAGACCAATAAACCTAGTAGAAGTGCAACACAATTGAAGCCTAGAATTGACTTGGTGTCAAATTGGTGTTTACTTTTTTCTCCTTTGCTCAGAAATAAAAAGAATTACTTGCTGTAGTCCATAAGAAAACCAACTGGTATATGCATTCTGCATCTATCAATTCTTTTAATACATTGAATTGTTGATCAAAGCTTATATATTGGAATGTGCATCTTATATCTTGCAATTATTCTTCTAGGCAAATGATGCACGTAAGGAGCTCTATGAGAAGGAAAAGGAAATTCAAGATCTCAAACAAGAGGTTTTGGTACTAAAACAAGCACTTAAAGAGGCAAATGATCAGTGTGTCCTATTATTCAATGAAGTTCAGAAGGCGTGGAAAGTGTCGTTTACTCTGCATTCAGACCTAAAGGTTTCTAATTTCTTTGTTTGGTTTTCTGCAATTTTTCTGCGAGTTAAATCTTACCCAACAAGATGATATGTTTTAACATATACCGGCAGGATCTTGTTTATTGCTAAGCATTATTTACGTCCCTAGTGTGTCTCTGTTTTTGTTTTGTGGTGACGCCAGCCACCCTTTCTCCTTTCATCTTGCGTTGGACTTTCAATGATCTGATGTTCCTTTCCATTTAAGTCATCATGTGACTGTCTTATGGTCCTTTCTTACTATTGCCACGGCAGAATGCTTTAACCATTTATGAGAATGACAGAAGGGTATAGATGTTAAGGAGTCTTGATTCTTCAATGTTTAGCCGCATACAGATCAGAAATGCTTGTGTTCAGGGGTATTTTTCAAGGTTCAAGGAATCAAACTAGTTGGTGCTCCGTCCATTTTTTTTCTTTCGAGGAGTATGGGCAATTGAAATATTGCCTTATAGGCTCTGCATTTAGATTTTGTTTTATGCACGGCAATTTCATGCTATCAAATTACTCGGCTTTGGCATGCATCTTGCTGAACTATTAATTAGTATTCCGTTATGCAGTCTGAGAATGTTATGCTTGCGGACAAGCATAAGATAGAGAAGGAACAGAATGCTCAGCTCAGAAATCAAGTAGCTCAATTGCTTCAGTCAGAACAAGAAGCAAAGTTGCAAATGCAACAATATGATTCAACAATCCAAACATTGCAGGTTGTTCGTAGATAAAGATTCATGACATAACATTTGTGCCTTTGTCTATGTATGTTTGACTGTTTGTAGGTATCCATGCATATGCTTCTAGTGGAAAAAAAAGAACAAAAAGAAAAATAACTTGGAAAAATGAACTTGATTTAAATTTATTGTTTAGAAACGCAGACATCTGTAGTTCTGTTTTCCAGATCAAGAGATTTCATGTCTATGCGGTTGATTGCCTTTGAAAGATGACCTTTCATGATATAGGCAAAATTTAAAAGTCTCGAATCACAACTCAGTGATGCTAAATCCTTCAGCTCAGAAAAGGGGTCTGTAGTTTCAACAATATCAAAAGCAGCAGCAGATGGTATGGATTCTTCAGATGTGGCTAAGAAGCTTGAGGAAGAGCTTAAGAAACGTGATGCTCTGATTGAGGTCTGCTAAACTTTGCAATTAAAATCTTCTATTTTTGTTTTTCTTTTTGTTTTTTATTAAATGACGAGGTACTATTGCTAGAGGATATCCGTTGCTTCTTAATTTACAATCATAATCTGTTGAATTTTAGGTGTGGATCTTATTCTTTTTGTTGCATGTTTAAGTTACGATGTCCGACGGTGGGGCTTGTTTTTAATTCTAGAAACAAGGAAAATCTTGTATACAATTATTGTATTCCTCTTACCCTCTTCATCATTCTACTATATAAGATCCTTCTATTAATTCTGATAATTTATCAGATTTTATTACTGATCGAAATTGCCCTAATTTAATGCACCTTGTATTATGTAATTCTGCTGCAATCTTGTAATATTTATTGGGTTGTAGACAAGGAATGCTGTGAAGGTCATTAATTTTTCAAAAATTGTCAATGTAGTGTGACCTCTTAGAATGTAAATGTGGAAAAATGGAGTGGTAGAAGACCACTCGATTTGAGATAACTTGTAGTTATGATGAAAAGAGTACTTATCCTTTATTATTATGCTAAAAATGGAGTAACTTTTAGCTTAATAATTTCTGTCAAACTCGTAGTTCAATAATCTTCCCTGGACAGATGAAAATGGTGAACATGGGTTTGGGTAAGATTGTTTTTAGCATCTGTTATTTCCTTTATACGTTTAAGAATTTTGACAGATAAAGTGTATGTAGAAGATTAAGGAGTTTCTAATTGCTTAAAAATTAGTAAAGGTAGAAAGGTCAACTAAGCTTCAATCCGAACAATCCAGTCAAAGTTTATGCCCCTTGGATCATTGATAGGGAAGTATCTCATTCTTTAAGAGCTGCCAGATGGTGTTTCTGGAAGTATATCTTTGAACTCTGGCTGCTAGCTTTTCAAAAGTGTATCTCGTCTTTGTTCTTTAAATGCTTTTTCTAGTCACTTATGATGAGACTTTCTCCCTATAGTTTAGTTTTGTTCTTACATGAATTTTATTGCAAGTACAGAGGTTGCATGAAGAAAATGAGAAATTATTTGATAGATTAACCGAAAAAGCATCTACGGTCGGATCAACACAGGTAATCTTTTGATTTTGATTTTATATTTATCATATTTGCATTATTGTAGTACTCTACTATCTGTCTCAGATTAACATCTATATTTACCCTTGTTGTAACTTGTGTGCTCTTGTTTTGTTATTAATTTTTGTTTAGGCTTAGATGCTATTTTAGGCGTTTATGTTTGTAAATTATTTGAAGATTCTGGCCTAAAGTACTGTTGATTCAGGTTCCAAGCCCTTTATCTGAACAAACAGCAAATGCTCAGCCTCGAGACCCTGGGAGGTGGTACTTCAGTTCATTTTTTCCGTAGCCTCAATTGTTCTTGATTCTAATCATCTTCATATCTTGTTGTTGAATTCCTTTGTAATCCTGTTTAAACAGGAACGATAACAAGGGACGGTCCATGGATGTCCCTTTGCAATTGGCCTTGGACAAGACTGATGATGCTGGTGCTTTGGTTAAAGCGGGTTCAGATAAAGTTAAAACCACACCTGCAGGAGAATACCTTACTGCTGCACTGAATGACTTTGACCCTGACCAATATGATAGCATTGCTGCCATCTCAGATGGAGCAAACAAGCTTTTGATGCTGGTAAGCTTAAGAACATTTTTAATTGTTTGGTCTAAACTCTAAAGGCCAAACTATGATTTGGCACCAAAAAATTACAAAATTATGTGTTCTCACCCTGAAAGGGTTAAAATGATCCTGCAATGTTTCATCCTTATGGATGGGGTCCACAGAAGCACAACTTGTGACTGTTTTTATTTTGCAATGTTTTGTTTATTCAACCTTCTTTGTTTTGGATTGAGGGTTTGTTGAAATAGTGATGTTATCTTCTCTGTATTTATATTTTTTGGCAGAAAAACATGCCTTTTTGCAATTCTATATCCATTTAATGTTTTCCTATCATTGGAAAATGCTGGATAGTCTTTTAATAGTTGATAAAATTTGTATATTTTTGAAAGACATGTATCCCTTTTATCTTGCAACACTTTTGCCTTGAAAAGCTAGATTATCCTATCTCAATCTTCCTATGGTTCTACGTTAGGACAAGTCAATTGAAATAGCCATTGGTTTATGCAGATTGATTGTATCACTTGTTAAAATATTGATACATATTCAGTAAAATGGGGGGGATGTGCAAAATTTGACTGTTACGCTTATCTACAATGTTACAGGTCCTAGCAGCTGTCATTAAAGCAGGTGCTTCTAGAGAGCATGAAATACTTGCTGAAATTAGAGATGCTGTTTTTGCTTTTATCCGGAAGATGGAGCCAAAGAGAGTAATGGATACCATGCTTGTTTCCCGTGTTAGAATTTTATATATAAGGTCTTTGCTTGCTAGATCACCTGAGCTTCAGTCTATCAAGGTAACTATATACTGGATGTTGGTTTTTCACTCTCGTCTATATGTACTAGTACCTTTATGTTGATGAATGTTGATTTCATCTTTCAATTATAGGTTTTCCCAGTTGAGTGCTTTCTAGAAAAGCCTAATTCAGGACGTAGTAGAAGTTCCAGCCGGAGTAACAGTCCTGGAAGATCTCCCGTTCTTTATGTTGATGAACAGATCCAGGGCTTTAAAGTAAATATAAAGCCAGAAAAGAAATCAAAGTTGTCCTCAGTTGTTTCAAGAATACGTGGACTTGATCAGGTTTGTGTTACCATCAAGTGTTTGGTTCTTTTTATTTACATCAGCTGGTAGAGAACTTAGCCCCTCCTTGCTGGAATTTTCATATTGTTAATTGTTCTCAGGAAAAAAAAAATTAGTTCACTATATTGTCAAATCCTATAGTATATAAGAGATATTCGTTGGTTTTTGTGTTTCTTCATGTGACACGGTAACTACCGAAGTTAAAAGTTTCTTAAACAAGTCTACAAATCAATTGAACAGGATTCTCCGAGACAGCAGCAGGTTACAGGTGGAAAGCTAAGAGAAATACAAGAGGAGGCCAAAAGTTTTGCAGTTGGAAACAAAGCTCTTGCTGCTCTTTTTGTCCATACTCCTGCTGGTGAACTGCAGCGGCAAATTAGGTCATGGCTTGCAGAAAGTTTTGAGTTTCTTTCCTTTACTGGGGATGAAGCATCTGGGGGAACCACTGGTCAGTTAGAGCTTCTTTCAACTGCTATTATGGATGGTTGGATGGCCGGACTTGGTGCTGCACTCCCTCCTAATACAGATGCTCTTGGTCAGCTTTTATCGGAGTATGCAAAGCGGTTTTTTACTTCTCAATTGCAGCACTTGAAGGTATGCAATTTTCCTCCATGGTAGCCTCTTTAGTGATCTCTTTGTAATTAGTATTTTTTTAACTATTTAATTTAGACACGAGTATTCCGAATCTTGGATAAATACTTGGTTTTGTTACTCAAGCAAATGATTACCTTCCTGGTAGGAAAGTTGGGTTGATGGTGTTATAACCATAATCTGAAATATCATAGTGATCAAGTCAAAGCTTCAATACATTATGTCAAAAGAACCATATATGCCCCATTTAATTTTAGGTTCCAAAGGGATTAACTTTAGGGTGTTGCTGGTTCTTTGCTTCTGTTGATTCTTGAAACCTTTTTACATGTGGCACATTCTTCGCTTTTGTTGCTTTGGGTGGAACAAATGGGTGCAATGTTTAGCATGTAAGAATCTTGATGTTGTTCCAAGCAGGGTAAGCTAGTGAGATCTATTTCCTTTTGTTGATAAAGTGTAAACAACATAGTGGAGAAGAAAAGGAACTCTTTTTTATTTATATTGTGAATGGTGAAAATACATCTTTTTATAGGAAAAGTTAGGAGTAAGTTTCCTATTAGAAGTAAACTACTTAGTAGTTATCCTTATCTAACTTTCTAAGAGTTAGTGTTATATTAAAATAATAACTAATTATCCTTATCTATCGCATAACCTACACTCCCCCTCAAGTTGGGGAGTAAATGTTGAAAAGACCCAACTTGGATATAATTTCATCAAAGGTAATTCTTGGAAGTGCATTGGTGAGAATATCTGCTAACTGATTCTTCGTTGAAACATAATTGAGCTTCACCGTTCCACCATTCACCTTTTCAGAGATGAAATGTCTGTCAATCTCCACATGCTTCGTTCGGTCATGATGAATTGGATTCTTTGCAATACTAATTGTAGATTTACTGTCACTTTGAAGTTCAAACCATTTGTTGGCACATAACCCCAGCTCAGTTAACATTCTTTGAAGCCAAATTCCTTCGCAAATTCCAAGTGTCATTGCTCTAAATTCTCTGCTTCTGCACTACTTCGAGACACCACCGCCTGTTTTTTACTTCTCCAAGTAACCAGATTTCCCCAAACAAATGAACAATAACCAGTTGTAGATCTTCTATCCGTTAATTCACCTGCCTAGCTTGAATCCGAAAAAATTCTTACTGTTCTATCATCACTCTTTCTAAAAATTAAACCATGTCCTGGTGTCATTTTCAAGTATCTTAGAATTCTATACACAGCCTCTAAATGTTCTTCTCTTGGATCATTCATATATTGACTCACTATACTGACAAGGAACGCAATATCAAGTCTAGTAAGTGATAAATAAATTAGTTTACCTACTAGCCTTTGATATTGTTCTTTGTTCACAAGACTTCCCAATTCTTCTCTCCTTAGCTTAAGATTTGCTTCCATGGGTGTTTCTTCCGGCTTACATCCCTTCATTCCAGTCTCTGATAGTAGATCAAGGATATATTTCCTTTGGTTGATCATTATTCCTTCTTTTGACCTTGCAACCTCCATGCCTAAAACATACCGTAAAGTTCCTAAGTCTTTGGTTTCGAACTCCTTCGCTAATAGCTTTTTCAATCTTTCTATCTCCATACAATCATCACCTGTTAGAATGATATCATCCACATAGATGATCAAAATTGCCTTTTTGTTGTTTGAAGCTGTTTTGACAAATAAAGTGTGATTCGATTGGCATTGCTTGTAACCATCCTGAATAATCACCTTTGTAAATCTGTCAAACCAGGCTCTTGGAGATTGCTTAAGTCCATACAAGGACTTTAGTAATCTACATGCTTTTCCTGTATTACTCTTCACACCCGGTGGAATTCGCATATATACTTCCTCCTCTAAGTTTTTGTTTAGAAATACGTTTTTGATTTCTAACTGATGAAGCACCCAATTCTCATTAACTGCTTATGACAGTAACACTCTCACAATGTTTAGTTTTGCTATCGGAGCAAACGTTTCATGCTAATCAACTTCAAAAGATTGAGTGAATCCTTTCGCTACTAATCTCGCCTTATATCTTTCAATGCTACCATCAACTTCGTATTTTACCGTGAATACCCATTTGCAGCCGACTGGTTTTTTATCTTTTCGAAGGGACCTCCGATGAAGAAGTGGCGGAATTCATGATCGACGGCTAGATTTGGGTAAAACAATTGACTAGATTTAGGTGAAGGATCGGTCACCTAGCTGATACCATGTTGATAAAGTGTAAACAACATAATGGAGAAGAAAAGGAACTCTTTTTTATTTATATTGTGAATGGTGAAAATACATCTTTTTATAGGAAAAGTTAGGAGTAAGTTTCCTATTAGAATTAAATTACTTCGTAGTTATCCTTATCTAACTTTCTAAGAGTTAGTGTTATATTAAAATACTAACTAATTATCCTTATCTATCGCATAACCTTCACCTTTTACTTTCAGGCTTAAGTTAGTTTTAAGTCAAAGGATAAGGGTGTAATCATTCATCTTTTACAGTTCATTTGGGAAAAGAGATTGTTTTATACAAATTGTTTATCTACTATTATCTGATTCTTAAATCTAACAAAATGAACTCTTAACAACAAGTCAATAAGCGGGACCTCACAAGTGCTTAAATATCTAAGACTTACCATTTAGTTTTTCACTCAACAATGTTAAGCAGCCAAGTGGGAGCATTCATCTTTAATGACAAACAAAGTAAGTTTCACATTAATAGAAGGCTGGAATGGAGGCAGGGCACGACAATCATTTTTTAGGCAATATAGAAAACTTTCATATTAATAGATAATTCTAATAAAACTTTAGGAACATTTACAAATTACAATAGAAAAAGCTTGTCGTGCTTTATTATAGTTGGCTTACATGCCTTGTATGTGTTTCTTGTACATGTTTATGGAATGTAGCTGCAATTTTATTATTCCCTCCTCCGCAATATATATATATATAATGAGTGAAAATCAACTTCATGATTTGGTAGACATTCCTAACATCTTTTCTGTCCCTGTCAGGATATTGCTGGCACCCTGGCAACAGAAGAGGCTGATGACGCTGCCCAAGTGGCAAAGTTGCGTTCAGCTCTTGAATCCGTTGATCACAAACGAAGAAAAGTAAACCATCATACTTTTTTCTTTGCTCCATAAATATCTTTTAATTAGCTTGCCTTCATGGATTAGTTGTTTAGTTCGAAAATAATATTTTTAACATATTCATAGTATGTACCAGTTCAGTCATACTTTCTGAGGAAGCTTTAGTTTAATACTTCTTGATCTATAGTCAACATCATCTTTATTACAAATAAATATCGAGTTGTGACTGCTTAGCTTATTTGTGGTGACTTCTTGACCACAGCCCTGATTATATGATCTTTTAGGTAGACCTAACATGATCGCCTCTGTAAGAATGATCTGCTGAATAAATAAACCTGTTTTTTGTGGACTAAAATTAGATTGCCTGATCGTTTGGGAAAATGGATGATCAATAATAATTAATTCTTTTTTTCTGTTTCTTCAATTATCCTTTTGTAATATCTTGCGTTGGATTCCACCCCTTGTTGATTTTCTTAAGATGAATGTTGATGGAGCTGCTAGGCTTGATGGCTCGGGTGGAGGTATTGGAGGTATTTTGAGAGATTGGGAGTGTCGCACACTTTTGACTTTTTCAGAGAAGGTTGGCCTAGGTACTCCTCCTCTAGCTGAATTAAAGGCTATTAAAAGAGGCATTGAAATTTTTCTGGCATCACTTTGGGTATCTGTTGGAGATTGATTATTGAGAGTGATTGCAAGTCGGTAGTGGAATGGATTCAATCACCGGCTTTGGCTCCTGCTTTCTACTCGCCTTTAGTTAATCAGATTTTCTCTCTTTCAAATGGTATGGTTCATTCAGTGAGGTGGATTCCAAGGGCAAGCAATGGGGAGGCTGATATCTTAGCTAAGAAAGGGATAGGTTGACTGTAAGGCTCTATCACTGGATTTTCTGATCCAGCGAGGAGGTCTAGTTGTAAGTAGTTGTTAAGTTTTATGTGATGTAATTTGGTATAGTGTTTAAAACTTATGTAAACTTTTATTATCAATAAAATTTTTAAGGCGCTCTTTTCCTCCTTCCGCTGATTAAGGAGCTTACCCATAAGCTCCTTTAACCAAGAAGGGGGTTTTTAACGAGGCCTTCCATTCCTATAAAAAAAAAATTATCCTTTTGTGAGAATTTTTGAAAAAGAAGGAATTTTCACTTCATTATTTGAACTGAAGAAAATACAACCTTCTAATAGGATTTGTGTTACATAAACTAGAATTCTTTATCAACTAGGTTTCTTGTCTCCTAAGACTCTTATCCGCTAAGAAAGTAATCTGATCAGATAATACTGATCCTAATTATTAAAAACAATAAAACTAAGAATTCTGGCAGAGGCAGAGTGATGTCTGGAGGTGGATCGTGGGTGGCATTCGTAGATAATCTTAGTAGGAGAGTGCAAAGAAGTGTATTATGGGATCGTTTTAGTCTTCATGGCAAGGTGATTAAAGTGTTCATTCCATTTGTTAATAGGAGACTGAAGGATAAGACGTTTTCCTTTGTGCACTTTGCAAGCAAGGAGGATTTGTTTAACGCCAAGGAGAAGATGAACAACGTCTTCGTTGATGCGAGGAGAATATTGGTGTCGACTGCGAAATATCAGAGTAGTTTTCCGGGGAACTTGAAGAGCAATGGTGTTGCAGAGATTGGAGGTGTAGGCGTGGGGATATGGAAAGGGAAAAGTGTAGTATGTCTAGAGGCTGAGGCAGGAAAGAAGGAGATGCTGATCAGGTTCCATGATGGTAGAACATGCAAGGATACGGTAGTGGGTGTGAAAAAAGTTGAGGGCAATACAGTTGAAAGTTTTGGAGATAAGAGGGAGGAGAAGAAGCCTTTGGAAGTCTTCATTCCAATGGAGGAAAGGTCATGGTTGAGATCGTCTTTAACTAGTATCTGCAAAGAGATTTTTGAGGTCGAATTTGTGCAGAGGGCTTTAAGAAATGAAGGAATTAATGTCAAGGTGGTTAGGTGGGGATATGCGAAAAATGCATGTTTGATAGTATTCCAGATGGTGGAGGAGAAGGATGCAGCGATGGAAGTTAAGTGGGAGGCCTTATCCTTCTAGTTTGAAAGGTTGGAGCCTGTGATGGAGGAGAAGTGTGTTTCATTACCTTATTGTGCAATATCCATGATTGGTGTTCCATTAAATTGTTGGTCAGTTTCATTCTTTACCAGTTTGGCGTCGAGATGGGGCAAATTAGTGAAGATTCAGGAGCAAACGGCTCAAAGAGTAGAGTGCAGGGTGGCTAAGATGTTTGGGGTTGAGAGTCCGTTTGACATTCCTCCCCATGTAACCATTAATACTTGTGGAAGGTCTTTTATTATTAAGATTAAGGTGGAGAGTAGCGATGACTTCTTTCCTGAGCTTGATGATGGGGATGAGGAAGACGGTTCTGGAGGAGGAACAGTGGATCCTTGGGAGGAGTCCTCGTCGGAAGGAAGCAAAAGGGATGATCGAGGAGGTCTGCAAGGGCAGTTGAATATCCAGTCGATGTCAGAATCTCTGAATAGGGTTGAGGAGTGGGTTCGAGGTACTTCACAGGGGAGTGGTTCACTTAACGAGGGAAATTTGAAAAATAAGGATGAAGTCAATAAGAGTTTTAATGTTGACATTGGGAGTGAGGGGACAGAACTAGGGGAAGGTTACAGTAATCAGAAAATGTCTGGTTTTTTCTGAAGGGAGAAAAAGAGTGTCCAACTTAGAAGGAGGCACCTTGGGGCAAGATAAAGTTGTTCAAGATGATGGGCTGATTTCCAGCAAGGGTGGGTTACAGGTGTTTGGGCCTGAGCAAGAAAGTCCAATATCAAATACAAATGGGACTAAGACGGCAGTTTCTAAAATTGTCACACAAGAAGAATTTGGTATACAAACTGGGCATGTTTCTTCGTCTCAGCGACGTCCTTCAGGGATAAGTGCGTCGGTTAGTAAAGCTGATAGAGGTTTTTATAACAAGGTTTATGCTAGGAGCTGGGATGTTAAAAGTTGTGGTGGTAAGGATGCTGATTATGATTCTGAAAATGAGAAACAGGGGGTGGAAGAAGCATTGGAATGTTGGAATGTCTCGAAATTGTTGGGGGTCAAATTTAAAGGAGAAAAAGATTTTGTGTCCAAAGTTGCTTCTATGGTGAAGGATAGAGATGATTAAGAGGAGGTGGTAGGATCATGGGATTATGGTAATAAGTTAAGTATGATGGTAGAGTGGTCTATTATGTGTTGGAATGTTAGGGGTTTGGGTAGGAAGGTCAAAGCCTGAGCTATTAGGAGATTTGTTGAGGAGAAAAAACCTACATTTTTATTTCTTCAAGAATCTAAACTGAAAAGGGTCAGTTCTTTGTTAGTAAGGGTTGTGCCAGCTGTAGGTTCTGCTGGTGGCTTAATAACTTTGTGGAATCAGAAGGTAATTGTAGTTAAGGAAGAGGTTATCCATAGTAGATTTGTGGCAATAAAGGGATGGATGGTGGACCATATATTTGTTGTTTTATAAATGTTCATGGTCCAAGTGTGGAGGCTGGTAAGGAGATGTTTTTTAGGGAACTAACTTCCTTTCTGGATTAGGTGGAATGTCCAGTGTGCTTAGGTGGAGACTTCAATGCCATTTTGACTCAGGAAGAGAAACGGGGAGGTGCTGTGAATTCGGTTTCAATGAGTCTTTTTCGAGATTTTGTTTCTAGAGCGAATTTGATTGATTTGCCTTTAGTCGGAGGACAGTTTACGTGGTGTAATAATAGGGAAATTGCCTCTTTTGAGAGGTTGGATCGGTTTTTGGTTGATCAGAATTATTTCTCTTATTTTCCCAAGATGAGTCAAATTTTGCAACCAAGGTCCGTTTCTGATCACAGTATTATCGTGCTGGAGAATAAGGAATGTAATTGGGGTCCAAAGCCGTTTCGTTTGTTTAATTATATGTTGGAGGAGGAAGGTTTTAGTGAGATGGTGAAGAAGGAGCTGCTCAAATTCGGTACAAAGGAGAAGGCATTGTCCATTTCCAAAATTCTTAACCGGGTGAAGGACAAGGCAAAGAAATGGTCTAGAAAGGGTTATCTTCTGCTACCAGGACAAATCAGAATGTTGGAGAAAGTTATTCAGGAAATGGAAATGGATTTGCAACAAGGAATTTCCAGGGGGTCAATGAATGCTATTGTGGAAGCAAAGAGAGAATTATGGGAGCTACAAAAGAAGGAAGAATCGATTTGGCTGCAAAAGTCTAGGTTGAAATGGAGTTTGGAGGGTGATAAGAATGCTAGATATTTTCATCACAGTGCAACAGTTAGAGGGAGGATAAATTGCATTAAACTCCTCAAAGTTGATAATGAAGTCATAGAAGATCCAACTTTAATTAAAGCCGAAGTGGTGGAGTTCTTCAAGGGCCTGTTTAGTCAAAAAAATACACGGGGGGCAGAGGAATTAAATCTGGAATTTCTTAAACTTTCAGAAGGTCAGTGTTCAGCATTGGAGAAGCCATTTACTGAAGAGGAAGTTTGGGAAGTGATTGTTCATGCGGATAGTAATAAAGCTTCGGGTTCGGATGGTCTGAATTTAGGGTTTTTTAAGAAGTTCTGGAATTTCTTAAAGGAAGATGTGATGCTGTTTTTTAAGGATTTTTTTGTGGGGAAGGAGTGGGAGTCAGAGGTGAATTATTCCTTCATTTCCCTTATTCCTAAGAGAGCAAATCCGGAGGGGTTGGAAGATTTTAGGCCAATTAGCCGAGTGGGGGATTATATAAAGTTCTTTCTAAGGTCTTAGCGAGAAGATTGAGTTTGTGTATTAATGATATTATTAGTCCGTCTCAATTCGCTTTCATTCCAGGTAGGAACATATTGGACTGTTCGTTTATTGCAAATGAAAGTATTGACTATTGGAGAAAGAAAGGGTTGAAGGGAGTTGTCTTCAAGGTAGATTTTAAGAGAGCATACGATTCGGTTGATTGGTCAATTTTGTTGCAAGTAATGAGCAAAATGGGGTTTGGTGACAAGTGGAGGTATTGGATGTTTCAATGTATGTCAACAGCTACGATTTCGATTTTGGTTAATGGGTCACATACGGAGAAATTTAAAACAGCTAGGGGACTAAGACAGGGATGTTCGCTTTCGCCTTTGCTGTTCAATTTGGCTGCGGAGTTGCTACATTTGTTGTTGACTAAAGCAATAGAAATGGGACTGTTTTCGGGTTTTGATTTAGGAGTTCATGACAGGGCATTCAAGTTATCACATCTACAATTCGCGGATGATCTTATAATCTTCAGTAAGGGTTCTATCCGTGATTTGAGGAATGTTAGGAGAGTGCTACTAATTTATGAGTTTTTGGTGGGGTTGAAGTTAAATTTAGTTAAAAGTAGGATTTATGGTATTAATGTTGAGGATGGAGAGTTGGCTACTTGGGCAAATGATATTGGCTGCTTGGTGGGTTATCTTCCATCAGAATATTTAGGCTTACCTTGGGGGTACAGGAGGAACTCGGCTGCTATGTGGGAGCCAATAGTGGCGAGATTTCATGCGAATTTGAGTGGGTGGATGGCTAATTCCTTGTCGTTAGCAGGAAGGGTGGTGTTAGTTAAATCGGTACTCTGCTCTCTCCCAGTCTATTTTCTGTCCATTTTCAGAATTCCAGCTTCTGTGTTACTAAAACTTAATTCTATCATGACTTCATTTCTGTGGGAGGGGGGGTTCGGCGAATAAGAAAAAAATTCATTGGGTCAACTGGAAGTTGGTTACTAAATCAAAAAAATCGGGGGGGTCTAGGGATCCCAAACTTATCACTGTTGAACAGAGCTTTGCTAGGGAAATAGGTATGAAAGTTTACATCAGAAAAGAGGTCTTGGTGGAAGAGTGTGGTGTGTGGTGTTTATAATTTGGATCCAAATTCCATTATGATGGGGAATTCTTGGACAGGCCGTGCATCGTGGATTTGGAAATTTGTGGTTAAAAACTTTTTTAACAATGATGGTTTTGGGGATTGTGTTGGAAGGAATATGCGTTTGAAGACAGGGAATGGGGTAGCTGTGGAGTTTTGGAATGACGTTTGGTTGGGGGAAGTTCCTTTGAAAGTTCTGTTCCCTAGACTTTATGTTCTTTCTAATAATAAAGAGGGCAAAGTGATGGAGTTTGGGGAGAATAATGACTCGGGGTGAGTGTGGGACATCCAATTGAGAAGAAATTTGGCTGATTGGGAATTTGAGCAATGGTTACAGTTGATTGCTATGTTGAATAATATCTCCCTATTTACTGATGTAGATGATTGTTGGATTTGGTTAGGGAATGGAGAGGGCTGCTATACAGTGAAATCTTGTATCAACACCTTCATTGATCAAGATGAGTTTGGTCAGAATCAGCAAAATTGGGTAGGGATTGCACCTCCACGGGTGGAAATGTTTGTTTGGCAAGTAGCGCATCAGAGATTGCCGGTTAAAGAGGAATTAGTGAAGAGATGAGTGACAAAGATTATTGATCATCTATGTGTATTGTGTGGTAGTGAAGTGGAATCAGTTTCACACTTATTTCTGCATTGTAAGATAGTGTGGGGCCTGTGGTCAACATTTTTGAAAATGTGGAATGTGTCTTTGGTGATTCCAAAGCATATCACTGATTTTTTCATTTTGTGGGATGATTTAATGCCTAAATCTTCGATCTGGAAGTTCATTCCAAGGGCAATGATGTGGTCAGTGTGGAAATGTAGAAATGAGATTATCTTTCAGAATGGAAAGCTGGATTTGGTCAGACTGTTTTTCATCATTCGATTTAGAGTAGCTTCCTGGTTTGTTGCAAGGTTCAACGATGTGGTTATTCCTTTAGATTCACTAGTAGGTGATTTAAAACTTGCCGATTCGAGGGGAAAGCAACGATAGGACTGCTCTCAATCTTCTTGCTGGGTTCCTCCCCCGGTTGGGTTCTTAAAGCTAAATGTTGATGGAGTGATGGTATCGGGCTGGGATAAAGGAGGTATTGGTGGTCTAGTTCGGGATAGTAAAGGTGTATTGCTTCAGTGGTTCTCTGAACCAGTAGGGGGAGGTCCTCCTATCATGGCAGAGTTGTTGGCGATTAAGAGGGGGCTTTGTCTTATGGAAGAGCAAGGTTATGTTCTTAATAAGAGGTTTATTCTGGAAACTGACTCAATTAATGCTCTGAAGTGGATCAAGAATCCGGGTTTATGCCCCCCTTTGTTTCTATCCTTGGTGAACGATATAGTTGCGCTGTTAGCAAGAAATGATATTATTATAAAGCATATTTTGAGGGCGGCAAACTGGGAAGCTGATAAACTAGCTAAATATGGGATAGGGTGATTCTCGATTGTTGTGTTGTTTTGTAGGAAATGTTAGATTCTGTGTTGTAAGGTTTTGGAGTAAAGTCTTATGTTCTTCATTTGGAGGTTTTGGAGTATGTTAGGCTCTACCTATGTATTATTGTTTTTATGAATAAAATTTTCTAGGCACTCTTTTCCTTCTTCCTTAATCCTTCATGTTACTCCCATAACATGGAGGGTTAGAAGGGGTTGTTTAATGAGGCCACTATTCTATAAAAAAAAAACAATAAAACTAAAAGTAAAAGACTTCTAATTATTTTTCGGCTTCTGAGTACACCTTTTCTACATTGCCTTAGTGTCGATGATTTTTTCCCTTTTTAAGAAAAGCTGAGAAATTGCTTTCATGTTCAATAACAAGTCTGGATAGATGATTCAAAATTTCCAGTTGCCATTGTTTAGCATACTATTGTGTGCTAGTTTTTATCCCTTTGATATCTCCTTCGTGCTCAAAATATTATTGGTCTTAGCCAAATTTTGCATGAGAATATTATTAACTGCAAATTACTAATATTTTGTTTTCATCACACGTTATATGCTGACAGATTAGAATGATATTTGCTTGTCCTTAGATTTTGCAACAAATGAGAAATGATGCTGCATTGCTAACATTGGAGAATGGCAGTTCACCCATTCAGAATCCTTCTACTGCAGCTGAAGATGCCCGTTTAGCATCTCTGATTTCTCTTGATGGCATATTGAAGCAAGTCAAGGTTTTACCTCTTCTCAAAATTATTGTTTACTAGTTGATTTTTTGTAGAAGTAAAAAAAAAAAACATTATGATTGTATGTTGAGCAGGATATAACGAGGCAATCCTCTGTAAGTAGCATGGGTAGAAGTAAGAAGAAAGCAATGCTAGCATCTCTAGATGAGCTGGATGAACGAATGCCCTCTCTCCTTGACATTGATCATCCATGTGCTCAGAGGCAAATTTCCAATGCTCGGCGCCTGGTTGAGGTATGAAATGTTCCTTAGTATTTTCAGAGCTGCAAAGTTATTCAACATAGGCCTCCTACTTAGTGATCAAAGGAACTAGCCGGAATTGGTTGGTAATTATGTTTGAACAGCTTTCCTATATGTCATTCTGGAGTTGAGGCCTATGGCATATTACCCTGAAATGTCTAAAACCTATGCTATTGTTTTCCGGAAAGCTTGAAGTGTCCATGTCAGCATATCTTCTGAATGAGACGTGATGTGCGTATTTGGCTGCATGTTGAGAACTCTTCGATACTGAACTTTCTGTTTCTGGTGATAGGGTTAGTAACAAAATTGCCAAAACAACGTGCACCAAGTAAACTAGCGAGTGCTGTGGAAGAAAAACTGATTTCTTACATGATTTTATCTGTCCTGACAATCGACTGACAAAGTGCTGCACTACATCTGATGGTTTATTGTGCTTAGCATTTGTGGTGCTTCAATTGTTTTTCTAACCTGCTATTTGATGATCTTGCATGTACTTCTGAAGTCGATCCGTGAAGAGGATGATAAGGCGCTAGATATAGATCCTGCTCAAAAGCCACCTACGGAATTGGGATCCGGTACAGAAACTGATGTTGCACAATGGAATGTATTACAATTCAACACAGGCTCTATAACCCCATTCATCATTAAGTGTGGAGCAAACTCGAAATCTGAATTGGTAATCAAGGCAGATGCAAAGGTTCAGGAACCCAAAGGTGGTGAAATTGTGAGGGTTGTTCCAAGGCCCTCGGTTTTAGAAAATATGAGCTTGGATGAAATGAAGCTCGCATTCTCCGAACTTCCGGAGGCTCTGGGATTACTTGCCCTAGCTAGGACTGCAGATGGTACCCGAGCTCGATATTCCAGATTGTATAGGACTTTGGCGATGAAGGTTCCATCGCTAAGGGATCTAGTCGGAGAGCTCGAAAAAGGAGGGGTATTGAAAGATGTGAAGTCGTGAATGCAGAGGGTATCTTTATTTTGTTTTGGGATGTTGAGTGTTTATGATATTTAGGAGGGATTGTGTCTGCAGGGACATATGGTGGTGTTGTAAACCTGTGATTTAACGTGCTTGTAGGGCTTGTATTATATCACACGTCTCATCCGCTGCTGATTTTTCAGTAGTTAAAAATCCCAAAATGGGGGTTTCATCCGCCGCTGTTGCGGTTGACAGTAGTTGCAATTTTATGCTGGCTTAATATTTTTTAGGGTAAATGTTTATTTTTTTATTTCATTTTAGTACTCATCGTTAAAAACTTAACTTGCTTATTACTTAAACTATCAATTTTTAACTTAACGTATTTAACACTTAAACTATTAATTTTGGTTTGTTTTAGTGCTTAAACTTTCAAAAAAAAAATTCAAAACTTAATATTAAATTTTTAACGGGGCACTAAAATAAAACAAAAATTAAATTTTAGGTATGGTTTTGAAAAAATTGAAAAGTTTAGGTATCAATTTTAGTTCTTAAACTTATAATTTTTTTTAAAATTTAACGTTAAATTTTTAATTGGGTATTAGAAAGAAATAAAAATTAAATTTTAGGTATGATTTTAAAGAAATTGAAAGTTTAGGTATTAAAATGGATCAAAAATGATAGTTTATGTATTAAACGTGTATTTTATCCTATTTTTTAGTACGCAATGAATGTACCTATTGAAGGACAATCCAGAATACATCAGCAAATTTAACCAATGAACTTAAAAAAAAAAGGCACATTTAATACAAGAAACAAGATATATATATCTATATAGGAAGTTGAGCTCTTTGATGTGGCATTGACTTGGCGTGGCCCTTCACATAAAAGTACATTTTAATCGACGTATTATGTTTATGGGATCATGCTCAAATCGAAGTTCATTTCTACCAGTTTTGAAATTCCTGGTGTAATAATTAGTGACGCAGGTACCATTTTGCAATACATAATTTTCGGCACTCAAAACCAAGCATGGAAGTTCTAAGCAATGGATTACGAGCCCTTTCCAAAAGGATTGGTCGACAAAACTTGACGATTCGTTGGTATTTCCTCCTCACGAGGTTCGAATTAAGCTTTTCATGACAATTACCAAGGCATGTCTTGATTGGGACTTAAAACTGTTTAATTTCCATGTCATTTGGTCATAATTCTTAAAAAAAAAAAGTCAACTATCTGATTGATAACGGTGCCTGAAGACAACGGTGGTGAGTAGTATCCAGAGACGGGAGATTTTGATTTAATTCATAAGTTAAACTGATATTTTATCTAAAATTTAATGGTCAAATTAGTATTATATCTAAAGTTCATTGTTTAAATTAAAAATCAACTTCGTTTAGTAACATCTTCAAACTAACGAATAACGAGAGTTAAAAAAAAACTCAACGATCAAAATGTAGAGTAATTGATAACGTAATTGACCAAATTTATTATATCGATAATATAAGTTACCGAAACGTATTTTTTTTTAAATTTGATGAGCAAAAATATGCGAATATGAAAGAAAAGTAAAAAAAAGTTTTTTTTTGGGATACTCGGAGTAAAGCATTGCATACAAAAAATGGCATACAATGAAAAATTACCTAAAGAACAATCAAGGTGAACGGAGCTTCCTTTACTCAATTCCATGGTTACATTTCTATGACAAAGAAACTATGTATGGTATGCTAATCAAGGCACAGCCAATAACAACAATTTTCATCTAGGGTGGAAAGAATTACCAATTTTCACAATGTATTTTTCATGAGCACGTGATTCGGATCTCTGCTCCTACGAGCGAAAAGAAGATTTGCAGCACATAACGAAACTTGAATCTGTTGCACCGAAGCTGGGAAATTTGTAGATGGAATCTATCTCCATGGTGGAATTTGAAGTTGGTTTCAACTTTCAATGCTTATAAAACACAAGTTCTCTGCTACAATTGGCTTTGATGGTCTCTTCTAATTTCTCGACCCGATCAAAATCAACTTTGAATGAAACCATGGTAATCCCATCTTTGCCTGTATCATAATCCTGTTTGATGTCCTCAACTTCAAAAGATTGCAACTGCAGCAAAGAAGAAGATTACCACGTGACACATTTTGAAAGTCCCTATCCTTGGGCAATGAGAGCAACAAAATGTTCGAAAAATTATATGATGCAACTTACATATACCGAATTTAACAGTCTTAACCTGAACATACCTAAAACCAAAGATATATGTAAAACCAGAGTAAATGAAAAGAAGGCATATAATTTGAGAAAATAACATGATTTGATCTGATCCAGAAACCCCAAAAGTTTAGCTTCATCCCATCCCTTATTAAAAGATACCTTCTTTTGAACCCGGAATTCAGATCCGTTGGTTCATGTAACAATCCTTGACTTACCAATTTCACGCTATTGTAACCCCCTTCCTATCCCTAGGCTATAGCCTCCTTTATTTCAAATAAATATTATAACAAACCCCCTTCTTTCCTTTAAGATTGACATGCTGGTCCAAGCAAATGACTAATTTGAGGTCACAATAAGACACGATGAACACGGAAAATTTCACATGTTACTAAAGGAAACCATTGTTAGTAAAAAAAGCAAATGTCATTTCAAGGATGCTATACAATCATATGCATTCCAATGGCGATAATTAGACAAGAAATTAAATTCTATTATAGTAACATTCCAGTTAACAGACACTCACATCCATATGGTACAATCGCCCACATTCCAACGACGATATTTGGATTAGAAACTAGACTCATCAATCATACAAATTATAATGGTGATGAGAAACTAGATTATATAATCACTTGCATTCCGACGGTGATAATCTGATGAGAAACTAAATTATAGAATCACACACAATCCAATGGTGATAATCGGATGTGAGCTAAATTATATAATTGAACACATTCCAATGGCAATAAGCCGAAAACGGGATGAGAACCTATATAAAGAGAAATTCATAATAATAAAAGAAGCATAATTGTTTCCTACTTTCTATTTGTAAACATTATATGCATACAACTAACAGACACTAAAAATCAGAGACTACCTAGTACCTGTAAAACATCAGTTTACTTAGAAGAAGGTGTAATTTGAAAATGGAAAAGAGAAGGGCTCACTTGATGGTATAGAACTCCCAAAAGATCGAAAGGAACCTCCACTCCCATTGGAACCTTCAAAAATTCCAATCAAATTCAAGCGTCAGTATTTCAGAACATTAAAATCATAAGCTTTACCAAATTTTCATATGTAGAAGCACACAATGATTTCCATTCTTACTTTGGATTTTACAAGACAAGTGGCAGCATTTTGCAAGCACTCCGCCGCCACTCCGCCATAAGCCCTAACAAGTCCTCCCGTTCCCAATTTAATTCCTCCAAAATACCTGAAATTTATTTCAACATATTCTTTTTAATTTCCCTCTAATTTTGATAATAAAGCAATAAAAAATCAAAATCAACTAAGATTTACCTAATAACGACCACCATGATTCTGTCTAAACCTGAAGAAACGATCGCAGAATGAATCGGCTTCCCCGCCGTTCCAGAAGGTTCACCGTCATCATTCGACCGGTATTGATCCCCAACCTATAAAACTTTCGATAAGTCAATTTACGAGCAATGATGAATCGGATAATACCAAAACGGGGCGTCATGTCAGATACCTTGTAAGCCCAGCAATTGTGAGTAGCACGCGGATCCTTGACCTGATTGAGGAAAGAGTGAGCAGATTGTTCGCTAGAGATGGGGCCGGCGATGGCAATGAACTTGCTCTTTTTAATTTCTTTTTCGAATGTTACTGTCTCTTTAATGGTGGTAAACGCGCCTCCATTGCTGGTGGCTCTGGAGCTGCTGGCGGTGGTGACCATTGGTTTTCTGGCGGAGGAGAGGGCGGAAAGGCGGTGGTTGAGCTTGTGGCAGTAGCGGTAGCCAGGTATTGTTATCGCAACTGGCATTTGCTTGTTTTTTTATGCCTTTGTTTTTCTTTCGATAAATCAGTGACTCGCCTTTACTTTCTCCGGTCGCCGGTTCAAATGGAACTCCATTGCCCTAAACGACGACGTTATGACACCATTTTAGTGTTATTTTGTTTCTTTATTTCTAGTGATGATTAATAAATAGGAAAACTACAAGTTTGGTCACCTTTGTTTTAATATTGTCTAGTTTTGACAACTAGATTTTTAAAAGTTTCATTTCAATCATTTATGTTATCAATTTATTACATTTTGATCATTGATCCATTAACTCATGTTACTTCGATGATGTGATATATTAAAAATATTATTTTCTAATCCACTCTTAAGTATTAGATAAAAATCGATTTAGATTTAAATTTTAAATGAAGTATAAATTTCATCCTAAAATCTGACTAAAGTCATGCGTTGTCGTCCACAGCTTATCACCGTCGATTATCTACATCGGTGGCAATTGAACCCCAAATTTCTAATTCATCATTTTTTTTATCTTCTAAATGCAAATATGATATTTGTTTTACTAGAAATATTTCAACATAAACATATTAAATACTAGGCTTAATATCAAAATAAGTGCCCAAACTAAATCTATTTCTCAAATAGATGATTAAACTAATTTTCGTCTCATCCAGGCGCCTAACGTTACAAACATTACTTATTTAGGTGTCTGGGCGGTATTGGTGTTAATCATCCCATTAAATGACATGTGTCACAACTTGGTAATTTAAAAAAATTATTTAAAATTAAAAAAGTATTAAAAAACGGAAAGCAAAATTTTTGAAATAAACCCAAAACTTTGAAAACCTTAATTTCAACCCAAAACCCATGTCGTCTGCCGCTTTTTCCGTCGACGAGCCTCCACCTAACCTCCCTTCCCCCCGCCGACCAAAAGCCCCATGAGATCGTGACCGATCAATTACCTATCAACGACGAATCAACGTTTTAAGCCACTCAAACCCTAGGATTAAAATCGAGATCCCACGCGATTTCGGCATCCAATCGAAGGAAAATACGATGACATATGAGTAGGAGGATGTAGGGACTACGTCGATGGTGGTGGTTGTGGCTGGAAAGGCGGCAGTGACGGATGAAGGTTTGGATTTGGGATTTTGGGGTTATTTTATAATATAAGGAAAGTTATTTTTTTTATAAATATCAGAATATTTTTAAAAAAATAAATTTCAAAATACCAGATTGTGACACGTGTTACTTAACAGGGAAAATTAACGTCGTTGACAGCCCGGACAGCTAAATGGGTAACATTTGTAACATTAGGCACCTGGATGAGACGAAAATTAGTTTAGGCACCTATTTGGGAAAAGCGGTATAGTTTGGGAACTTATTTTAGTATTAAGCCTAAATTCTAGTACATCATTCCTCGTATTATTTCTATTAATAAATTTATTTCTTAATATAATCAAATAATTGATACCAATTAACTATAAAAAGGCAATCTATATGTTAGTTAGCTTGTTAAATATATTGATTTAGATGTTAGTCCTTCAACTACGTAAAGGGGATTAAGTTTTTATATTATTAACAATATGATTAGATTGTTATCAATAAATGAAAATACATTTCTCAAATCTCTATAAACTATAGATCTATTAGTTTTTACTTTTTTTATAAAAGTTTAATGTCATTACATTATTATAATATTGTGTCATGATTTGAAAATATGAGAGAAATTAATCATATATCGGAAAAAGAGGTCATGGAGTTCAAAAGCAGTGACCTTTTATATCCTATTAATCACGTCTTTTGAAAAGATTGTAATGGTGTAACGTCTCGAATTCTAGGTCAGTAGTTTGGGGTTGACTAAAGAGATATGTTGACCAAGTAGAGTTCACAACTGAAGTCGTTAGGTTGAACGTGGACTAATTTGGATGTAATTTGGACCCGATTGACCTTAAAAAAGGGATTTTTACATAATAGAAAAATGAGGAGGGACCAAAATTGTAATTTGACCATTATTGAAAAAGAGACTAAAATTTAAGATCTTGTTAAGGCCTTGGACTTGGGGTGGCTCAACAAAAAGATTGAAAGCCTTTAATCTTCTTTTCATTTTCTTCTTTATTATTTTGTTATCCTTATTTTCTCTCCATATGTCACAACTAAATGGGAGTCCCTTGAACCCTTTTATACTCATTTTTAAAATTCAAATCCATCCCTAATCCCTTCTACAACCTTCCTTGTGCTAAGAAAATCATTGGTCTCTATGTTGGCTAGAGAAAATAAGGGTTTACTATTCAAGTCTTAGAAGAAATGAGTGTGGCTAAGCAAGGAGCTTCATTTCAGGATTCTCTAAGTAAGATAGTGTATTTCTAATCTTTTGTGGTGTTATGGCTTCCATAATCATGATGTTTTGTTGAGATTTGAATGTTTAAGTATATTAGGGTTTTTGCTTGACTTATGTCATAGATGATGTTATTGTTGTAAATCTTGAGATTTTATTGTGTTAGATTGACCCTATGAGACTCCCTAAAGCTTTATTTGTTGATTTGGAGTTAAACTAGAGTGCTTATGAGGGTTTTTGGGTGATTCCCGAGCCTTATTCAAGGTTTTCTGAGTTGTAGTATTGATATTGTTCTTGTAGTATTGATATCGTTCTTATAGTATTGATACTATTCTTGTAGTACTAATACTATTCTTATAGTATCTATAATATTCTTGCAGTATCTATACTGTTAGTACCAATGTTGTTGTAGTACCAATACTGTTAGTACTAATACTATTGTAATACCAATATTGTTCTTGTAGTACTAATATTGTCCAACATCAAAAGATATGAAACATCGTTCATTGCACCCGAATATTTATAGATTGCTATAAAATGTACAACTAAGTTTGAAAAATGGTCCTGGTTTATGAAATGACTCAAATATCCTTTAGGTGGCACAAATTACCAAAATACCCTTAATGAGAAATAAACTTCAAAAGTACCCTTGAAGGTGCACGTAACGAACGATCGCAAACAATGAATCATTACAAAGGAATGTATATAAGTGAGATGACATATCACACGAATAATGTGAGAGGAATCGTGCACCACGTGAACATCGATAAATCAAAGAAGCACAAGTTGCCCTCTAGTTCAAGTGTGAATTGAGTGAAAATGTGATAAGAGTAACTAGAGAGTCGCTAATGAATAACAAACATGAGTCAAGTGTTAGGCTAGCAAATAATACACCAAGTGAGTAGCGATAATAGTAATCATCATAAAAGTTTAAAATGATAAAGACACCTTTAGAGGGAAAAATAACCAAAACGCCCTTATGTGGTAAATGATCGAAAAAGAGTGGTCTAATAAACTAATAGTTATAAAAGACTAATAAACACTTACATAACGTTCTAGATGAGAAAATGACCGAGATAGTAACAGGTGAGGGGATGATCTCACCTGATTGTGATGAGCTATGATAGTGAGTAGCTGATGTGACAGTCGTAATAGGATATGCAATGTTATGTTTAAGCAAGAATTATATCGAGGCTGATGTGACAGTCGTAATAGGATGTGCAATGTTATGTTTAAGCAAGAATTATATCGAGGCTGATGTGATGGTCGTGGATGTCTTTAAATAAATGTATGATGTTTTAAATGAAAATGATTTTTGAAATATTGTGGTTGCCTCGACAGTCCTATGTAGCACTTTATGCTTAATCGAGATTAGGTGTTACAAATGGCCTACTGATAAGTGTTATTAGAACGATTTTTTGATTATCTGATTTTACATTGACACTCTAGTGAGTGTGGTTGATAGGATGGAGAAGGCCATACCTTGAAAAGTAGAGGAAATTAATCCCACATCGAAAAGTAAAATAGAGGTTAATCCCTCATAATTTCACCACCTTTGGGTTCCTGAACCTTTGCATTTGCCTTGATTACCAATTCAGATTTCGAGTTTGATCCACACTTAATGATGAATGGGTAATATTTATTCACGTTTCTATTTAAATTTAAATGTAATTATTTATAATGTCATGGTATTAATTGATTCTAATTTTAAAAAATTCTCTCTAACTATATATGATAAACATATAATATCAATCGATTATCATGTTGCAACCATGAAAAGAAATATCAATTTGTTATTAGAATAACGATAAAGATACCGTTCAAACTGTTATTTTACAATCGTGATACCTGTAATAATTACAATAACATCTTTTATAATAACAATTGTGATAAATATAACGCGACCGTAACTGCAATTTAAATCCTTCGCATTGTTAATGCCTTTGTTTTTTTCTTGTTCGGGTTAGAGTTTAGGAAGCTCAAGTCATGCGGGCGGTCAAGGACAAAGCTACCCTTTTGTCATGGGGCCACTATCCGTTTATTATTAAAAAATATCTGAAAAAAATATTAAATTAGGATTTTAAATTTAAATTTATTTTGATTTTACCTATTTACTTTCTATGATTATATTTTATTTCTTTTAAATTAGAATCCTGGCTCTACCCTTCATTTTTTGTTTTAAATTGTCAACTTACAAGTTGAACCAGACTTTGGGCAGCCAAAACCTAAAAGAGCCTACCCCAGATGAGATGATCCCACCTCACCTACTATGTACACAACTTGGTCAATGGCCATGACTTACCCTAGAAATGGGAAAGCCAGCCGGTCAAGGCTAGCATTTGGCGCCTCCCACTAGGCACCTTCCCCCTTCATTTTGATATTTAATTAATTTAACCTCTCCTAGAAAAAAAATGTTTAATTATTTTATTATTATTAATATATAACAATTACAAGTGATAGTTTACTCTCCGTGAAATTTTACATCTCACCAAATAAGCATGTTGAAGTGAAGCTCACGTCCACTCAACGATCGTTAACCCTATGAAATCGCAACCAATTGACGTGTGTACCTCAACAAACCCTATGAAATCGCGACCAATCGACGTGTGTACCTCAACGAACCCTACGCTGCAAATTGCAACCTCATACGATCTCGACGGTCAATCGGGGGCAAGTATGACTACATATGACTAGGAAGATAGAAATGACCATGTTAGTGACGGTGGTCGTGACCGACAAGGACGACATTGGTGAATTAGGGTTAGAGATTTAAGATTTTTAGGGATATGGATATAAATATAATAATATTTTTATTTAAAAAGATTAATTTTTTTAAAATTAGCATAACGTGATATGTGTCACCTAACGGGAAAATTTAACGGCAGATACAACCCGAGCACCTAAAGTGATAACGTTTGTAATGCTAGACACCTAGATGATTCAAAAAAATGTTTGGGCACCTATTTAGAAAACTCAGTATAATTTGGGCACTTATCTTATAATTAAGCCTTTGGAGTTACATAAGATCCAAACTCACTCATGCTTCGCACTCACTTCCTCTTGCATTTTTATTTTGCACCCAATCTCTACTTTTAGCTTACTTTTAAACCCTAGAAACTAATGTCAACTTAAAAACTTTAAATTAAGAATAAATAAAATGTGGCATATTAAGTAGTCTAGGTAGGAAGGAGATGATGGATATCGATATGATGCAATTAAGCTTTGACCAAATATAATCAATTGGACCGCATATGAAATTCATGTACACACGTGTAGCTGTAACTGATATTGTAATTAAAATTATGGGTAAAGTATAGTAATGGTCACTGAACATTTTTGAAGTTTGCATTTAGGTCTCCCAACTTTTAAAACTTGCAATACAGTCCCCCAATATTTATTCCGTTTGCAATATGATCCCCCAACTTAAACTACTGTTAGAAAATTAGGGTAAATTATATAAACGGTCATTGAACTTTTCAGGCACTTGAATTTAGGTCTCCCAACTTTTAAAACTTGCAAAACAATCCTCAATTTTATTCTAAACCCCAATTTTCAAAGTAATTCAATTTCATTCTAAACCATTGATTCTACTAAATCATAAATGATCACTGTATAAGCAAATTCAGGTGAATCATAAATGATCGCACTGTAAAGCACTGAAGGGTTAGATACTCAAATCTGATAAAAAAATAGCATGCAAGAACATAGTGGTACTTAAATCATAATGCTCCAAATGAGTGTTCCGAATTTCATATAGTCAAAAGTTGAAGAAATGAGCAGAGTTTATGGGAAGTTGAAATACCGAATAGAGTGCTTACATTTTGCTATTCGGGATGTTTAATCAATACATATTGTTATTCAAAATTGATATAAACAGTTAAATAAACCTCAAATTTATATTGAAATAAATATTGTCAAATAGTAAATTCATGTTCAAAATTTCAAAACACCTTAATTTCATTTTAAACCCTAAATTCCAAAATAATTCAATTACATTCTAAACCTTAAATTGAAGTATTTTAGAATTTGGGGTTTAAAATTTAATTGAATTATTTTAGAATTTGGGGTTTAAGATTTAATTGAATTATTTTGGAATTTAGGGTTTAGAATGAAATTGAATTACTTTGGAAATTGGGGTTTAGAATGAAATTGAGGGTTGTTTTACAAGTTTTAAAAGTTAGGAGACCTAAATTCAAGTGCCTGAAAAGTTCAATGACCGTTTATATTATTTACCCTAATTTTCTAACAGTAGTTTAAGTTGGGGGACCATATTGCAAACGGAATAAATGTTGGGGGACTATATTGCAAGTTTTAAAAGTTAGGGGACCTAAATGCAAGCTTCAGAAATGTTCAGTGACCATTACTATACTTTATCCTAAAATTATCGAATCAAGCAGTTCATGCACATTTAACTGATATTGGGTTAAAATTCTCTAATCAAGCAAAATAGGTGTCTATATAGCTCTGGGATTTGTTGAGTCTGTTTATGTTGTTCATCCTCATATGCTCAACATTTTCTTATGTGAAGCTCAATTATGATTTAGTGTAGTAGCTTATATATGTGTGTATGCACATGCCATGATATGTGGTTGGTGAGATTAATGATGGTAGAATGATAATCATCAGTTTAGCTTTTTAATGTATTGTCTAGTTGCTAAGTTTGGTGAATATGCCTTGTTGAGTTAATGAATAAAATGGGTAAGGTCGAGCTTTATTTAGTGTGAAACTAAGCATGTGATGTTGATTGAAACATGTTAAATTGTTGCCGACGAATGTTGAGACAAGTGATTGAGATTTAAGAATTTGAACTTATAAGGTCAAGTTCGAATTTTACGACCATCACTCCTGGTTGACAATCTGCAAATTCCTATAAATAGGATCTTAAGTATACTCTGACCCTGAGTTGTGGGTGTCACCCTTGATCTAAACTTTATTATTACAAAAAAAAGCATGTTAAATTTTGAATTGATGTTTATCATGGTTTGTAAATTGATTTATAAGACCCTTATATATGCATGAGATTTGCTCAAACGATTTCTTTAATAGTCTTGAATGATTATAAAGTAATACATGTTCGGAATTTTTCTTAACCTATTTACAATACACATCATGTTTTGGTATAGATTAGACTTATTAACTTGCTACTACCCTTGATAAAAGATAGTAAGTTAATAAGTTTTAGCAAATAAAATTTACAACCGAAGTTTGTTTGAATAGAGAACAACTGTGCAATTTACCCCCTAATGTTGATTTTCCATAGAAATATATAGAACTTCCTAAGGATCATGTAAATTATCAAATGGTCCCAAGCAGCAGAGAATATAACCGTTCCTTTTTTTTTATGACAAAACATGGAAGGTTATGTCAGATAAACATTATTCAGACGGATTGTAAACTATTGAGTTGCAAAATTTCCTGTAGGCATTGAACAGCACCCTGGTAGTCTAAGAAGCCCATGAACCAAAATTCATGGGCATCAATGGTGGTAACTTGGATGTACTTTTCGGAAGGATTGACCTTGCTTGTTGATGGATTAACTGCTTTTAGTTGGTGTAATGGGATAAGTACCTGTTTCAGCACACAAAAAATGTAGAATCATAACTTGGTAAGCCATGCCAAAAAGATCGAATCGGGGTTAAATCAGTTATACATTATATATTTAGGGATAATTGTAATAATACCTCTTTCTATATTATTTTTATAAACATATTTGTTTCGGGTTAGGTTCAAGTTTTATCTAAAAAATACAGGTCGGGTTCGGGTCAGACGAAGTCACCCTAAACTTGGGTTAGGTCGGGTCGAGTTTCGGGTAGAGGGTCTATATTTTTCGGGTTGGGTCGGGTTGGCCAGAAACCCGACCCATGCCCATCCCTAGTTATACCACCAATTTCTAATCTATTGATTGACTAAATCCAGATCGAATACTGCAAAGGCCTATTATGGGACAACCCTCCCAACCCGATATTTCTACTTACAATGTCAGGATTCGAACCCCTGATCTTGTTTAAAGGATCTAGTGTGTTCTAATTATTTTCTAAATGCAAGCATGTAAGGCTAAAGAAAAGTACCTTATAATAACTCCATTCAGTCTGAGTACCATTTTTATAGGAAAGAGGGCTGTCGCTGCAATATGCAAGCTTTTCTGTAGATACATATAAAACTCCCATGACAGGACCAGCTGATGTGGATAAGTAACATGCAAAAGAATCCTGAAGTTTCTCTTCAGGATCGGTTTCGAAAGTTTGTCTAAAAATCTTCTCATAGCCACCATCTGCTAAAACCTTTGTTCCCTGAGCAATTCTTCCCATGGCTGCCTCAGCAAAACTTGGGCTTGTTTTTACTGATTTAAGAAATAAGGGGGGCATTATTTAAGTGATTTTATGTATCTGAACCTCCTTTGAGAAGCAAAAGGGAGGAGTTGGGTTCATGCATTATAGGAAATCCGAAATAGCATATTCTTCTAATTAATATATGTCATCTATTTTCTTCCTTTTTATATACTGAAGTTTGAAAAATATCATTCTTATGCCAAAATGAACAACATTTGTATTCATCTAAAAAAACAAATCAACATTTGTAGTCAATAGAAAAGGTATCAGAACATGGAAAAGGATGCACATGATCAAAATTTTATGATCATTTTATGCATGCCTAAGTTGAGGTAATTACTCTACCAATAGAAATATATGCACCAAATGGGAAAAAGAATTGAAAATTTGGAGTTGGATTTCATTTACTACGTAAATGATAAGAATGAAATCAATAACCATGTAAAACGGTTAAGTTTCAATCTAATATATAGATGGAAAATACAAAATTTGAATTTATCAAATCCAAAAATTTAAGTAGGAATTTCAAAATCATTACTATATAGGCATCTAACAAATCCAAGAGTTTGAGAAATAATCATCCATGTTACATTTCTAAGTATTTTATTATGCAATTCACACCAACTTTGAAATCCAAAGCTAAATTCTGAAATTCAAGTTCCCAAACACTACCTTAAGGTAATGAGCAAATAATGGGTTAAGGTCTAGTCCATTACTTTTTCATCCATTAAGAATCAAAACATTGATCATCACCGTTCAAATGTGTAGAACTCATCCATTAAATATGAAAATCTACTTATGAATGGTGACTAATTAGGTATTGGATATTAATGGATGAAAAAGTAATGAAGAGGTGTTGTACCCGAAAATAATGAGGCAGCAGAGATGTCCATAAATACGACCAGAAAGTATAAATGAAGTGATGCACATTTATATTATGGTGAACGAAAGCGATAGTGAATGGGAGAGAACTCATTAAGAGGAAAAAAGTGCAGTGTAAAAGAAAAAAGAGAGCCAAAGGTCCTCAAATGGTGAGCGAAATATGCACGGGATTTGTAGTGCAAGAGTTGTCTGTAAAATTTTACATGAGACATCTCAACAGTCACAGCAAATATAGTTTGGATAATAACATTTCCATTTGTTACATAGAACAATAGAAACAAGAGTGTGGCATGCATCAAGTGTAACATATGGTTAAATTTTGAGCATCCCTTAAAATCAATGAGATGATCACACATGATTCAAGGAAATTAAAATTATAGTAGTAATAAACTGGTATACATAGATGATGTGTAAGCTATAATCAGCTACATGAATAGATGTAGAATAAAAGGACTCCAAGCTTGGTTCTAATCCAAGGTCCAATATAGGGGATAGGGTTAAGCTGAGAACAGATTAGGTCCTTGCAACAGTCACAGAAGCCATCTAATAATGCAATCTCTGTAAAAATATAGTTATTTCACCACTATGAGGAACGAGACCAGAAAATTCTTACTAAACACTGGGACAAATCAAGCAATAACAATGAAATCTCACGAAATAAAGCCTTGTCATCCCCTCTTTAATCAACTGTAAGACCTATGTTATGCAGACTTGTTTCCCTAAACATTCATGTGTAACACCTGTGTTAAAAGTGGGAAAGAATGACCGGATGAAGTTGGTCACCTCCTCTCCTTTTCTCCAATCAAAATTGGTTTATGCAAAAATCCTCAAAATGTGGAATCTAACAAGTTTAGGGTTCAAACAATATTATCTGCTGCAATATTTGTTTTCTATCCCCAAGGTTCTACGTTCTTTGTAGCAAATGTATACATATTAATATCAAACCCGAATTATCAAGCATTTAATATCAATTCCAATCATGGAAACCTAACGAATACGACCAATTCAAACCAAATATAACCCTACTCAACTGGAAAAACACCAATTACTAAAAATAAATAAGACGAAAGGCAATTGAATTTTTTTTTATAAAATCAAAAACATACAGTGTTGCCACGTGTTCCTGGCAAGATCCTCGGCTTTCTTTGACGCTTCTCCTACTGCCTTCTTCCATCTCCAAAAGGCATCCCTCATCGTTTCAATCTTATCTGTTTCCAATTTTTTTTTTAAAAAAAAAGTTTGAAGAAAACAATATATTTTCAAATTTGAAATCAACGACAAATGCTAGAAATAAATGCAAAAGAAGCTTGCCTTTCAAGGAAACCTCCGAAGATTCCATAGCAGGAGCTTGAACCACATTAGGATCGTATCCGCTAGTAGCGGTCATGTTAGCAGCACCCTGATCTGCAGCAGGCGGTTCACAATCCGGTTGGGTGCTCCGATGAACCGAATTCGTCAACCCCGATTGTGTCTTGTTCGACGATTGTTCGCTTTGGACCGGATTCTGAATCTCTTTCTCCTCATCTTTCTCCGGCTCCGTTGTTGGAACAATAACAAAGCCATCCTCGTCCAGCGCGGGATCCGAGTTTTTGGGCTCCGCTTCGGGTTTCGGTTCCTGAGCCATAGATTGCGGTGAGCTGCACTTTGGCTCGGTTTCCGTTTTCTCCATCTTTTTAGAACGTTGTAGGCATTTGGGCGTGGCTGCTGCTGCTTTTTTATTACTCAAATTGTTTGTTTTTTTCTTTTAGAAATTTGCTTTTTTTTTTTTTGAAGATATATATTTGGGGAATTTGGCGGGAATTACGGTACGGCGATGGTAGGGGAACCGTCCATTGTAATGACTTTTTTAGCGCCAACCTGATGATCATCGTTCTTTGACCTTTGTCCACTTTTTTTTCTCATTATTAGAAGATGGAGGGCATAAATTTTAGGCTTAATTATAAAATAAGTGATCAAATTATACCGTTTTTAATAAATAAAGTCTAAATTATTTTTTGAATGATCTCGATGTCTAACATTAAAAACATTATCATTTTAAGTGTTTGAGTCGTAAACGTCATTTGTTTCCTCCGTTACAAAACATTCTGGTAATTTTGAAATTTTTTTATTTTTAAAAAATATTATTATATTTATAAAAAAACTCTAGTTTTTCTTAAATTACAAAAAAAATCCCTAAAAATCTTAAATCTATAACTCTAACCAATCGTCGCATCTCTTTCTGACCATGGCCACCATTACCGACGTACTCCTTGCCATCCCCTAGTCATACGTTGTCGTAGTTGCGCCGTTGGTCATTGAAATCGTGTGGGATCGCGATTTTCATCCTAAGATTCGCAGGGTACAAACGTCGATTGGACTTCGATCGGTCGTGATTTCATAAGGATATTGATCGTCCGAGGGAGGTGAGATCTGGTGGAGCTCGTCGATGGCAAAGGATTATAGCCGATATGGGTTTAAGGGTTGAAATGAAGGTTTTCAAAGATTTTGGACAATTTCAAAAAAAATATTTTTTTAAATATAACTTTAGTTTTTTAATTTTAAATAAAAATTTTAAAACCATTAGAATGTGACACGTGTCACTTAATGAAGGAAATTAACGACGTTTGCGGTCCATGTACCTAAAGTGGTAACATTTGTAACGTTAGACACCAAGATCGTCCAAAAAGTAGTTTAAACATATTCTCGAAAAAATGGTATAATTTGGACACTAAATAATTAAGCCTAAAATTTAAACCATATATGATTGCAAACTACATTGATAACCCAAAGCATGATAATATATTTCAAACTGGATTTTTTTTTGGTTGTGAGACTTCAACATAAGTAAGGAACACAGTTTATGGACCAAGATGAAGTATTTCATGAAGTTTGTTGATGGTAATAATGGGGAGTGATGGTTATAGATTCTTTATTTTTTTTTAATTTGGTCAGAGAGTCGTGATTGATGGTTAAATGACCGTTGATTGATGTTGAGGATCTATCTTCTAGAAGAAAGAAGGTTTAGATCAAAGTTTCCTTTTTTTTGGTCTTGTCTTGATCAAGAGATTTTATTATGATCTTTAGTGTTGATCTAAGACACATGGTTATGATGGTTTTTCATAGGCCAATAGGGTAGATAGACCTAATTGATGTAATCATCTGTATGAAAAATCACTTTAGACTTAGGAATCATGCCAAAGGGTTGTTAAGGCATCTCAATTGTAATCCCTAGACTCGGCCTAGAAGTTACATCCGAATTAGGGTGGCTACGTACATCACAAAATTGGTCCACGAACGAAATTTGTTTAATAAATAGTATTTTAAAAATATTTATCAAATATATAATCAGAAATAAACGCAATTCACATTTAAATGAGATTGAAAATAGATATTAAACCTTATATAGTAAACAACCGAGACTACACCTTTGATAGCCAACTTGGTCCCATAACTGAATAATCTAAAAAAGAAAGGAAAAAATAGAATGAGCTACAAAGCTTAGTGTGTCCTCTAAAATTAAAAAGATATGTCATAATGATGCAATATAAAATCAAACATCAGTATTCCAATTTACCATAACCGAAAAGATATAACAGGAAATTCACACAACTTTACCTTTCGTCACAGATAATAGGATAGGTCCAATGACGATCTATGTCAGAAATAGAAGTTAGAACAAGGATTAAGCCCTTTGAAGATTATCTCAAACAGAAACAGGACGAGGATATAATCTCATGCATAATTAGGACGATGAGATAATCCCATGCCAAATCACGACGGGATATAAACCCATGAAGAATCAGGACAGGGATATAATCTCATGCAAAATCATAAATGCATCAATATACAACTTAAAAGTGATACAACATTAATCAGAAATCAATCATAACCCAGATAAACATAACCATAATACCTACATGTGTACATATAACATCATACAAGGTATCAAACATGTCAAGGGGGCATACTTATACTAGCTAATATATACCGACTAAGCTTACGCTTCCCACGAACAACAATACTAGATCCCGAATTTTGAATCGGACATGCATCAAGCTAAGCAGAACAGAAGTGATTCGAACCTACTAGAGAGCGGTTCCAAGACATGTGACCATCGAAGTTAATTCATGGTTGTAGACGACAGATCTGAGATTTCTATGAGACTTGTTCTTCGTTCTCTAACAGTTAACGACTTCAACGATAAAGACAACAAGAGCACCGGACGATAGAGCTATGTCTCACCCCAATTTAAGGGGTTAAATGTTATTAATTTAAAATATTGGATTAAAAGAGGTAATAAGGGAAAAGTTGAGGACTAAGGGTATAATTTTACCATTTTTCAGTTGTAGAGAGTTTAAAACTCCCCTTATTTCTGGAAATTCTCAAAAAGGTAAGTTTTTTCTCTCTCACTTTTCCCTTTTCTTCTCTTTTTTTTCTCTTTCCTCCAAGAAAGTTCCATCTGTAATTCATTGTTGATCAGTCGTTCGTTTACAACACTGTCAACATCACTTTGTTCTTGGCGTTGAGAGGAGTTGGCTGGTCGTCGTTGTCGTTGAAGGGGATGAGAAAGGGAAAGTACGATCATTCAAAAAGGTTGATTTTTGTCGTTCTTCATTGTTCTCCATCGCGAATTGATGCTTGTGCGAATTGATGCTTGTACAAGAATCCTGAGCTGAAGATTTACAAATCTAGAAATTTTTGCAGTCGTCCGACCATCGAGAACGCCACACGCGCCCCGCGTGGACTTCGTTTGTAACTTAGGAAGTTTCCAAAATCGGTATAGACCAGTCTAAATAGCCTAAACCAGTCCAAACCCTCTAACCGAACCATCTGACTGAGTCAATTGAGCCATCCAATCGATCTGATCGAGCTGCGATTGAGTCGATCGAGTTGTTGGCCGAGCTGACGATAGCTGACCGGGCATTGACTTTTTTCAGGACCACCTATCCTGATGTTTTTCGACGTCCCAAGTCCATTTTTAGGTCTGTTTTGACAAATTCGAACCCAATAAGTTACTTTTCAATGTTTTATCTTTCGATTCGATCCATTTTCCCGTTTAAGATCCGTTTTTATGTAATTTATTTTGTTATGTATCCAAGATATTTTTGGATGGCAAATTCAAGTCTAAAGGTGATCGAGTATAATTGAAATAATCGACCGATATGGCTCAAAAATTGAGGTAATATTATATTATTTTTTGTATACTTTTAGGAACTCGTGGATAATTGGTAAATGCATGAATGGAAATGATTAGTCATTTAAGTGTATTTAATTATTGTTAGACTTGAGCTAAATGCGATATAAAGAGACTGAACTAAAGAAGACTCGATTGACTTGTGTAAGGAATCAAAGACTAATGGGGAATAATTTACTGGTTTAGTGAATAATTGGTAATTTGATTAGCCTCAAAATCCTTAAAATTTTGATTATTCTCGTTGAAAGTCTTAATGTTTGGATAGAAAATTACGAAAATACGTTTATGTTGTAGAAAGATAAGAATTGCCCCTAAAAGTGCAAATAACTCTAAAAAGTTATAATTGACTCGATAAAACCATTGAAATCACCTGTTAAGTGTTGGTTCTATTTAGGGGGGAAATCACGACAATCGATTTTAGCCTCTGAGTTAAAAAAAGACTTGTAAATTCGACTCTTGAGTAAACACCTGAAGATTGAATTACCGAAAGTAGCGCATATACCAAAATTAAACGAATTGACTAAAATACCATTGAAATGAAAAAGAGACATGGATCTCTCATGACAATGGAAATGACATATGAATATATTCTTGACTTGATAGAACTACGGATTCATCGGTTAAATTCATGTTTTGATTTAAAAACCATGATAATCGATTTTCGAATCTTCGAGATAATATCATACATGGATATATTGATTTCTAAATAAATATCTGGAGTCCAATTTGTCAAAAGTACTTTATTTGACTTAATTGATTAAAATGACCAAATTACTATGGAATTTTTTAAATGACCAGAATAACCCCGAGTATTGAAATAACCCAAATACCCTCATGATATGGAATAAAGAAATGTTTGTGGACAAGTTCTAAAAGTACCAGTGAAGCATTAAATATTGTAATGGCCTCTAAAGGTTATGGAGACAAGTCAAGGACTTTGGTCACTCTGGAAATTATTGCAATAATAATAATAAATACCACCAAAATACTAGTTCAATTCTTCAAGATCTGTTTAGTTATGACTTTAAAGGTGAGCAATTCAATTAGTGCAGTCAGTGTTAAAAAGTAAATATTTGTAAGGTATCATGGTTTTAATGATTGATAGGTATCTGTTGGGATTTTTAATGAAGCTCAATGATCAATTGAATGATTTGCCAAAAGGGGTTCAATTGAATGATTTTTGAGTTTAGGGAGTAAGGATATTAAAAAGATAGACAATTGGCACAAGGATTTATAGTGGTTCGACTTCTTAACCAAGTCTACATCCACTACCTTAGCTCCTCACTAAGGATTTTCTAACAAATTCACTAATATGTTCTTTCTTTTTACAGGATAAAGAGATAACCTTTACAAATTCCCTAGCTTTTAAAAGGCTTAGCTAGAACCACTCCCCTTTTCACAAATGATATGAAATGTAAACAAGAAAACCCTTACAAGGTAGATTTTTACAAAATTAAGCTCACAAGAACAAAAATATTTACAAGATAAAGGAAAATAAGAATGAAAAACTCTTCTCTTGTGTTTGATTGCTTGGATAGGTGTT